GGTATCTATGGTTTGAAGCTATTCTCTATCGTTTTTGTCTTTTTGTTTGGACAGGTAAAAACTTTTCCCCTCCCATATATCCTTTGGGAGATCAGGAGTGGCAGTTAAATAAGGGTGTTCCTTTTTTATGCCTCCATTCTCTTCAGATCAAGCCCTCCCCAGTCCCTCCATTTTTTGCTTCGCAAACTGTAATTAATTGTCAGCCCCTCATGGTATGTATTGTTTATTCCAAAGTATGAACGCTTATTATCAATTTTATTTTTTTTTTTTTTTTTTTTTTTTTTTTTTTTTTTTTTTTTTTTTTGTGAATCATCATGTATCATTTTTCATCTTTTTTGTTTTGATTCCAGATTGATCTTCAGGAAGGATCCTGTTTGAGGATCTGTTCCTTCCTGGCTGATGGAATTGTAGTCAATCCTGGTGCTGTTTTAGCAGATTTCTCCGTAAATTCCTTGATTTTCAACCTCAAGGAGTTAGATGTGGCTGTTCCTTTGGACATAGACAGTAACCCTGCTAACAAAAGGGGCAGTATCAACCAGAGTGCCTTTTCTGGGGCAAGGCTTCATATTGAGAACTTGTTCTTTTCGGAGTCACCATCACTAAAACTAAGGTTATTGAATCTGGAGAAGGATCCTGCTTGCTTCTGTCTCTGGGAAGGTCAACCGTTTGATGCTAGCCAGAAGAAATGGACTACTAGAGCATCACACCTTAGTTTGTCACTGGAAACATGTACTGAGTCAGCTGGACATCAGAGTTGTCTTGAGCAGAATTCAGGCTTGTGGAGATGTGTTGAGCTGAAAGATGCTTGTGTTGAAGTAGCTATGGTAACTGCTGATGGGAGCCCATTAACAAATGTTCCTCCCCCTGGTGGTATTGTGAGGGTTGGGGTAGCTTGTCAAAACTATCTCTCTAACACTTCTGTTGAACAGTTATTTTTTGTTTTGGATCTTTATGCTTACTTTGGCAGAGTTAGTGAAAAGATTGTCCTTGTTGGAAAAAATACTGGACAAAAGAAAAATAGGGATCATTCTAGTGACGGAAACCTGATTGACAAGGTTCCCAATGATACAGCAGTAAGTTTAGCAGTGAAAGACCTTCAGATTAGATTTCTGGAATCATCTTCCGTGAATAGTCAAGGAATGCCTCTAGTTCAGTTTATCGGGGATAATCTCTTCATAAAAGTTACTCACAGAACTCTTGGTGGTGCAATTGCTGTTTCATCCACCATACATTGGGATAGTGTTGAGGTGGACTGTGTAGACACTGAGAGAAACTTGGTTCGTGAGAATGACACAGTTTTAACTTCTATTGAAAACGATCTTTCAACAAGTGGAAATGGGTACCCTGAACTAAGACCTGTATTTTGGATAGATAACCAAAGAAAACATCAATCAAATGGAAAAGTTTTTGTAGATCCATTTCTGGACATAAGCATGGTACATGTAATTCCTTTAAATGAACAAGATGTAGAGTGTCATAGTTTGAATGTGTCAGCGTGTATCTCTGGTGTTCGCCTAGGTGGGGGAATGAACTATGCTGAATCCCTGCTGCATCGCTTTGGAATACTTGGCCCTGATGGTGGTCCTGGAAAGGGGCTTTCTAAAGAGTTAGAAAAATTACGAGCAGGACCACTGTCAAAACTTTTCAAACCATTGCCACTCATTGCTGATTTGAAAGAGGGTATGTGACAATATGATTTGGATAATCTTGTGTGTTTGATTACCTACAGTCTGTTGTGCTGTTTTTTCCCCTTTTTTATATATTTTTTTACGTCTACTCATTTTATTGTTACTGTAATGGCTCTAATATTCCATTTTCTTCCAGATGGAAGTTCAGGAGATGGGAAAGAAAGTGGGGTTTTGCACTTGGGAAAACCAGATGATGTGGAGGTCTCCATAGAATTGAAAAATTGGTTGTTTGCTCTTGAAGGTGAACAGGAGATGGCAGAAAGATGGTGGTTCAATCATGAGGATGTGGGAAGAGAAGAGAGATGTTGGCACACAACATTTCATAATCTGCATGTGAAAGCGAAAGGTAGTCCCAAGCATATGCTGAATGGTAATGGAAAGTCATACAGGACAGAGAAATATCCTGTGGAATTGGTTACAGTAAGGATATCTCACTCTCGTCATTGTCTCTCCCTCTTTTTAAGGTTTTAATGTGCTAGTTGAGCTTGAGCCTTTGAAAAGTATGTTTGACGAAACATACATGCATATTGATTATTGACAGTGAACATTTGTTTTCAAAAGGATCAGCCATGAATTAGGCAGCGCCATTGAAACATTTTGTCATTTTGTTTTTGGACATTTCTTGGACATAAAATAGTTTATGGTCTACCTGGGTGTTATCTTAGGGTATATTGTAAATTTGTAAGGTGCATGCTTTTCTGGGATTATGTCCCTGTTATGAGGTTGGTTCACACTTCACACTATGTTCTCTGATGTTTGTATTGTGTTGTTAGATTAGAGTGTTTGGTCCACTGTTATTGTAATGTGGTAGTTATCCTAGTGGATTTCTCATCTGCGCAATGTATTAGTTTTTGGTTTAACAAATTTCTGTTTCCTTTCAGAAAAAAGATATGTATCATATTCTTAAATTGCCTGTCATGATTTCTGTTTGGTAGAGTACTAATGAAGTATGATAATTCTCGGCTATACCTTAAGTGGGTCAATTATATGAGGGTGAGAAGTTGTCTTGCTCATTCACTCAGAATACTAAATGGTTGGGATGCAAATTGCAGATATGTAATATAGACCTAACATTTGGTTTTGGTTAAAGGATGATTGAGTCAATTCTAGGTTGAGCAAGGATATTTTGAGATTTGGGCAAATGTGCAAAGTACATTCATGTGAAAAGTTTTATGACCTGACAATACTAAAGCATATTCCTTGGTGGAACTTGGCTGGCTTGCGCTGCGCCTGTGCTGCCTTCAACATGTGTTCTGGCACCATAGATATAGTTTGCTTTGTTTATGAATATTATTCGATGAAAATATATGCAACTCATTATGATTCATTTCAATGTAGCGGTTCATGCTCCTTTATTTTAATCATAGAGATATCTAGTTCGTGATCTCAATCATCTTAATTATGGTTGCAGGTTGGTGTGGAAGGCTTGCAAACTTTAAAACCTCATGCCCAGAAGTGTATTGATGCTGCTGTCTTACCTGTGAATGGGATCAAGGAAACTGCTGACACATCTGCAGGTATAGATCTTGAAGTTCGCATGGTGATATCAGAGGACACGGTTGATCATGAAATGGTGGAATGGGCTGTGGAAAATGTGAAATTCTCTGTTAAGCAACCGGTAATGGGTTTTTTCAAGTTAATAACTGTATCTTCTAGAAAAATATTCTGCATTATGACACTTTTGTCTCCATAGATTGAGGCGGTTGTAACAAAGGATGAGTTGCAGTATCTTACTTTCCTGTGCAAGTCAGAAGTTGAATCAGTGGGTCGAATCACTGCTGGAATTCTGCGGCTACTCAAGCTGGAGGGGTCCATTGGCCAGGCTGCAATGGAACAACTAAGCAACCTTGGTATGTTACTAAACTGTTTGTCAGTCGATGAATACATCTCCTTAATTCTGATCAGGGTTGTGCTCTTCTTGTTTTCTGAGTCCTGAGATTGCTATGTTAAAATCAAATGACATCTCTTGGCATTTGCACATGCTTGTAAGCACTAAATGCCTCGAATTACCTGATTCATATGTGGAATTTAGCTAGATTTTCACAATTTTCTTTAGCCGACAAGTTTTATCTGGTATATGTGATTGGGATACTGCTGTAATAATTTTTTCTTCTTGGCCATTTGTGAATTTGGAAATTTATGAAAATGACTTGCAGGAGGAACTGAGGGCATTGACAAGATATTCTCCCCTGGAAAGCTAAGCAGGGGTAGCAGCTTTTGCAGTACTGGGCTCCCTCAATCAAATTTGATTGGTGAAACCCCATCTACAACCGCCACCTTGGAATCAACAGTGGCTTCACTTGAGGAGGCATTTACAGATTCACAGGCCAAGTGTGCCGCTCTTCTTGCCGACCTAGGTAATTCAGAATCTTCCGTGCAGCATCTTGCAACTGTAAAACAGCTCACTCAGAAACTTCAGAGTATGCAGAGTTTATTGACGCAATTACGGTCCCACATATAGTTGGCCAATTTGTGCTATTCTTTCTCCCCTGTTATACTTTGGGATGAAAATAGTCCCAATCATATAGTTTACCCATTCTTTTTTGTATATACGGGAGACCAAATTGCTTGGTGAGTGTTTGTACTAATCAGGCACAGAGAAAATCTATTCATTTGCCTGGTAAATCAATTTTGTATCTAAGGTCCAATGTATCGATCTAAATTTCTAAGGTATGCCGTGTCACATCTCCTGTTAGCTATGATGATGGCCAATTGGCAAATATGATGTGTACTTGATTTCATGTTTACAAGCTTATAGCATGCAGTTGATAAAATAACTCTTATGCATATCCCCTAACTTATAAGCCAAGGTCGGCTATTATCTATAAGCTTCTTATAACCCTCTGTAGGGGTGATAATTCAACATGACTCTGAACCGAACACGAAATTATACTGGATTTGAGTTAATTATTACTTTGCCATTATCTATAATGGAATTGCAGCGGGGGTTGTAGCTGAAGTGTTAAGAGCATTCACCCATACATCTTTGGTCATCGGTTCGATTCTCCCTCTCCAAATACCGCTTGTATTAAAAAAAAATAATAGACTTGCCCTGTTAGCTTAATTTTTATTTTATGAAACGTCCATGGATGAGTGTTTGATTTACAAATAAGGGAAATTCGGTCCTAAGTTTCTAGTTCATAATGTGCGCTGCAATTTGGTCTTAAATTTGTTATAGAAGTACATGTTTGTTGGCCGGGGGCTTGAATTTCTAAATAAGGAATGTAACCGGTTTGCTTTGTAGTTTGCATCATGTTCGTTTTTTCAGTTTTTTCTTTCCTTATGCGTGAAATGTTACTTCGTAATTTTGTGTCAATACGCCCATGGCGCTAGCAGAATCTCCTCAACCAACGAAGGCTTCACTTCTTCCATAAGAGCACAAACCATGCGAGCCCTCAATGTGCACTGAGAGTTAAACATGACTGGGCTGATACTAAAGCCGAAGTGCGTCGCATATTTTATAACATAAAAAGCCTGTAACCGAAAACGATAATATAAAAAGGCACGGCATAAAATGCAAGATTGAATAACATGGTCCAAAATTCTATTAAAGTAGACATGCGATCAACCTCACATAAGTTACACATAACAACTAGGCTGGAGTAAAAGGTTCACCAAAGTCTAGTCATCCGTACTCTAAATTTCGATCACTATTGCGAAATACAATACCACAATTAACCAAAGCTGAGCCAAGGCGATGAGCATTTTACGAAATTCATGCCAATGTACCCACTTGGATAGGCTTTAAGAATTTTCCATGGCATCCCAGCGCCAAATAGTCCCGTCCTCACAACAGCTGAGAATGGTGCTGCAATATATAATGATACAACGAGGATAAATTTTCACATTATCAAAGGTTATGGCATTTACAATGTCATATAGAGATATATGTAACAAAAATAATGATAAATAAACCATGCAGGAGAGTCACCTTCCATCAAAAGACGTGGCAGTTTGTCTAATTGGCGATTTTGATTGAGGATGTATCAACCTGAAAAAAGGTGCAAGGCTATGATTACCGACCGGCATATAGACAAAATTTCTTCAGCATGAAGTTCAGTAAAGAAAAATAAAACCAAACGGACTTTGCAATTAGAACAGGAGGGCTGGATTGTAGTTCCCAAACAAAAATCTTTCCTTCTCTATTCCCTGCTAGACAGAAAACAGTAGAGGCTAAGAAGTCGACATATAGTTGTGCAACAGTTGGAACATCTATAGTTTACGTTTGAAAGTATCAAGAATTATATCAACTGCAGTTTGCATTTACCTATAGCGGCTGCATTGTAGTGGAAATCATAGGAAAACTTGATAAACCAAATATCACACTCTGGAACTGGGTATTTTTGAAGGATGTCAACAGTACCCTAATAAAAAAGCATCCAATAACATTTTAGCCCACCATAAAGTAGAATCACTGGACTTCTACAGAGTCAACCAATATCAGCTGAAATTCATGGAATACACCGTAAAGAATAAGAAAATATAGGGCTTGTTTGGTAACTGTTTTGTTTATAATTAGAAAGATAAAGGGAAAAAGAAAGGGGCAAAGGACATCGAGTAGCCAGAAAATAGAGGGTGAGGAAGAAAAGAGAGAAAATAAATAGAATAGTTTATAGAGTAAGATATAAACACTTTTTAGACTTGTCTTCAGTTTAAAGTATTAGTTTAATAATATTCCACTCATTTCTTCCTCACCTTTCTCACCTCCCTCAATTTATAAAAAAAATGATAAAAACCAAAAAACAAAAAAGTTATCGGCCATTAACATCTAAAACAAGAGGAGGTATTCTAACCTCCCCAGGAGACTGTTCCTTCATTTTCGGTTCCCACAGCACAATTTCATTGTCAACACTCTGGAAATTCACAACATAATCTATTAATGTAATCATTAGAGAATATATGAAATCCATCTACAACAGAAATCTAAAAGCAATTCAAGCTACCCATATTTGAAACTTATTTGTTATATTTGGACAAATTTAGCACACCATGCAAAATAGCTATTAAACTTTATCTTGCTTTTAGATGATCTAATAAGCTATGCAGAGCTTGATACGACCACAAACAGATGAAGCAACTTTTCAGGCATTGATATGTCATTCTCATGAACTCATTTGAACCAGCTGATTGTGCTGATTTAAGCTACATCAATTAGAAAAGGCAACATGATTTGAGATATTAAGATTTTCCGTCCTATACAATGTGGCTCTTTTCCATTCCCAAAGCACCTTTAGACTTTTACACTGACAAAAATGAAAATACAGGATGAAATTGTGATTCACCTTTGAGAGGAGAAAATCACCAAGCCACCTATTACAGTCAACATAGTTTGTATGAATGGAGGCTATGAATACCTGAAAAGTTAAAGTAATCTCAGATAAAATGAGAATGAAAACTCTAATCTGTGACACAGAGAACAACAGGTACTCACGGGAAATTGCACATATTTTGTTGGAAATTTTGATGGAAGATCTGTCCATGTGAAAGATTTTTCTACATAGGTCCAGAACTCTGAAACAAAGCAATATATGAGAAAATAAAGTAAAAATAATATTTGATTACACCAAGTCGACACAAGTACAAACTTTCAATCAAGCACTCTGACCCTGAGATGACATTACTTGAAAAGCACAACAATAGTAGTCATGCATAACCCATTACTTTCTCAATACTAGTAAAACAATGAGGACTTCTTCTATTTTCTATTAGTAATATATATTCTACCTTTTCAGAGGCATAAGTATACACATAACACTGATTGTCTTCACAACAACTCTGTGTAATCTCAAAGTCCAGTCTATCAGACAGGATATTGTGAATGGCTAAATTTGCGACTATTGTGATCCATGTCACATAGTTACATAACTATGGCTTACCAAACCAAATTATGTAAATTGTCATATGGAGCAGCACCATCAAGTCCTACCTTTCATTGACCAGATCTTAACAGTGTTGTCCATCCCACAACTTGCAATTCGATATATGTCAGAAGGATGAAAGTCCTATAATAATGAGAACAAGGTAAGTATAAACAGCCTATCAAATCATTTTCTCGCATCACAATCTTCACTACAAAACAACGAAACAGTAGATTTCTTTAAAAAAGATTAATAGAAGGGTGGCAGGACATAACTCCTCGTCCAATATGCTTACCACACTCAGGACTTCATTGCGGTGACCACCTGCCCCAGCAAATATCAAAATACATATTCCAGTATGAACATTCCATAGCCGAACTGACTCATCCTGGCAAGTTCTAAGATTACCAATAAAGCAAACAAAAAACAACATCTTCAAAGAAAGAAAAAGAAAAGGTTATTGTGTTCACTTTGCTTGCTGACACTACAAGCGACGACTTCAATGGCTGAGTCCTGATTTCATTTATTGAATCCCCATGGCCAACAAAACTCTGCACATAGATTAGTATGTTAGGAGGGGGGGAAAGAATGTAAAGAAAAACAAAAGTCCTCTAGTTTTGTTGCCACTCCAGCAATTTGAAAATTTTCAGAAATTTCAGCTGAAATAGATGTACACCTACATCCTGATTGTATGCTAAGTATAGTAAAAAACACCCAAGCTACTACAACTGCACCATTATATAGACTAGGAGCTCGGAACCAGTACTAAGATACCTTGTCTATCTTCTCACTACCACAATCAATGACCCGCATTATACCATTAATTCCTCCAGCCACAAGAAACGGGTTTCCATCAACGTTGCATGCCCAGCTTGCAGTGTAAAAAGACTCATCCTTCTGATCTACAAAGCACGTGTAAATCACATATCCACAAAGAAAAGTTTTAAAAATCAGCAAATGAATGCTAAACCGTATGATAAGTGACTGACAAGAGAACACTAATCCATTTGAACAATGGCAGAATGATGGCTGTCTTTACTTACATCTTCATCAATGTAAGACTGCAACACAGCGATCACACCCCCTTCTAGACATTGGTATACAGTTACCTGACAAAAGAATAATATAAAAATAAGCAACATTTTACAACAAGTACAAGATATAGAGGAAAGAGAACCAACCTTGTAATTTGTCTCTCTCAGATAAGATTTTTACGCAAATAATCACTTATGGGAACTAATTCATGTTGTTTATTTGCAAATGAAGCAGTGAACTATAACATTACCAGCTCAGAACAACTATAATTCACCCCTATCACAGGTGCATTGCAATCCAATATTGTAAATATCAAATGTGGTGCCTTTTGCGTTTTTTTCCCCAAACTAACCTTAATAATCATTTCATTGTATTCCAAGGCCCTAACTTTCGTCTATGTAAACAAATTATTAGGCAAAGCCGAGACCAAAAACCCAGATAGAGCCGAAATCTCTAGTAATCCACTCTATCTAACAAAACCCATTAAAGCATAATATAATTAAAAAAAAATATTAATAATAATAATCTGCCAAAAAAGCATAAAATCTCTGTTTGGTTCCCGAGAAAAAGAAGGAAAGTCCAGCTTACAATCCCGGCATTGGAGTTCCATTGTAAATTTCTTTTACGAAAAAAGAGTTCTTTTTTTTTGCTTTTAGTTCCTTGTAGGTTGAGTTCTAGAGGGCAAGAGCAACAAACCCGATTGCCACCGACTGTGGCGAAGACGTTGAAGTAGCGAGAGTCGATGAAGTTGAAAACGATGGCGTATAAGGGCCTCTTGCCCTCTTGGAGCCTGTTAGTGACTCTGTACTCTCTCTTCTTTGAGGGTGCGAGTGAACCTGCCACTGGCTCCGACCCTAAAGCAAATTTCGCCGCCATGTCCACAGCGCAGGATGGCAACAGACCAACCCCTCTTAGCGAACAACGGAAATTTCAGTTTAAACAGGACAAAGACGACTTCTTGTAATAATTTTAGCTTAATTTACCAAAAGATTTAGCTTAATATTTTTTTCTAACCCACCATTTTATTAGAATGTAAGATTATTAGATGTGGGATATTATTAACATGCCCCTGTTAAGAACCGATGTAGAACTTGCCCTTAAAAACCGGCTTGTAAGGGCACTTCCAGCAATGGGAATCTTGCCATTGCAAAAAGTAAGTTGCACTTCCAGCAGTTGCCATGGCAAGGGGGGGTACTATTCAATTTTTTGTTTTTTTCACAAATTTGTTTACCTAAACAATTAATTTGGACAATATTTTCGGATGAGATTTTTTGATAAAATATTCGGATAAGATTTTCAGATAAGATTTTCGGTTTCAAATTTTAGATAAATTTAATATGAATTTCAAATTTCAGATAAATTTCATTTGAATTTTAACTTTTCATTTGAATTTCAATTTCAGATAAATTTCATCCGAATTTCAAATTTCGGATAAGATTTTCACCTTATAAAATTGCGCCACGTGTCATCTGAATTTCAAATTTCAGATAAATTTCATTTGAATTTCAACTTTTCATTTGAATTTCACATTTTAGATACATTTCATTTGAATTTCAAATTTCAGATAAGATTTTCATCCTATCAAATTGTGCCACGTGTCATGTTTATCGACCTAAATTTTTCTATGAAACTAAGGCTCAGCTCACAAACTTCTCACACTACATCTTCTAAAAAATTTCATTTATTAGATTTTAGATTTCATATTTCATATTCCATTCACAATGTCAGACATGGAGGAGGTCTTGGAGAGGCAAGAGCGAGAAATAAGAGAAAGAAAGCGTAGACGAACTGCAAGCAAAAGAGCGCAGAGAGATCTAGATCAGCAACTTGTCATGGCTGTGACCATGCCTGATGAAGAAAACCAGAGCAGTCGTGGTTCACATGAAGGCCGTGCCCCAAATGTTGACAGACATAGGCATTCTCGGGGTAAGAATCTTATGGAAGATTATTTTATCCTAACATCTCTGTACTATGATGTTCATTTTCGAGGGAGGTATAGAATGCAACAACATTTGTTCAATAAAATCATGCATGATATTTGCAATTATGATGAATACTTTGTTTAAAAGAGAAATTGTGCTGGTGTTTTGGGACTACTTCCCGAACAAAAGTTCACAGCTGTTGTGGTAACCAAATTAAATCAAAACCCTAGGTCAAATAATTCATTCCATTTGGGGATTATTTGACCTAATTGGGAATTAATCAACCTAATTGGGAGTTACTCAATTTAATTGGGGGTTACCCAATTAAATTGAAGATTACCTAATTGGGTTAAGAATTGATTCCTAATTCCTAATTCCTAATTCCTACCCCGATTCTCAATTAAATGAGGAGTTACCTAATTGAAATGGGATTTGATTTGATACCTACCACAATTAGGGATTTGATTTACCATAATAAATCAAATCCCTAATTAATCAAATCAATTCCATAAAGGGGAGGAATAATTCCCTTCCATCTACGGAATTATTCCTCTGAAACCCTAGCCTCCAAGACAACTATAAAAGGATGGCCACACACAAAGGTTGAGGTACGTCTGAAATCCCTACTGAAACTCTGCAGAAAATTCCTCTCAAACCCTAGCCACCTCCTTTCTTTCTCTCTTTTACATAAGGCTCCGGCCGCCCGGTTTACACCATAAACTCATCTCCGTATCCTATTAGCTATTGTTTTCTATACGATTCAATTGAACTAACTTAGGCATCGGAGGGCCTTTGGCCAACACCCCCCGGGTGTGGTCCTCTTATTGGTTCTATTTTGCAGGGAGAAGGAGGCGGCGAAGAAGAAGGGGGAATCTTTCCAATCGAATATTCTCGTGGGGAAATTTGTACAAACAAATTGGTGCTTTCATTGAGAGCACGAGTTATACTCAACGCGTGCTTAAGGAATCCGTTCCTCCTATTTTCCAATCCACCGAAGCCTTCCAAATAACCATGGTTGGAAGCATGAAGACGAGAGGCAAAACCGCCGCGATGGCTAAATCCGTGACGGCCCAAAGTCACTCCGCCCACGATCCCGCGATCGACATGGTGGCCCCACCACCTCTCACCACCGCACCGGCCACCGCCGCCGAACATTGTGGAACCTTCTATCAAGGTGGGCTTGTTACCACCGCTGACTTAGGCCCGGTCTTGGAGCAACTTCAAGCGATCCCTTCATTGCCTCCACGCTCAACACACGCTCCCGCGCACACCTCCAATGAAACCCTAGCCCGTATGCAATTGGGCTCCACACACTTCTCTCCTCCTGATCCACGAAGTCAAGCAGACCTTAGTTTGAGAGTTGACCAGCTAGCTCAGAGAATGGACGACCAAAGCGATCTGATGAGGCAACTCCTCCACCAAATCAGCTTGGCTCAAAACCTTGGCCTTGGACAACTAGGCGAAGAGAGAAGGATGGACGAACGCACCGGCAGGCAGCTCAACGGGTACCCAGCAGGTCAAGCAGGAGTAGGCAGACAAGGCGAGGGACAACAACTTGATCGGCCTACCGACATGTCACAAGCATCCGCGAGCCCCACTCGGAGCAGATTAAGTTCGAGGAACAACGTGCGCGAGAGGGTAGGCCCACGACTTGACGTCCACGCCCGCTTGGGACCGCAGGGAAATGTACTTCAAAGGCTAGGCCCCCAAGGAGGACAATCAAACAACCATCGCAACGAGGATCGTGAAGAAAGACGCTCAGCTGTCCACTCGCAGACGAACATTCATGAGAGGCTACGTCCCCAGGGTGGTCAACCGGATAATCCTCACAATGAGGATCGTGAAGAAAGACGCTCAGCTGTCCACTCGCAGACGAACATTCATGAGAGGCTACGTCCCCAAGGTGGTCAACCGGATAATCCTCACAATGAAGATCGCGAAGAAAGATGCTCCGCTGCTCACTCACGAAGAGACGGCTCTCGTCGACGAGCTACGGAGAATCTCTCGCAAGCGCAATCCACCGACACTCCGCCTAGGCAGCGCAGACGAGAAGGTCGACACTCGCAGACCCAGGAGGAGGTCAGTCAACGTCGCCCGAATCGCGAAGGTCGCCAACGTCTTCACCAAAGAGTACACCTCTTACCGGACGATCAAGAAGAACCCTGACCACCTGTACAACCTGCGCAAGAAGTTCGACGAATCCCTTCGAGATTACATCAAGAGATTCAAAGCAGAAAAGGCCAACATTGTAGGATGTGACGACTGGATCGCATCATCTGCTTTCAAGAAAGGCCTCCCAGCTGAACACGACTTATACCGTGAGCTGACTATCACTCCCAGCCAGACTCTAGCAGAGGTCTATGCGACCGCGGAACGCTACGCGCTCTGGGATGACGATCGAATCGCCTCAAAAAAGTCTACTAAGCAGGAAGATCAACCGACTAAGCGGGCAGGTCAAAGAAGCGATGGATTTAGCAACAAGAACAAGGATAAGCGCAGGTCACACCCACAAGGAGACGCTGCAGCAGGAGAGAACTACACCAAGTTCACCATCCCCATACATCAAATCTTAGCCCAAGTGAAAAACAAACCTTGGGTAAGAAGACCGCCACCCTTGAAAGGAGATCCAGACAAGAGGGATACAAGCAAATACTGTGCCTTCCATGGGACACACGGGCACACTACCAATAACTGCCTCGCTTGAAAAGCACACCTTGAAGAACTTGTGAAAGAGGGTCACTGCACGGAGTTCATCGCGAACCAGGCCATCCAGCGGATTGAAGATCGAGACACCGCCAAGGAACCACCCCAGAAGGTCATAAGGATTAACACAATCCTAGTCGACGCCAAGGAGTCAGGACTGACCAGCAAGGAAAAGAAGAGGAAGATCAAACAGGCCACTATGATCTCCCAAGTCTCGACTGACCTTCCACCAACAGAAGACGATCCTATAATCGGCTTCCAAAAGAGAGATCTGATCGGCCTCGACATGCCACATAACGATGCCCTTGTCATCAGCATACAAATCGCTCAGGCCATGGTCGACCGAATCCATGCAGACGAGGGCAGCGCAGCCAATATCCTGCAGCTGGCTGTCATCCAGCAGATGGGCTTGGAGGCAAAGATTAACAAATCAGCCAGATCGCTGACCGGCTTCAATGGCGCAACAACGGTTACCGTGGGCACGATAGACCTCGACGTCTACTCCTCACCTGTAGTCTGCTTGCAAACGTTCATGGTCATTAATGAGGTCTCACCTTACAACGGCATTCTGGGCAGGCCATGGATCGGCATGATCAACGCCATCACCTTTGCCACACATCAAAAAATTTGGTACCCAATCCTAGGGGGCGGTGTTGGACAAATCAACAGCGATCAGGCAATGACGAGGAAATGCTCCGCCCAAGGGCTGAAGAAAAGCAAGCAAGCGCAGTTCCTCCCAGTAAGCCAGACAGATCTGAAAGAGGTGGAACAATCGAACCTTGCTATCTTATAGCAATCAAAGCGTTATGACCAAGCCAAGGAAATCCGTCCAGAGGTCTTTCCTAAAGAAGGATGGAAGCCCGAGGAGGACATCGAGTTAATACCCTTGGATCCTGACCAGCCAGACAAAAAAGCGCGGATCGGCTCGCGCCTAAGCCCAGACGAGAAGGTGGAACTTACCACCTTCCTCCAGAACAACAAAGATATGTTCGCATGGTCGCCGTCAGACATGCCTGGTATTGACTCGAACATTATATGTCACCGACTCCACGTCAACCCTACCTGCAAACCAGTGGCGCAGAAGAGGCGCAACTTCGCACCCGAGCGGATCGCCATCATCGAAGCCGAGATTGATAAACTCCTAGCCGCCGGCTTCATTGAAGAGGTCTCCTACTCGGAGTGGCTCGCTAATGTTGTTCTAGTGGCAAAACAAGAGAAGGGAAAGTAGAGAGTCTGCGTCGATTACACTGACCTCAACAAAGCGTGCCTAAAAGACAACTTTCCATTGCCAAGAATCGACCAACTAGTGGATTCCATTTCTGGCAATCAGCTACTCAGCTTCATGGACGCCTACTCCGGCTACAACCAAATCTTGATGCACGAGGATGACAAGGCGAAAACTTATTTCATCATCGAGAGAGGGACCTACTGCTACAAGGTCATGCCTTTTGGGCTGAAAAACGCCGGAGCAACCTACCAAAGACTGGTGAACAAAATCTTCAAGGAGCAGATTGGCAAAACTATGGAGGTGTACATGGACGACATGCTGGTCAAGGCCCCAAAACGTGCAGATCACCTCAAAGACCTCGCTGAGGCATTCAGCCTGCTCCGCCAGTATCGCATGAAGTTGAACCCAAGTAAATGCACATTTGGTGTATCCTCTGGCCGATTCTTGGGATACTTAGTCACACAACGAGGTATCGAGGCACACCCACGTCAGATCAAAGCTATTCTAGAGATGAAGTCGCCTTCCACAGTGAAGGAAATACAAAGTCTGACGGGCAGAGCAGCGGCCCTCAACCGGTTCCTCTCAAGATCAACTGACAAGTGCAAACCATTCTTCAAAGCTTTGAAAAAAGGACAAAGAGACAAATGGGATGAGGAGTGCGAAGTAGCTTTCCAGAGTCTGAAGGCTTATCTCACTTCACCTCCCCTGCTTTCAAAGCCAGTCCCTGGTGAGGACTTGTTCGTGTACCTGGCAGTGTCCAACTCAGCTGTCAGCTCAGCTCTCATCAGAGAAGAGCTGTGGGCCCAACATCCGGTATTCTACACGTCAAAAACTCTCCTCGATGCAGAGACTCGTTACCCAAAATTGGAGAAACTCATTTTGGCTATTGTAGTTTCCGCGAGAAAGCTACGACCCTACTACTAAGCTCATCGAGTCATCGTCATGACTGACTTTCCTCTGAGATCAATCCTTCATAGCCCTGATGCTTCTCAGCGACTCATGAAGTGGGCTATAGAGCTAAGCCAATATGACCTACTTTACCGGCCAAAAGCTGCAATAAAAGCCCAGGCTTTAGCTGACTTCGTAGCGGAGTTCACCCCATCGGCCGAAGAAGAGAAAATGGTCAACGAAAAGAAGGAAAGTTCAAAAGCAGACGGGACCTTCGCTGAACCTAGCCAACCTAGAGACACGTGGCAGTTGCAGGTAGACGGATCGTCAAACCAAAAAGGAGCTGGAGCGGGTGTCGTCATCATCACCCCGGATGGAACCTTGTTGGAGCAAGCTATCACGCTTGGCTTCCCAGCCTCGAACAACGAGGCAGAATACGAGGCACTGCTCGCCGGCCTGCGCTTGGCGAAGGAACTTGCAATTAAGAAACTAGCCATCTACTCAGATTCCCAACTGATCGCGAATCAAGCCTTAGGTGAATACATGGCGAAGCACCCAAGAATGATCTTGTACCTTGACAAAGTCCAGGAGCTGTTGAAGGCATTTCCTACCTTCACCATCCAACAAGTACCCCGGGCAGAGAACGCACATGCAGATGCACTAGCCAGTCTAGGGTCAGCGTTGGATACCCAGTTCAGACGCTCCATCCCGGTCGAACACCTTGACCGGCCAAGCATTGAAGAGGTAGAGCCAATCGACACCATGCGAATTGACGAGGACCCCAGCTGGCAAGACCCCATCATTGACTACTTAGTGAATGGAAACCTACCCGCGGACAAGTCCGAGGCTAGGAAGGTCCAGCAGAAGGCCGCGAGATACTACATGCACAACAACAAGCTCATCCGCAAATCATACTCCGGCCCTCACCTTACCTGCATAAGATACCCTCAAACACTTGAGGTCCTCTGCAAAATTCACGACGGCGAGTGTGGCAACTACTCTGGGGGCAGGTCACTCGCCCAGAAGGCCCTAAACGTAGGCTACTTCTGGCCTACCATGTGCCACGACTTCGCTGAATATGTCAAAAAGTGTGATCGTTGCCAACGATACAAGCCAATTCCTAATTTGCCTGCCGAAATTTACCATCCGCAAAACAGTCCATGGCCATTCATGCAATGGGCCATCGACTTAGTGGGTCCCTTGCCACCGGCGCCCGCTAAGAAAGAAATGATGATCGTCACCACCGACTACTTCACTAAATGGATCGAGGCCGAAGCTCTATCCTCTACTAAAGAAGCCGATGTGGAGCGATTCATCTGGAGAAACATCATATGCCGATTTGGCTGCCCACAATCGCTGGTCACTGACAATGGCTCACAGTTCATTGGCAAGCATATCACCGCCTTCTTTGCGAAATACAAGATCAAACAACACTTATCCACTCTAAGGTATCCACAAGGAAATGGGCATGCCGAGGCATCTAACAAAGTCATATTGGACTGCTTGAAGAAGAGGCTAGAAGGCGCCGAAGGGAAATGGGTGGATGAACTCCCCGGAGTACTATGGGCTTATCGCACTACCAAGCGAAGGTCGACTGGTGAAACCCCATTCTCCCTCGCCTATGGGACAGAAGCGATCATCCCTCCTCACATCACAGTCCCCTCTACAAGCCTCGAGGTGGGCAGTGTTGATCAGAACTCCAAGCAAATGAGGCTCAACCTTGACCTACTTGAGGGCGAACGTGAGAAGACCATTATTCGAGTCGCCTCCTACCAGCAGCAGTTGAAGTCTTACTACGACAGAAGAGCTAAGGTCAGACAGTTTCAACCAGGCGACCTCGTGCTAAGAAAGGCTTTCATCACCGCACCAAGACAAGGGTCGAAAAAGATGAATCCCAACTGGGAAGGCCCTTATGTGATCAGCCGATCCGGGGGCAGAGGAAGCTACACATTGGACACCATGGATGGGAAGCAAATACCACGACAATGGAATGTTCACCATCTCCGAAAGTATTATCCATAATGCTTCCTCATGACTGCTAGAAGTTTCAAGTTTTGTACTCAGTTATTTTCATTTTCGAATAAAGGACTGTAATCTTATGAATATCAATATAAGTTCAGTTTCTCATTCCAAAATGTCTTCTCTGCTTACAAAATACAAACAGTTGCCCATAAGCAGCGTCCTAAGGGAGACGCAGGGCGACGACCAAAGCGTCCTAAGGGAGACGCAGGGTGCGCCAGGAATTTCTTAAAAGGAGGTCTCCATGCCTTCTGCGAGAAGTATCCAGGTTCCTATCCGTTTCCTAAGGGAGGCAGGATAGACACGCAGTTGTCCATAAGCAGCGTCCTAAGGGAGACGCAGGGCGACGACCAAAGCGTCCTTCGGGAGACGCAGCCCGTAAAAAGCATCCTAAGGGAGACGCAGGGTGCGCCAGGAATTTCTTAAAAGGAGGTCTCCATGCCTTCTGCGGGAAGTATCCAGGTTCCTCTTAAGGGGGGCCCTGTCACTCGCCAACTTCCTAAGGGAAACCATCCTAAGGGATGCGCAGGACACGCCCGGAGTCCCTCAAGGGGGACCCTGGCACTCGCCAACTTCCTAAGGGAAAAACATCATACGGGATGTGCAGAATACGCTCAGAATCCACCAAGGGGAACCCTGTCACTCATAAATCTCCAAAGAAGAAGTGCAATTAAGACAGAAGCTGATTACTTAACAGTTCACAGGTCGATATGCAAATTGAAAGTTGAGAGTAACAACTGAAATTTCCATAACAAGATGACCAACCGGCCAAGTTCAACAACAGGAATATGGTAAAAAAAGACCAATTATTCTAAACAAGAAAGCAAACTACAAAAGCTGAAAAGAAATAAAGAAGTCTTCATCTACTCTGAGGCGCCAGCAGGAGACCTCTGAGTCGCAGCCTCTTCGGCGTCCACCTGATCAGCTATGCCTTCAGCAGCCTCATCTGCCATCATCTCATCTACTGTGTCCACCTCCCCTCCATCCTCTCCAACTTCTTGCTCTTCAATTCCTCCTTCCGCACGGGGTGAATCAAGGCAGAGTGTCTCGATGTCTACATCGTCAATCGCATACAAGGGAGTAGTCTCATCCGCACAGTGCAGATAGCCCAACTTGTACGCGTCTATGATGGCTTCAGACTTGGATTTCTCTGTGGACTTGTGGTATGCGTGAAATCTAGTCAGGAGCTTGTCATAGCTAAGGGAGATGTCAGCATTCTTACGCTCAAGACTAAAGAAGGCATCTTTGCGACTAACCAAATCAGTGGCAAGAGAGTTGAGCTCAGAATCCTTCTCGGTAAGGGATCTTTTCAGCTCAGAAATCATTGCCCTCAAATCATGCGTCTTCTTCTCATAACGGGCCTACTCGGCAACAAGATGGCTGGCCAATTCAGCATTCTTCTTCTCTAGCTCGCTAAGCTGAGCAGAAGAGGGGGCAACATCAGATGAGTTCCGAATGGTCTCTGCAGCAAAAACCAATCCTTTTTGAATCAGATGAAATGTCGCTTCCCTTTGTTTTTCCAAGGAAAGGCTCGAGAAAGTGTCAAGATCGCCTGCCTGACGAATGTGATCAACCAGCTCAGCACATGAGGATGGGTTCAATAGGAAGTTCGTCTTGAGCAGATCAGACACGCATGCATCCCCCGCAGGGTTAGACTTATCCACCTTGGGACCAACCGCCGTCGCTGAAGAAGAACCCTTAGCCCGAGCAGATGACTCTCTCATCTTCTTAGCCTCCGCCAACTTCATCTCCAAAGGAGTCAATGATACTGAATCAACTCCACGCTTGACTGCCCACGGTTCAACAGCTGGATCATAAGCAGACCTCCCACTTCGATCTTCATCTTTCGACCGATGCAGACGACTCGAACTTCGAGGAGGAATGTCTACATCTCTTTGACGCTCAGCAGAACTAGGCCGGACACGAGCTGTCTCATGAAGCATGTCATGGTTTTCGAGCGTGTCGGCAGGAGGCTCGGGCAGAACACCCCGAGCACCGCGCATACCACCAACCTTCGCGCTATCTGCACCCTCGAGATGCTTGACCCTGGCAGATGATGACGGAGCAGACCCCACTTGAGTCTTCTCAGCAGAAGGGAGCCTTGGCTTCTTCCTCGATGGAGACCCATTCTTGGCATGCGAAGAAGTGGCTTCACCTCTGGAAGATTTGGTAGCAGCCTTTCTCTTTGGTGGAGATTCAGCAGAACACTCTTCATGTACTGTAGGCAGATCGTCAGGGTCAAGGCCATTCTGCTTCCACCTTTCAACATCCTCGGCAGGGGGCAGACCACCGTCTACCTCTCGGTACTCGCTCAACAGTCAACGCCACTCGCGAAACTTTTGAGGGATGTTCAAAGCACGACGGACCTTAGCCATGTCTGGTCCAAGCTCTAATTGCTTGCTAATGTCATTCACTATAAGCAGAAGACAGAAGTTAGTCAACCACACTTTAAGAAATTCAAATAAAAAGGAACATATCAAAAGTCGCAAAAGACATACCATGGCAATAGGTGACGGGAACAAGTGGGCCGTCACGAACGTCGCCCTCCCACCGTCCGCTAACTTCCAACACGTCGTCATGCCAAGCGTGATCTCCCTGACTGAGACCGTCGAACAGCTTGGTCTTGTAGGTGCGAACTTGGGCATACTGCTCAAAGTGCCTCACCTCGAAAAAATAAAAGAACTCACGCACTGTCAGCTCCAACGTGAAGAAACGGCTCAGATTCTCGAAGCACATGATTGCCCGGTAAACATTGGGAGTACACTGGCTCGGAGCACACTCCATGGCGCAGAACACCTCCTTGAAGAGCTTCAACAGCGGGAATTTGAAGCCCAAGGAAAAGTAAAAAGGACGGAAGGTAATGACCCTAGCGCCGGGATCATTCTCATCTACCAAAGGCTTGCTATCAGTCCAAGACTTCAGTAGCTTGACCTGCACGTCATCTGGAATGGCAGATGTGAAGGCAGCCCGCCACTTCTGGAACTGAGCATCAGTCGTCACGCGGTGCAAGTTGGCCACGAATTTCTTGCTAGGCACTAGGGAGCTTGGAGCCTTGCTACCGTCCCCAGAAGACATAGTTGGTCAACGAGTGGCTTGCCAAAAAAGAAAGAATTCTACAAGTTAGAATACCGGAAAAATTTGCAAAGAAAAAAAAAAAAAAAAAAAAAAAAAAACAGCAACAAAAAATAAAATAAAGTTCTGGCTGCTTGGATCAGCCCAAGCTAAGAGAAGGACAGCCCAGCAGGTGCTCCAGCGCAGGGCCCAAGTCGCACCAACACCAGCCAGCGCGCAGCCCAGTTCCAACACCAGCACGGAGGCCCACCTCCAGCCTGCGCGGCCCACGTCTCGCGCAAGGCCCATCGCTCATCCTTCCGCCTGGCCCGCCCGCTCCAGCACCAGCGCACGTGGCCAGCTTGCCTAGCGCAAGCCCACGACTCACGCTGGCCCAATTCCGCTCAGCTCCAATGCAGGCAGGGCTTGGAGCCTCCAGACCTCCAATTCGAAGCCCAGCGCACGCCAGCTCGAGCCCACCTCGCATGCCAGGCTTAGGCACCTCCATACCTCCATGCTCGAGCCCCAAAGCATGCAACTTCAAGCCTGCCATGCTCCAGCCCGTGGGCACATCTCACCAACCACGCCCCATGTCTCACAGCTCCAATGACCAACTAGAAGATACGGACCAAGATGCTAAAAGTCAGAGACACAAAAATTCTTCTAGGCTAATTACCTTGGATGGACAGCAAAGATGAAGTTTCAAGCACGCTGGGAAAGCCCTCCAAAGTTTCTCTCTCTCTCACTTACAGAATCGGTGGAATAGACTTTTTGATGTGAAGAATAAATTGGAGGAGCCCTACATTTATAAGGATCAAAATTCCTTGACCTACAAGGAATCGCAAACTCTTTCCAACTTGGGAGTTCATAAAATTGGCAAGTCAAATACCTCCTCTACTCAGGAGCCCAGGTCCACGAAGGAAGCCCAGTTACAGCTGGACAACCCAACGGAGCATTTACATCTCCTACATGCCACCACGCGCCATGCAGAAGCTGGGGGGCATTTGTGGTAACCAAATTAAATCAAAACCCTAGGTCAAATAATTCATTCCATTTGGGGATTATTTGACCTAATTGGGAATTAATCAACCTAATTGGGAGTTACTCAATTTAATTGGGGGTTACCCAATTAAATTGAAGATTACCTAATTGGGTTAAGAATTGATTCCTAATTCCTACCCCGATTCTCAATTAAATGAGGAGTTACCTAATTGAAATGGGATTTGATTTGATACCTACCACAATTAGGGATTTGATTTACCCTAATAAATCAAATCCCTAATTAATCAAATCAATTCCATAAAGGGGAGGAATAATTCCCTTCTATCTACGGAATTATTCCTCTGAAACCCTAGCCTCCAAGACAACTATAAAAGGATGGCCACACACAAGGGTTGAGGTACGTCTGAAATCCCTACTGAAACTCTGCAGAAAATTCCTCTCAAACCCTAGCCACCTCCTTTCTTTCTCTCTTTTACATAAGGCTCCGGCCGCCCGGTTTACACCATAAACTCATCTCCGTATCCTATTAGCTATTGTTTTCTATACGATTCAATTGAACTAACTTAGGCATCGTAGGGCCTTTGGCCAACACCCCCTGGGTGTGGTCCTCTTATTGGTTCTATTTTGCAGGGAGAAGGAGGCGGCGAAGAAGAAAGGGGAATCTTTCCAATCGAATATTCTCGTGGGGAAATTTGTACAAACAGCTGTTATACGAATGTTGGCGTATGGTGCATTTGCTGATCAGGTGGATGAGATTGCCCGGATGAGGAAGTCCACTGCCTTGGAGAGTTTGGTTAGATTTTGTGATGCAGTCGAAACTCTGTACCCCAGGGACTACCTACGCCAACCCACGCCCAAGGACCTGAAACGACTTCTGCAGAAAGGCAAACGAAGAGGATTTCCAGGAATGATTGGTAGCATTGACTGCATGCACTGGCAATGGAAGAATTGCCCAACTGCTTGGCAGGGTGATTACGGAAATCGGAAAGGCCAAAAAAGCATCATCCTTGAAGTTGTTGCAAGTTTCGATACATGGGTTTGGCACGCCTTTTTCGGAGTTGCTGGATCTCAAAATGACTTGAACGTCCTAGGTCAATCCCTGATGTTCAATGATGTTTTGAGAGGAGAAGCCCCGAAAATCACATATGAAGTCAATAATACCGTCTACCAAACTGGGTATTATCTAGCTGACGGGATCTACCCGAGGTGGACAACATTTGTGAAATCACTTCCGCATCCCCAAACCCAGAAGCAAAAATTATTTGCTACATATCAAGAGGGTTACAGAAAGGATGTGGAGAGGTGCTTTGGTATTCTCCAAGCTCAGTGGGTGATCATTAGGGGTGCAGCGCGTATGTTTGATGAGGAGGTGTTGAGGAGCATAATGATGACATGCATCATCCTTCATAACATGATTGTGGAGGATGAGTATGATTACAAAGCTGAAGAGGTGTACGAACCCGATCCCATGAACACGGCCTTGACCCGAATTTATGAAAAACCAATAGGGCCAAATGGAGGACCAGTGGAGCATAAACCATTGGTTAGAGATGGTCTTTTCATGAACCATATGATTGATTGATATACGGAGATGCAATCTTCGTATATTCATGAACGCCGTCGAATTGACTTAATACAGCATTTATAGGCGGTGAAAGGCAATGACAGTGAATGAAGTGAAGTGAAGAACATTTTTAAGATTTTAATGTTTATGTTTTATGTTTAGTTATGTTTGGTTTTTTTATGCTTTGGTTGTGGTTTGTTTGTTTTTATATTTTTAATGCTTTGGTTGTGGTTAGTTTTTTTATGTATTGAATGTTTTGAATAAAAAGGAATTTTATTTAATAGTTTCTTTGGTAACTCAAAGAAAACCAATACTACTAATAAAATAAAATACATGAATTCCAACTAATTTTTAAAACAAAACATTAAAATACAATGAAATGAAAAGGCAAGCAAACTAACTTAAGGGTTTTCATCATTTAACCAATCCGTATTGCTAGGTCCATCATCACGAAAAAGTCTTCGTCTCATAATAGCCTTTCGTTCTAGCTTCCAATATTGTTTTGTTTCAGGAGACATGTGGCTTGTATCCATGGCCATGGTTTCCCAATCCTTCTTTTCTTCGTTTTCTTTGCGTTGATACTCCCTTTCTTTAGTAAATTCTATCGCCATTGCCCTATCATTTTCTTGAACTTTCTTGTCTATTTCAATTCTCAAGGCGCTTTGCCTTGCAATTTCCTCCAAAAATTTAGAGGTATTACTCGTAGAATTAATTCCCCTCTTTGCCTTCACCGCCTTCCTCCTAATAGGCCTCGGCTCCTTTTGAATGGGTGAGTCTTCACTCATAGGGTGAGTCTACACTCACACAACAAGATATCTTCCATGATGCTCCATGCCCCTCCGGTTTCTTGAGAAAAAGCCATAATGATAGAGAAAAATTAAACTTGAAAATGAAAACAATTTAGAGTAAAAAGTGAAGAAAATATTGAATAGAAAGTGAATAATAGTTGGAGAAGGAGAAGATGTATGAGAATTTGTTGTTAAAACTGAAGAGTATGTATTGGTATTTATAGAAAAAAAGTCAGTATTTTTTGAGGTTTTTAAAAAAAAATTTACGATTTTTTTTCATAATTTTTTACCTTGAAAAATGCTAGGGCGTTGGATTGGATGACCAGGCTAAATCGGAAGGACCACAGCGCACCACGTCGCACAGAGCCGTTGGGGGAAAAGCTGAGGCGCGTTTGAATTTTTTTTAACGTTGGCGCGTGCATTGCACGCACCAACGGTAAAAAAAATTTAAAACCGCGTGCTGACGTTACACTGGCATCAGTGATGACGTTAGCCAAGCCCTTGGGCTTCCTTAGCCTTCAGGCCAGCCTAGGCACGTGGACCCTACCTTGCCCGGCCAGCCTTTGTTGCTGGAATTTTGTTTTAGGCTCTTGCCCCCCCTTTACCCCGAGCCCTAGGGAGCTGCTGGAAATGGCCTAAGGGAAGGGTGCCCATGTGTTCTTAAACCACTCTAGGATATGTTATTTTTCCAATGTGGGATCCTTGAGTCCTAACATTCCACTACGCTTACATACCCAACGTCCTCGTTGGCCCACTCTATTGACACTAACTCAATAATAGTCGTTTCCTTCCTTTGAGACGGCTTCACTCACCTACCAATATTCATGCCCATACATAACATCAATCATTTTAATCTAGCCTATAGATTGCCCCTTCCATGGATTTGGGCCCAGTTGCATGGTGAAACCTGGCTTTGATACCAAATGTTAAGAACTCATGGGTAGAATTTGCCCTTAAAAATGGGATTGTAAGAGCATCCACAATGGTCTTCTTAAACCACATCCTTAGCTAAAATTTAGGGAGGAATTGAAAAAAATCTACCTCCAACCATGCTCCCTATCCATCTCCTAAAATAGAGAGACCTTTAGGATCTCCTAAATCTGAGGAGAGAGAAATAACTCCTAGTAACTCCCTATAATTAAATGCTTTTATATTTAATATTATTTTAAGCATTTATTTATTGTCAACTATTTTTTATTGTTGCTTTTGTGTCTATACTTTATTCAAAAATTGAATATAAAAATATTAAAAATATTTATGACTCTTTAAACTAGGGTACCCTAAAGGGCGTCCCTCAAATAAATAAAATTTCATGAAATAACGTATAGAGAGCTCATAAAATAGTTTTCATAAAATAGTCCCTCAACCATATTCATAAAATAATTTTAAGCGATGGAGGTTGATAAGTGTTTGTCTACCTGTTTCCCTCATGGCTTCGCCATTTCGTGGCCTTTTCTTATTAAAATTAGAGTGTGCTTATTAAAATTACATTTATTTCACAATTTAATATATCATTTTTGGTCATTTTATATTAGGGTAAATTAGTAATTCAATAAATAGTTTGATAGTATGGTGTACTCAGTTAATTTTAGGGTTCATTTAGCAGCACTCTAATTAAAAGTTTAAACTATGCATAAAACAAAGCAACATTAAATTATAGGGAACCACTAAGAGTTCTTTCTCTCTCCTTAGATTTAGGAGGTTCGTTGAGGTTTCCCTTATTTAGGAGGTAGATAGGGAGAATGGTTTGAGTTGTATTTTTTCAATTGCTCTCTAAAATTTGTCTAAGGAGGTGATGGTTAGGGAGCCCATTGTGGATGCTCTTTAATTTTTAGTTAAAATTTAGTGAAAAATACTTGAAAACTATTTTATGAGCTCTTTATAAAATTTCAACTCCAACCATAAAATTGTCCTTGATTTTATTATTTCAACTCAAAAATTGACTATAAAATTGTAGGGTATCCTAAAGGGCGTCCCTCAAATAAAATTATTTGAGGGATCCCTCAATAGAAGGGGACTATATATATATATATATATATATATATATATATATTATAGAGATGAACCAATCAAATTGAATTAAAAAATAACTGTAGTATTGTTGAGGCCCAAAAAATCCAATGCTGGACCCAAATATATTTCTAGCACAGTACAACACTTAACTAGGGAAGAAGCCCGACTGAGGTAAGCAAGAGTTTTTCGTGTACGCTTGCACAAGTTATGGTTCACGTATCACGCCAAGCAAATACGCAACCCGCCACGTAAAAAGGTCGTAACAAGCTCATAAAATGTACTGGCTCCACGTTTATTATCTCGTCAAATGCCATTTGGCTCAGACATAGCCCATTACAATACGACAAAGCTCGAGCACAAGCATGCTAAATAACACGCAACGCCAGGCGGAAAACCTTTATCTTGGCACCAAGCCACGCTACAAGCTTAAGTGGGCCAAGCCAAGCGAATGCCTGGGGCTTGTTGAGCGGGTTGTAGTATGGATGGTTACGAGTCTTCATGAGGCCCATTGATGGTCCAAGAAGTGGAAGTTTTGGGCTGTTTGAGAGCTCCAAACTCAGGCCCATTTCTTGAGCCTAAATATTTGGGTAAGCATGAGAGAGAGAAAACAGTCCAGCATCTTAGAGAAATGGCCTAGCATCTTAGAAAATATCCCGACACCCTAAAACCAAATCAAAACCAAGCCATCGTTAAAACCAAGTGAAACCCATGTGCATTGACTGTTGGAAGTAAAACACCTTTTAGACCAGCACCCTTACCCAATCTTTCCTCTGCAAGCTTTGGTAGGAAAACAAGGAGAAAAAAGCCAGAGGCAACTCACTTAGGATGGAAGGAGTCAGCTGCAGGAAAACCTTGGAGCTCCAAAATGCTCTATCCCAATGTGCTTGGATTAATGAATTTTCACCAAAAAAGATTGAATCAAACGAAGTGAAAGGAAATAGAAGGGAAGACTTGGAAAAATTTAAGGAAGGTCAGCTATGGTTCCTAAACCAGAAGGGGCTTCCAGCGCCTATAAAATGGGGTATCTCCTACCCAACAGAACAACACATCCAGAGTGAGCAAATATCTTCACTCACTGCTGGAACCTTCAATTTCAAGCCCTTTTCTCCCATCTTCTTCTTTTGTCTTCTAGCAAATCATATAGAGCGCGACCAAGCTTTTGTCAAGCTGCTGGAAAACCTTCTCAAGCCACCCATCCTTTCATCCTCATCTCCCCCCCCCTTAACAAATCTTCCCAAAATTCCCTATCCTCTAACTTTAAACCTCTGTTTCTAATAAGAAATCTAAGCTTTCTCTCTCTAATGCTAAACTCATGAAGGCTCAGCTCCTATACCACAAGCTTCTCAAGGCTTGTTGGTGAAAGAAACCAAAGTGCTTCCTAAGGCTCCACGAACTTTTCGAAGCACTCTTGGGGGCCTGATTCTTGAACTCAGGCATAAGGGCATCCATTTGTTCTTTACAGCAGCCCAGGGCCATCTTTAGCTGTTGGAACGAAAAAGCCCCTACAAGTATTTATGACTCCTTAAACTAGGGAGTATGATTGGAGTTCAAATTTTATAGAGAGCTACAATAATAATTTTTGTGTGTTTTTAGCTAAATTTCAACTAAAAAAATAGGGAGCATGATTGTAGATGCTTTAGGATATGCTATATTTCCAATGTTCCCTAACAGCCCCTCACATGTGGGGGTAACAGATAGAGTCTTTTAGGCTAACATATGAACACTTCTTATTATATGACGTGATTTACCACATGAATAGCATGCTCTCATACCATATTAGAATGTGATCATCTAACCTAAAACCAATTCTTATTAGATGATGTGTGAATACGTAAGCTTGCTACATGGATAACCTGCTCTCATATTATATTATAATGTGAGCATCATGTTAGCGAGATCCTAGCTTAATTAGGATATTTATTTCCTAGTTTGTTAGGATTATATTTCTTTCCTTTTTGTACAGATATTGTGTAATTAGGTTTTTATCTTGTTTCCTAGTTTGACCCTACTAGGGTTACATCCTTGTACTATAAATATCTTTTTTTGGAGAATGAAAAACAACCTGAAAAAAATTCTACACATATTGTTTGACTTAGCATCATAGCTAACTTTTTTGATGACCTGTGTGTTGTGCCCACCCGTGTTTTATCCCTATATTTTTTTCTCTACTTGTGCCGTGTGTGCCCTCCTGGGTTTGTGTGTTGTGTTGTGGTGTTCGTGCCTCTACTGTGTTCGTGTCATTCCTGTCTTCGTGCATCTACCGTATTTGTGCCTTTACTGTGTTCCACTGTGTACTCTGTCGTGATCTGTTGAATTTCTACTGCAATCATGGATGATAACTCCATTGTTGGTGCTGCCTCTACAAATTTGTGTGTTTCTCATTTTATTCCAGGTACTCGCTCCAATACTTGGATAATTGACACTAGTGCTTCTAATTATATGACTGATGATGCTAAATTTTTTGATGAGTTGTCTAGTAACACCCGTGACCCATACATAACTAGTGCCACTGGCTTGCCTTCTCCAATTACTGGTGAGAGCACAATCTCTCTCACTCCTACTCTGTCCTTGTCTAGTGCGTTACTAGTTCCCAATATCCATTGTAACTTGTTATATGTTGGTTGATTACTTGATACACTTAATGCTTCTGCTACTTTCTATCCTACACATTGCTCTTTTCAGGATCTCAAGACTCACGAGACGATTAGGCATGGTAAACGAATAGGGGGGTTATATTATTTGACATTGTCTTTTGCACCAGTTCGTGATCGTGTCGTTAATACTGTTCAAAATTGCAATGTCAAAGACAAACAACAAATTTGGTTATGGAATAAAGATGGAAACAAATGCTTAACACAGTGTGATCGCTACCTTAAGCATTTATTTCCATATTTATTCCGCTCTTGTGATAAGTCCAGTTTTAAGTGAGACATGTATTTTGGCCAAGAGTCATCGCACTGTGTTTCTTTTGAGTGACAGTAAAGCTGCAAAGCCTTTTGATTTAGTGCATTCTGATATATGGGGTCTGGCTCGCGTTACTTCGAATGGATTTCGTTGGTTCGTCACATTTATTGATGATTGTACCTGACTCACTTGGGTTTTCTTGCTGAAAAATAAACATGATGCTGCTTCCATCCTTCCAGAGTTCTGTACTATGGTGTTTACTCAGTTTCATGCTCAAGTCAAAGTATTTCGAACTGATAACGGAGGCGAATATGTAAATAGCACTTTGGCATCTTTCTTCTGTGCTCAAGGTTTTATTCACCAAACGACAACCCCATTTACTCCTCAGCAGAATGGTGTGTTCGAATGCAAGAATCGTCAGTTACTTGAAGTTGCCCGCTCCCTTATGTTGGACATGTCTGTTCCCCATCATCTTTGGGGGAATGCTGTTTTATCTGCTGCATATTTGATTAATCATACTCCTAGTCGAGTTCTTGATTTCAAGACTCCACATGATGTGTTTGGTGACCATGTTTCCCTTGTCTTAATCTCCAAGTTGCCCCATAAAGTTTTTGGGTGTGTTGCCTATGTTCATGTCTATTCTTATCAACGGAGTAAACTTAATCATTGTGCTATGCGATGTGTCTTTATTGGTTATTCATCTACTCAGAAAGGTTATAAGTGTTATCATCCACCTACCCAGAAGATGCATGTTACTTTGGACGTAACTTTCCATGAAGAAGTGCCCTATTATATATCTCCCTCCTCTCCAATTCAGGGGTAGAGGGGGGAGTGAATTGGAGAATAATGTGTTTGAAGATGCTGCTCTCGGGAAGGAAACGACATGTCGCACTGAAGCAAGTGACCAGTCACCCATATCTGAAGATGAAACTTGTGGTCCCTGTGAAGAAATGACTGATTGCCCTTTGGAACTCGATCAGTCGCCCATATATGAAGATGAAGCAGGTGCTCTCGGTGTCGAAACGACCGGTCACACTGAAGCAAGTGACCAGTCGCTTGTATATGAAAATAATGACAATGATTCTTGTATGGATGAGTTCGATGCAATACCCCCTTCTGTCCTGCCAGTGCCCCAATTTATTCGTGATAGTGAATCATGTGAGGTAATTTCTAATGATTTATCTATGTCAACTTATCAGTTACCCCCACGAACCACTTTTGGGAAACTTAAAGTACAATATTCTCATGATATACATGCCAAGTCTAAATATCTCATTAGCCATTATGTGTCAACTCATTGTTTATTTAAGTCATATGCATCATATTTGTGTCAATTATCTAGTGTATGTGTGCCAACTAAGCTGTAGGATGATTTATCTAACCCCAAATGGATGGATGCCATGAATGTTGAAATGGATGCCTTGAACAAGAATAAAACATGGGATTTAGTTCCTTTACCACAAGGGAAGAAAGTTGTTAGATGCAGATGGGTGTTTATTTTGAAGCATAAAGCTGATGGTTACATTGACCGTTACAAGGCTAGATTGGTAGCAAAGGGTTATACTTAGACCTATGGAGTGAATTATTTGGAGACATTTGCTCCAGTGGCAAAGCTCAATAGTGCGTGTACTGTTGTTCCTGGCTGCTAACCGCGATTGACCTTTATTACAATTCGATGTCAAAAATGTATTTCTACATAGTGACCTCAAGGAGAAGATTTACATGGATCTCCCTCCTGGTATTCCTGTAACCTCTAAGGAGGGTGTTGTGTGTAAGTTGCAAAAGTCTTTATATGGGTTGAAGCAGTCTCCAGGAGCGGGGTTTGGGAGATTTGCAGCATCTATGAAGAAATTTGGGTATGTGCAGAGTAACCCAGACCATACTTTGTTTCTAAAGCGTCATAAAGGTAAATTGATAGCTTTAATTATTTATGTTGATGATATGATTGTGACTGGAGATGATCAGGCAGAAATGCAAAATCTTCAGAAGTATCTGGCTTCCGAGTTTGAGATGAAGTCATTGGGTGATTTGAAGTACTTTCTTGAGATTGAAGTTGCTAGATATAAACATGGTAACTTTTTATCTCAAAGAAAATATATTTTGGATTTACTTGCAGATATTGGAATGTTAGATTGTAAACCAATTGATACTCCTAGTGAACAGAATCATAAGTTGGGGTTGTATCCTGATCAAGTCACTACAGATAAAGAGCGTTATCAATGACTTGTGAGGAAATTGATTTATTTATCTCATACACGTCCTGATATTGCATATGCAGTGAGTGTAGTGAGTCAGTTTATGCATTCTCCTAGTGAAGATCATATGAGTGTTGTGATGTGCATATTGAGGTATTTGAAAGTAACTCCTGGAAAAGGGTTAATGTTTTGCAAGTATGGTCATACAGATGTAGAAGGGTATACAGATGCTGATAGGGCTGGTTCAGTTATTGATAGACGTTCTACGTCTGGGTATTTCACATTTGTTGGTGGTAATCTTGTTACTTGGAGGAGTAAAAAGCAAAAAGTGGTGTCTAGGTTTAGTGCCAAGGCCGAGTACCGTGGGATGGCTCAAGGTGTGTGCGAGTTACTATGGTTGAGAAGATTGTTGAGAGATCTTGGGTTTGGACCCCAGAAACCCATGGATTTGTATTGTGATAATAAAGCTGCAATTGCAATTGCGCATAACCCTGTACAATACGATCGTACAAAGCACGTGGAGGTTGATCGACATTTTGTTAAAGAGAAATTAGATGCTGAAATTATTTATTTTCCGTTTATATCATTCGAGTATCAACTGGCAGATGTTCTTACGAAAGCTGTCTCTACTATGGTCTTTCTCAACTTGCTTGACAAGTTGGGCATGTGTGACATCTTTGCTCCAACTTGAGGGGGAGTGTTAGCGAGATCCTAGCTTAATTAGGATATTTATTTCTTAGTTTGTTAGGATTATATTTCTTTCTTTTTGTACAGATATTGTGTAATTAGGTTTTTATCTTGTTCCCTAGTTTGACTCTACTAGGGTTACATCCTTGTACTATAAATACTTTCTTTTGGAGAATGAAAAATAACCTGAAAAATATTCTACACATATTGTTTGACTCATCCAACCTAAAATCAACTGACAATGAATAAAGAAGCCTTAATATTATAAGATAAAACTACTCAAATTAACACATTGTTGATCACGTGGTACTTGTCCAAATGTTGAAAGTGAAGTGAAGCTCAAATCCCCTCCCTTGTAAATAAAAAAAACACTTCACAAAATGCTATTCTAGATGTTAGCAATAATTATTCACACCAAAAAAGAAGAGTAAAGAAAATGAAAAAAAGAAGAAAAACATTTAATTTTACTTAGGAAGAAGAAAAAAGAAAGAAAATGAGAATGAGAGAGGGTTTCAATTTAGGGACCCTTGTAAATAAGAGCATATCTAGCAGAGTTGTTATACTATAATCTTTAGCCGTTTTGGCTAGAATGAGAGTAAAACGTAGCTCCAACAGACTTGCTATTAAGTTTGGTGTCTCTCTATTTTGGAGAACTCTCTATTTAAGTTTGGTGTCTCTCTACATTTAGAGAGGAGGAGAGAGAAATCGAGGGTTCTCCATTTCTTTATCTTCCCTCTCCCTAGGCACACAACCTTTTCTCACCTCTTACTTTTTGACTTTTTAATAAACTTTTAATTTAGAGAGGATGAGAAAGAAATAATAAAATATTAAAAATTAGCTAAAGTAGAGAACATTGCTCAAATAAACTATTTTTAAATAGTTTCTTATAATAGCTTTCTAGCTATTTTAGCTAAAATTTGGTTAAAATTTTAGACTCTCTTAAGGGATGCTCTTACAAAGGCTGAGAGGAACACACTACACGCCCAAAGCCATAATCAGAAATCAGATGCCAGCCTCCTCCAAAGCCAAGAGCCTAAGCTCTCTGGTTCGCTCAGCCATCAAATCCAAAGCCTCCTCCATATCTCTAGCCTCACCCGCCGACGACGCAACTCTCAAGCATTTCGCCTCCTCCCTCGACTCCTCCCCTCCCTCCAAACCAAAGTCCAAGAAGTCCAACAAGCCACTCTCCGAACCCACCGCTCCTTCTGCGGTCGCCAGCTTGAACTTGGACCCGGCCTCGGCTTCAGGTATGGCATTAACTCTTTGTTTGGTTCATTAGAAAGAGTGGGAAAAGTAAAGAAATGGGGAAATAAAGTTCGGGGTCTTATGCACTTTATTGTATGAAGAACTCACACAAACAAAGTAAGAGTAAAGGTCAAGTTCGTTAGTCTCAGTTTGGAGAAAAGGGTCATCCTTTCTTTGTCTATTTGTTTTCAGAGGATAAATTAGATTACTTTTCCTTTGTTTTCAAAGAGAGTGGATTCAGTAGAATTTAAGTAATGCATCATTTGTTGATGTTTTTATTTTAGATTTCATGTTTGATTGCAGAAGATTTGACGAACGAGCTGCCTGGGGGGATATTTTCGATATTGTCTGGTATGTGTTTGTTACTTTTGTTGTGAGAATCAAAATAGTGAATCATTTCATTTTGTTCTTGGTTGCTAAGGGAACGTAGGAAATTATGAGACTCTGGAGTCTGGACATTGATCAGCATATTCCCAATATTACACTAGCTTGCTGAGCTTAAGATTTTTGTAGCGTTGTTTTTTTCCCTTTTAAGGAAGTGAGAAACTTTCTGAAGTCAGTACTTTGATTTATGTATTGATACAATGCTTTAGTTGAATTTTAATACTGTGTAGAAAGTTTCCAGATAACTTGAACTTTGATAGTAAGAGGGAAATTCCAATTTATCTGATAGTATTCTTTTGATTGGTTAGCATTTAATAATTTCCTTCAGGTTCTGTCACCTCCTTGTAATAACTAATCTCTACTCTATAATGGTGTGACCATTTTTGTGCATATACTGAGGAGTGCACATTAGCTTTTGTGTCATGAACTTTTTATTTTTCTCCCTAAGTAGTTTGGTTTTCTTGTTGATGGATCGTTGTAGCTGTGTATTCCTTACTCTTTTCAGGTGGTAGTTCTAGTAATTCTCCTGATGTCCAGGGAACTGAAGATGAGAAATCTATGGAAAATGCATTGGACTTACCATGGTTTCCTGACATGTCTCATAGTGTGCTATCAATGCGTCGCAAAGAAATAACTCGTGAAAGGAAGCAAAAGTGGATTTTCAAAAGCTCTCAGGTAAACCGTTTTGGTCGGTTAGTTAACATGTGCGCCGACAGGCTAGGGACACACACCACTATTCAGGTGTTTGATAAATTGGGACGAGAAAGTGGTGTGAAAGAATATAATGCATTGATAAAAATATGCATAGAGAGGGCTAGGAGTAGTGCCGACGAAGATGTTGGATTAGAACAGATTCACATGGCTTTTCAAATTTTTAAATCCATGAAGGAACAAGGTTTTCTGCTGGAAGAAGAAACATATGGTCAATTTCTTGCATATCTAGTTGACATGGGTATGACAGAAGAATTTCAATTTTTCTGTGGAGTTATCAAAGCTGAAAACCCTAGTTCAGTTGCAAGACTAGGATACTATGAGATGCTGTTATGGATTAGAGTCAATGATGATGAAAAAATTCAAGAGCTCTGTAATTACATCGTAAGTGATGATGGAGGAACGATGTCTGTTTTACAAGGTAAGTTTCTCCATTTCCAGGCTAGTGATTATTTTGAGCTCAGTTCATTTATATTCTAATTGTCTGAATATCTTAACTTTTTCTGAGGCATTAGTGGGTCTTGTATTGTTTCAGTTCTCTTTGTTGTCATATCTGGGAAAATTGGTCTGTGTTTTCAAACAACCTTGTGAAATAATATGGCTGTCTATGTGTTTGAGACTTAATGGTGCATGGTTAATTATATTTGAGGAATTCACCTCTGGAGGACTTGGAATAAATCTCTTTTGTAATTTTTGACCAGATTCTTGAATAAGAGGGTCGCTTACTGATTAAAGAGAATATAACATGAAATTAAAATCTCAGATGTAACATTCTTTAAAATTCCAAGGAAGGACTTTAAAAGCGTTAATTGGGGTGAATGATGTTATCGGTTTTGCAAGTGATTAGTGGTAAATAATAAAAATATTTATAAAATGTGTCTAGCATGGATATATATAGTGCACATATTAATTAGGACATTATGAAATTGGATGCTGGGATTTTTCTGCACACTAGGACATTTTTGTGACCAAGACACTGTCCTTGGACTTGGCATCAGTGAAAACCTTACGATTCAACTGATGTTGCAGAGAATTATCTGTTAGCACTTTGTGAAAGTGACCGGAAGGAGGAGATTTTGCAGCTGTTGGAAATTATGGACATAACCCAAATCTCATCATTGGATTGCGTGGCTAGTATCTTTACATGCTTGGGAAGGCTACTACTGGAGTCCTATGCGGAGAAGTTCCTTCTGTCATTTAAAGCCTGTGGTATGTTCATGATAATTATAATTTCCTGACTGATGGACACTGGTATTTGCATTGGAATTTAAAATCCTATCATAATTGAAATACAAGTAGTAACTGATTTTACTTTGGGAAAAAAAAAGGATAGTGTACCATTGGTTCCATAGTATTCATGCACTGAAATACTTACAGACTTGATTTTAATTTTGTTGCTAAATTGCAGACCATGAAGCAGAGAACATTACAAACTTCATCGGTAGTTATGTTGTCGGCATTCCAAATTTAGCGGTGAGGAACTTCTCATGAATACTGCTGGTAATTTCCTCAAGTCCACAATTATAAGAAGCACTTTTGCTTCTATGTAAAAGTTGTGCACATTTTTAAAAGAAAATATATGGTAGTTAATTTTTTCTTAATTTTTTTATATTGCCATTAGTTTTTGGGCTCTAGTGGTCATAATGTTGATGCTAGAAGTTTTATTAGTTGCAAGTTTTTGAGGTCTAAGCCTTTTTGGACTCGAGAACTAAAAATACAATCATCCCAAGACATATAATATTCAATTGTGCACACAGTCAATCCCGCAAAGGAACAATCTGCTGATGATACTTGATACTTGAGAAAATAGAGGGGAAGGAGGCTTAGAGCTTCTGATGATGGAAGTGGTCTTTTGGGTTGGAACTGCTCCAGAAAGGAAAACAATTTGGGTTTTGGCTTTTTTATTTTATGGTTTTTCTTTCTCGTGAGGGTAATCAGATTTCATTCTCTTATTGTAGGGCATCTGACATTCTTCTTCTTCAAGGAAACCCTGGTGTTTTTTTTTCTTTAGGAAATCAGATGGTGGAAATTATACCTGCAGCTGTTTTATTTTTCTTTCAAAAATTCCAGGCCAAACAAAGTGAGCCTGGGATTCTAAAAACTTTTCAAAAGCAAGGGCCAAAATTCACCGTCTGGATGTAGGGCTTTTGAAAGATTTAGAAACCTGTTTACAAGTTACAATTGCTTATGGTGGTGGGCTATAGTGTTTAAAAGCTGGTGATTTGAAGGCTTTGGATTGTAAAGTAGTTTTATGTTCTGCAGATCTAGTTATGGTTTAAAAGACAAAGAAAAAAAAGGGTAAATAGAAAAAAAAGATAAAAGATGAAGTTCTGCAAAGAGGAGAAGAAAATAAGAAAACAGGTTGCTGGAAATTCTGGGTGGTAGCTTGTGTTAGGATTTGAGCTGTTTTGAAGATCTTCTTGGGGGCTAGAGGTTGTAGGACAAGCTTGGGTTTAGGTTTTGATTGTCTAAGCCCAGAAAATGATTGGATCTGCAAAGAGGTAAGGTAAGATATCGAGAGAACTTGAGGTTGCTCTGTGCAATGAACAGTAGCCCCTGTACAGTTTACAGGAAAGAGAAGTGGAGAAAAAGAAACACAGTAGACAACCATGCCTTCAATTATTAAGTGTCATAGTTGTATATGACAAATTCTAACAGTCAATAGGATTAGATAGGAATGTATTGACTTCTGAAGTTACCTTTTTTGTAATTTCTTACAAACAAAAAGTTACTGTTTTTGTAGTAGGACTGGGGCAATGAACTGCTGAAGAAAAAAGCCCACATAATATTTCATTACGCAAGCTAGACTTCTTAATTAAAAGACCTTTTGCTCTTAGTTATGACCCATACTGAACAACGACAGATAGAAAAATGCCAAATATAATGTAAGATAAATATCCATGTCCGAACAAACTATCACTGACACTTGTTTGTTGATTAAAATGTCGTCCTTGAAGTTGTAGCTCTTGTAGATCTAGCCTCTGGTTTTGGAAAAGCATATTATTTTTCTAACCGATCAAGGGCCATTGCTTTAGTGTGAACTCTTTTTTGGAGTACTGATTCTCAGTTATAATTAAATAAAAATCAGCTTCTGGCAGCTTCTATCTTGTCTTTTATAACTGCTTAAGAAATTCAACTGCGATAAAAAAAGTACAGAGTGATTAGATCCTTGTTTTGCACTTTCTGTTTATTCGGAAATAACTTTCTATTTAGTGCTCGATGCTTCTTATGACAGTGTTGTATTTACACTAATTATTGGGTGTTGAAGGTTGAGGATGTCATTTCAAACTTTAAAAACTGGCACACGAAACTGGGAGTGACCCCTTCATCTGCTGGCTATGAGAAGCTTATCATGTACTGTTGTGAATCACTTAAGGTATGCTTGATCTGTTGAACAATAGATTGAGCTCCAACATTGGTCTTTCCATATTTTCTTATATGCTAGTTTGCTTCATGAAGTTGTCTTGTATGTTTCTTAAAACCCCTTAATGGTTTGGAGATTGCTTCAAGATTGGTTATTTGTTCATCTATTTCTATACAGGTGCATGCGGCTCTTGAAATGGTTGAGGAGATGTGTGAACTGGGTTTGACCGTTTCGATAGGGGCACTACACTCCATTTTACGTGCTAGTGACGAGAGCTGTGATTTTAATCTGGTGTGCTGCACTATTCTATATATATATATATATAATTTTTTTTTCTCCACTTGTATTGTATGGCTTTAATTATTTCTGTTCATACCTTTTCGATAGAGGTGTTAGGATTTTGGCTCGTGAAATATGTCCTAGTTGGTTTAGGATTGTTTTAGGAAAATTAGAGGTATACCAATTCTTGTCCTAGAGGGATTAGGAAAGAATTTCAGTTTTCCTTATTCAATTTGGGTTTGGATTTCTAGAAGTCTATTAGGATTTGGATAAGTGTAATTTCCTAATCCACTTAGGAATAGGAATTCAATCAGCCTTGGGACATGTAAGCCAACTCTATATCTATAAATAGGGTGTGGCAAGGCTTATTTTAGATAAGAAAAACAGCCAGAGACAGCCGAGAGTTTTGAGATTAGTTCTAGGGTTGCAAAAGTTCTGTAATCTCTATTATTAATCAAAGGAGCGGTGATTTCTTTACCTAGAGAAATCACAACTGGACGTAGGCAAAAGTTCTGCCGAACCAGTATAATTCTTGTGTGTTTCTAAGTTTTCTAATATTTGCTAGTTTAGTCTATTGCCGTTGGTTACATTAAAGAACAAGATCTAGAAGGCGGGTTATTTAACAAGAGGCACTACATGCGGATGTTAGAAAGTGTAATAGTTAGAAGAGCCTTAGTGAAAAACAGAAGAATATTTAGGGTTGCTGTAGTTGTAGAGTATGTAGACAGAATGTGGGCTAAAAATAGAGGTGTCGCTATGTTATTGGGTTGGGATACTAGTTCAGAAAATTAACTTGTCAAAATGGCTAGAAAGGACCATTTACCCATGCACGGATGCTCATATGGGTCCAATTGGACGGAACTTAGATGGAAATCTCAATCTGGACTGAGATTGGTAACAGACTTGACCACAAGGGTATGATTAAAAAAATTGAAACCACAGTAGTAATTTTGAAATAGGACCCAAGACATAGGGACTAGTGTAGAAGGCTGAATAATTTTGTGTCCAGTCAAGCCTTTGAAACATTTTTGACATTTTTACGGAGGATAACCAGAATCAAAGTGGTTGACTAGGGGATTTGTTAAAGTCATAACATGGACTATTGCTGAATCACAATATGGCTAATCTCCGAGTGAAAATTTTGATTTTAACAGAAAGAAAATGGAATATCATATATACATATATCCCATCCCCCTAAACAAAAGAAAAAAAAAAAGAATAACAAAGAAGATTGAAAACATAGTGTCAATGGTTGAATAACCCATCAAACTGAAGATTTTCCATTTATGTTGCTTTTGTTTTCCCACTGCTTGTTTTTTCCTGTCTTTGGTGGTTTCCCATCTTTTTTTATCTCCAGGTTGAGTCCTGAGTGAAATTCGAATGTTATCTTTTTTGTTCTGCATTACTAATCATCAAGGTTTGAACTTCTTTGTCATTGATTGTGTATGAGTGTTCTGATATGGGTTTGACTACCGTACCTTCAGGTTCGCCAAATGTATTCAATGATTTGTCGGTACAAATTAAAGCCAAATGGTGAAACTTTCAGGCGTATGATAACTTTGTGCGTGAAAATGAAAGATGTAAGTTTTTATTTGGTTCCTCCATGAGTTTCCAATTTTGCACACTTGCATTATTTATTTATTTTCATTTTCTGTTGTTTTTTGCCAAATATTTATATTTTGACAATCTCATAACATGGAAGTTGAACCACAACTATCAGCATACCACAATTTGATCTCATTATGTTTCTTTTCTATTGCAGTATGGAGGTGCGTATGACATGCTGAGTGATTTGGAGAAAATAAATTTAACTCCTACTGCTAGCATGTACAATGCTATAATGGTGGGATTTTTCCGAGAGGTAACCCTATTTGATCTATGAGATTCTTTTTATGTCCCTTTGTGTGGACTCTTTCTTTCTTCCAGCTTTGTAAAACTAAGTGGGCTTCTTGTGCCCATAAATTGTTCCTTGTCTGCATTTTCTGATGTTTCCTAGGTTTGTGGGCTGGGATGGTGACTGACTGTTTGATGATTTTTAACATTGAATTAGTGATTGTTTAAGCTTTCATTAGTGGTTGAGTTCTGTTTCTCAATTTGTGGCCGATCACTATTTTTTTTTTTTTTTTTTTTTTTTTTATTCTCTCTGCAGAAGAACATTTATGGTGGGTTGAGGGTTTTCAAACAAATGAAAGAAGCAGATGTACAACCAGATTCCCAGACTTTCAGCTATCTAATTAGTAATTGCGACTCTGAAGAGGATATTAACAAGGTAACCTGAAGTTTTTTGTTCTGGCCAAGGTTCCATGTCTTACTTTCTGTTGTCATATGATATTCAATCTGGGTATTTGTGAGGCCTCGTTTGTTTGACCAGAATGCTTGTACATAAATAGGAATCACTCATTTTCCTGATTGTCCCAGGCATACAGCGAGAAATAGAGAGATAATTTAAGTCCTTTTTTTTATAGACACCTCTAAATTTGCATTCCATGCAATAGGAATATCACCATCGTCCCTGTAATTCTATTCCACCTGTGTAAAAGAATTGATCCCAGTCACCGACGGTCAATTCTTTAGTTTTGTTTCCTTTGCTAGCCAGCCAAACATCACATTGTGATGGCATGGGAAACCATTCATGATTTGAATTCTGGCCAAACAAGTGAGGCCTGATTGTCCAATTTACTAATATTTTATGAGTGTTATTTCAAAAGATGCTGATCTGATTATCTACTTGTAGTATTATGAAGAAATGAAGCGTTCTGGAATTCAAGTTACCAAGCAAATTTTCATGGCACTTGTAAATGGATACGCAACTTGTGGACAGTTTGAAAAGGCAAAACAGGTATCTATGCATGTGGCAACTTCTTTGTACCGAGTCTCTTATGATCCAAGGAGAAGATTTTATGTTATCTTGAATGTAGCTTTAGAACTTTGGGACAATAACAGAATATGATTGCAGAACTTGTGTTCTAGTTTATCATTGAATATAACTTCAGTTTGTTTTAATCTTTTATGTTTGGTAGTTGTCTACTATCATATTGATACTTTCCTCACGTAGTGATGCGATTACTATTTAAATAAGAAGGGACTCAGTCTTTGTTTTTTTTGGGGAAATATGAATAACCATAAACATTGGGAGTTTGCGGCCGGTTCCTAAACGTTTTAAAAAACTGTTGTCATTATTGTTGTTTCTTGCGAGAGTAGAGCAAAACAAAATGGCCTGCCTCCTAGAATTAAATTCTTTTGAATAATGTTCAATATGGAATTTTAAATTCAATGTGGAGGAAATTAAATATTGTTATTTCTACATAGTCCGTTTTCCCCCAATCTTCTATTTTTTTAATACTGTAAATGTCCTCTATCTGTGTTTCCTATTAGTGCCTTATTCATTTTCCTGCCATATTGTGATCATATGGACAACATTTGCCTGGTATTCTAGTTTTTAGCATTCTTCTTACTAATAATTAACTGTTTACTATTTAGGAGCTGTTTTTGGCGCTTCAACTCCCTCTATTTTTTTTCATTAGGAAGGAGTGCGTGATGACTTTTTGGAGTGCTAATAACAATTCCCTAATATTTTCTGTTGTACCAGAATTATGACTCTTATGAGTCTACAGTAGAAGTTCTAGGTTTCTATATACTGTAATAATTTCTTTCAGATATGTACAAGCTTTCCAAGCTATATGCTTGCTTATGAATATGAATGGTTTCTAGTGATCTTACTGATACTCGTTGAATGGTAGGTAGTCTTAGATCAAGGGATTCCAGTAAAGTGCTTGAATGAAATTAAAAGCGTGCTTGTCCAATCCCTTGCATCACATGGGCAATTGTGTGACGCGTTCAGTATATATGAAGAGATGAAGCAAGCTGGATGCAGTTTAGAGCCGAAAGCTGTTATAAGTCTTATTGTGAGTTCTTAAATTAATGCTTGAATTCTTTGTCTTGTCTGAACATCTAACATTTTCTTAATTACCTCTTAGGAGCACCTCCAATCTGATGAAGAATTAAGCAGATTACTCCCTCTTCTTGACGAATTAGATGATCCAGACTATTGGTTTGAGGGTTGCCTGAGAACGATCTTATGTTGTGTTCGGTACAAGCACTTAAGGTCTGTTCATATAACAGTTATGTTGAGAATACCTTGGGTATTCTAAGCCTTGCTTTCAATTTTTAATCTTGGGCCATTACCAATTGCTTTTGGTTTGGATACTCCAACTTTAATAATTTCCTTCATCTGATTATTTTGACAACTCCCAGTTGCTCATGTCTCTCTCCTTTTGATATAGACCTGCGCTCAATTTACTCAAGCAACTCAGGGATAAAATCTGTACTGACGAATTAGCTCTAGAAGTAATTTTTAATCAGGTTTGTTCTTATTCTCTCACAATAGATGTGTGAATGAACATCTTATTTTGGTAGCAGCAATTCATTGTTATTTGGTTAAATTGTATCTTCCAGGTAATTTGGTTTAACTCTTTCAGAATCTGTTTTCCTTTCTGATCTATGAAGATATTGCCTGTTTTCCTTTTTGTAATTTGTATATTCACATGTCTCGTACAAGACTCCCTTGCGGTATGTTGTATCAACTGACTGTATTTTGTTGCTTTGCTGTGACAAATTGTAGGTGTTTGCCCTAATTGCAGAATCAGAGTCTACACATTTGCAGTTGGGCTTGGATTTGCTTCATGCTATCAAGAATGAGCTTGGCCTCACCCCTTCACGGAAATGTCTTGATTTTCTTCTCCAAGCTTGTGCTAATGCCAAAGATCTGAGAAATTCCAAATTGATTTGGAAAGAATATGAAGCTGCTGGCCTGCCTTACAACACTTTAAGTTTCGTAAGGTGAATAATCCTGCTGCTAGTGGAAATGTTTCAATTTTTGGTTTTAGCTTTTTACAAATAAGCCCATTCTAACGTGTCATTTTATATATATAAAAAAACCATTCAAGTCCAATACTTAAGAAAAACTCCATGTTGTACTTTCAAATGAAAAAATTGCATCAACTAAGAACCAATTACAAAATGACAAGTGGCTAATTGAGGGCTTTTTTCTCCATGTAGGCTCTGTAAGGGTTTTTGTATAAAATGTCATGTTATAATGGGCCTATTTGTCTCTCTTGCTTGAAAACCTTGTTTCCTTGGATTGGAAATGATTTTGTTGACCTTTGGGTTTCAATATCGGAATTCTTGCAGGATGTATCAAGCCCTTTTGGCTGCAGGGGACCGCAAGGCTTCGAAAATTTTGCTTAGTAAAATTCCTAAAGATGATCCCCATGTTCGAACTATCATTAAAGCATGTAATACCATTTACTCAAGAGGGTAAGAAGTACAAGAAATAAACAAGATGAATGCATCCTTCAAATTATAAGCAACCTATTTTTTGGCTCCTTGAGAAATGAAACCACGAGCCTTGTACTGGGATATGTCCCATATATCCAATGTGTACGGAATGCTGGTTCTATGCTCAATTCACATCGTTTGGAGCAAGTTGTACAGTCTGGGTTTTTTTTTTCTTTCTTTTTTATGGTCGTTGCATTGTGGTTCCGTAAACATGAAAGACATTGCGGTTTTATTTTTGGTTTGCAAGACAGGTTCTAAGAGACGATACTGAGGTTTGAATCGGAGGCTGGACCTGTGGAACTGATGAGTTTAACTATCAAAGTGTATGCCTGGCGGATGCATACATCTCACAGGATTTTTATCTTCCAGGTTAACTTTGTTAAAGTGGATAGGAGAATGTTCTGTATAGAATTTCACCTGTATGAATAAGAAATTTTGCACTATAACTAGATTCGTTTTCTTTGGAATTACAGGGAGATCTGAACCCATAATCACTAGATGTCAAGCTCACAGGCAAATTTATTGAATATATTTCGTCGTTCAATAATACTAGACACACCAACTCGTCTCTTTTCCGCACTCTTAAAACGAGTTGGAAGAGAACCATTTGCCAAAACCAAATGTACATTTAGAAGCTTGTTCTTTTTTCATGGCGCACTCTCCAGTAGAACGAAAGACCCTCATGAAAAGCAAAATATCCTATCCACCATTGTCACATTGCTAAATTAGCTTTTTCAAAAAGACAAAGCAACAAGTATAGCTTGCCTGCAGCGTGCCTTGGCCTGCTCAAGCCTCTCATTCAAAGTCTCTTCCTTCACTGCAGCCTTTATCATAACCATGTCCATTTCTATCAACTTCAACACCCTAAACAACTCGGTCACCATTCTGTCTTCCACTTTGCCTTCATCTCTCAACACCTCTGCTTCCTCTCTTGCTCTCTCAGCCACAATCTCTGCGACTTTCACCAACAAGTCAGCGGAACCAAATTCTTTTCCCATTAAGCTCTCCAACTTCTCCAAGAAGTCAGCTATCACATACCCTATTGGTTTCTCTAGCTTTATCTCTTTGGTTCTCTTCCAACCAATCTCAAAGTTGGGTGGCTCAGGCTTTACAATGCCAGTTTCTGACCTCCTCCTGTCCCGGGTGATTTCCGATTTTCTGCGCTTTTCGATCGGAAATGTCTCTGCACTGGTGGTGGTTTCAGAGTCTGGACTTGGAAAATCTGGTTGAGTAGAGTTTGGAGGAGTGCATGTGGTGAGGGACAAGTGTTTTCTGTGTGGTCTGTGGGTGGAAAGCTGAGGTGGGTTTGTGGTGGTTTGGGTTGGGAGGAGATGGTTTAGTGGGTGAGGGTTTGGAGTTGAGAGGAATTGTGGGAATATGGAAGCCATGCCTGCAGCTGGGAAGTGGAAGCCAAACTGAGAGAAAGAAGATAAGGCTATTTGTCCCTGTTAGGATGCGAGTCAGGCGTTTTGCCGAGCATTAACCCCTTTAATCACGGGTCCCACTTTATTATATAGCATTTCATCAGATTTTTATTTTTAATTGAAAATGTGCATTGAAAACTTCCCCTTTTTGTAAACTCTCAAATTCCTCTCTCTGTGAAAGTTGCAGACCTCACACTCAAGGAAAAAATGCAGAGCAAAAATCGAGCTCTCAAAACCTTCTCTCTTTACTCCATAGAAGTCTCAGACCTCATTCAAGATATGAAAAATGCAGAGAAAAAACCTCTCAAAATTTTCCCTAAGCAGCCCTCATATACCAAAACAAGTCTGCTCCAAATTTCCCCAGCTGACAGCCACTCATTGGCTTCATAATAAGACAAAAAAATCATCATGATAGAAAACCTACAGCTGATAACATGTGAGAAAATAATGAGCTAGCAGCACACATGTTACTAGTTGTATATGTTGACTAGCCATAACTTAATGCGCTCTAATGTATGCAATGCATGATTTACTTTCGAACATCTTGATTGCATCGTGCCACTGTTGATGTCTTCAACATTAATCATCTTCAACTAGACTAACCTAGTCTAATTAACCTTGAGCTTGATGAATTTACATGAGCAGTTACAAAGTTGTCAAGGGAAGCTAAAAACCTTAGCTAAACATAACCTAACAAAAACACAGCTTAAAATTGTTTTTAGCTTTTAGTTTGCACCACCCTCCTGTTAAGAGTGTTTATCTACATTAAAAAGTTAAGGGACCTAGCCTGAAGTTATAAGGAGTTGAGCTACTCCCTCCATTGCCAATTGATTTTGGAGTGGAACCTCAACTCCACTACCCTTTATCCCTCATCTTCTCATATATTTTTCCGCTATCTCTAACAAAAATGAAAACAGACTTGGTTACCTTCAAATAACCATTCATTTTACGGTCAAGCCATTTCCTTTAGGCACCAAGTTTATTCAAGCCCACCGCATGCCTGCAAGGCCTGCAGGGTGTATTTAACATAATTAAAAGGGGTGGGGTTTGTGTTTAAGCCATAACAATATATGCCAAATAAAATATTTCCCTCATATAAAAATAAAAAATAAAAAAAATTCAAGTATCTACACTTAAATAAATTAGTTTCGATTATTTCAACATTCGATCTACTTCCAATAGCACATATGTACAAATAAAGCTTGCAATTGCCGGATTTCCCACACAATGCTTATAAATATATATTGCTCTATAAATTGAGACATCACTTCACTTCAGGGCCCAATTGTATCAGAATTATATACTAGGAGAGGAACTAAAATTAAAGATGGTTAAAACCCTGAAATTGAGTGTGTCTTGCCCTAGCAATGGCAGCACCATCACTGGTGTTAAATAGAACAGAAGCTGCAGAATATGTAGTAGGAGATGACTTGGGTTGGACTATTCCTCCGGATGGCGCTGCCACTTATGCTTCATGGGCTTCCAAGCATACCTTGGTGGTTGGTGATATTCTAGGTTCTCAACTAATACTCTTTAAGTTTGTCAGGCTTGATTTTTATCATTGTAGAAAAATCCATATACGTATAACATGTTTTAATGGTTATAAATACAAAAATATGCTAGATACTCGTTTACCATATAGGTTTGTTTGGATTTGCAGTGTTTAAGTTTGAAGCAGGAGAACAAGACTTGGCTTTCGTAACCAAGGAAGATTTGGGCAGTTGTGACACTGCGGATCCCCTGCATGTATTCGAGAAACCAACAACAATTAAATTTCTTGGAGCCGATACGTTTTATGTCACCTCCACTTTGGCAGGGCACTGCTCCAAAGGGCAAAAGATGACTTTTGACATCTCACCCTCTTCAACCTTTTTCAACCAGTCCAAGTCCAAGTGCTGACCAAGAGTCCCAGCTCCCTCTCAACTTTGTTACTCAGATCTCTGGGATTGGCTTCTAGTTCGTTTCTCCTAGGGCTTTGCCCTAAATACTAATTTGATAATTTCAAATTTCATCGCCAAAATAAAGAGGGCCGAGTCATTGTATAAGTACTTGGCTCATCGATATTATTTAAGATAACCACACTCTGTGTGTGAGAGACAAGTCCCTTGACACATATGGCGACTTTTTGTCCCTTATCACAGTGCTCATGGTACATGCTTGTAAAGTAATATATGCCCGGGGCATTCGAATTGATACATATGTCATCCATACCACACATGGTAGGGATTGGTCATATTACAATGCTCGAAATCTTCTTTTTTGACTTTAGCAATGTTAGTCTTTGACTAAAAATTTATGTTAGTCTTTGGCCAAAAAAATTATTGCCTCTTTCATTATTTTTCCTACCTTCTTTTTTTGTTAAAAAGTTAATTTTCCTACCTTAATTTTTTGGTGCATGAATGTTCCTAAGTGCGTTCCTTAGAAATTTGTAGAGAGCGAGAGCATCCGTCTACACTTTTATGAGAAGAGGGGTCATATTTAATTATACTACATTTGTTTAGCTTCGTACAATTCCAACAGTAACTTCAGTTTGATTAATATATTTTCGTATGACATCAGTCAAGTGTTTTGAAGGGCTATTTCACAATGACATTTAAAAAACATAAAACCGAAAGAGGGAGAGAGCGAGTTCTTAGTTTTTTATGCCATGATTCAAGTTTTCGTCCCGACACAATATATATAGTCTCTTTTTATTGAGGGACACTCTTTATGATCCCCTACAAATATATTTTCAATTTTTGAAATCATCTATTTTTTAAGTCTACATTCATAGATCATTCTTACAAAAAATTAGACAAATCGGAAACCGTTTCGATATCCAATTGTGTTATACAAAATCAATGAACACGATGCTTCAAGAAAGTACTAAAATTCCAATAATTTAATTGAGTGGTCAAATGATATTGGATTCAAATGATTTTTATTTTATTTTTATAAAGATGATTTTTGAATGAGTATCTACAAAATAAACTGTTTGGATTAGTGAAATACAATATGAAGTGGGCCTTACAAAGGTGTCCCTAAATGGAAGCTCTCTGTATATATACATATACAAAGCAAAAAGTAGAGAATGACGAAACATTCAAAATATCAGAAAATGAATATTAAGTTAATATGGTATATTCACACTTTTTCATATTAAAAAAATTTAAAAATAAAAACAAATTGAAATAATGGGTCATATTTTTATGGAACATAACTACCCATTATCTTTTTTAATTCTAAAAGAAAACCAATTAGTACATTAAATAACGTGTCATATATTATAACAGATCATCAATTTTATTTTTGTCGAATCTTACAGTTAGTTGATCACATTATGTGGTAGTTTATATGCATGTGCCAAGGAACTAGTATATATATGAGAATTAAATAACGTGTCATATATTATAACAGATCATCAATTCTATTTTTGTCGAATCTTACAATTAGCCGATCACATTATCTGGTTGTTTATATGACATGTGAATTAATGTGGACAACTAATTTTTTAATTTTTAATGTGTTTGGTTCGTGATCCAAATTTTCCTTTTTGATGCATGTTTATAATTGTCTTTTAAGTCCAACCAAAGTTCATGTTTTGTGTTAACTTGTGACTTTGAACATTGTCGTATGCACCATTTACAATTGAGGCTTGCCAGCCAAAGTGGCTTTGGGCGACTTTCGCTGGCAGTCGCTACTTTAGAGAGTGACACCTAGTTTACTCTTTCAAGGAAATTTAAAATTATTGTTACAAAATTAATTTCCATTTATACCCACAATCCTTTAAACGAAGCCCAAACGACACTCTATACTTTCTTCTCTCTCACATGCCAACAGAGGAGACGCCTATTTTCTATGAGGCAAAGACTGCCGCTACAGTCGCTTTGAGTGACTCTGGCTATAGCATTCCTCTATGTGAGTAAGGTTTTTTGGGGGAGTGTGAGGAATTTGTCAGGGAGAGACAATATTTAAAAGGCTAAAAGTATATTTAGACAACTAAATTTCATTAGAATTTAGACTAATACTAATTCATGATCAAAAAAAAAAAAAAAAAAAAAAAAAAAAAAAAAAAGAAAAAAAGCAAACTCTTTGAGGCATTTAGTCGAACACATGGTAAGCACCAGTATATGGGCATATTTCAACCCCTCCAAGGGATTTTCTGACAAGAGGAGGTGCAATTGCGCCTTCTTGTATCTCTATGGTTCCGCCTTGCATATGTGGGTGTTAAAGTTGCTCCTTCCATGTCATATTGTTATTTACCCCTAATTTGCTAGCCTAAAAAATAGGCAAGATGCAAGATATTGTATGAAATTGCTAGCGTGCCACTATTAGTGGTGTAAAACCCTAATAGATTTTAACATAAATAAAGTAAATTACACACCAAGAAACTGACTTCTAACTGAACAATTGTGCATTGAATGGGGAATTGGTTCAATATAGGTTTTTTTTTCTATGCCTCAAGACAAACGAGGACTTTAATATTTCTCTAATACAGAGGAAAGGAAGTAAACGACAAATAAAGAGTGAAAAAAGGGTCAGATGGTTAGAACTAGGACTGCTACCATCTTAGATCATTTCTGGACTGCTTTGAATGCTTTGAGACTAGGTAACAGTCGAATGCTGGGGTTCGAATTTGTACTATGATTGAGCACAATACCTTCAATTGAAATAAATTGGAAATCGATGCCAGTGTTGGAACTGGCAGAGCAATTATCAATAAAATTTGTTTGCCTTGAGAAAAGGAAATAGGGTTTGTATAGAGTTTATTGTTGAAAAGTTGTGTGCCGAGACAATGCGTTATGTCTCTTTTTTATATGATTTTTTCCCTAGCTCGAGAGTCCACAATCAATTAGGGCATGGTATTTATGAGGATCAAATCTAATAGCGTAGTATAAATTATCTAATTAACTTGCCTTCACCGGCGAGAAAGAAAGAGATTTATCCTTGATTTCCTGAGCAATTATCAATTTACATATTCACTTTTTTTGGCCACGCGAATTGGCCTAAGGAGTTCATTTAACCCGAGCGGCTCGGTAACCAGGCCACTTTCTAAGATTGTTACTAGATATGTTTTGGGCCTTCTTTGAATTGTCTAAGCTTGTTTTTCAATGCATTTTCTTGTTGTTTGCTCTTCAGCTGTTTTGTATGGCAGTTTGTGCCATTATCTCTTGTGGTTTCTTTTGCACCAGCAGTTGGTTGTTCTTGAAAACTTTTGATTGCTTATACTTCAACAAGTTTTCGATTTCTACTAAATTAAGGGGGAGACAAGTTTCGGTTTTTTCATATTTCATTTCTGTTTGTCTTCCCGTGGGATCACATCACTGATCAAGAAAATTGTTTGTTCCCAGAAAGATGTAGTGATATAGAAAGAGGAATTATACAAGCTTTTGCTGCTAGCAACATCAGGACTGGACACATGAAATTGCAAACAATGAGATTTTCCGATCTGCTTGTTGCCTGTCACATTCTTCAATCAAACCATGCCCAACTCCCTACCCTTGAAACATGATCCACCTTGTGTTGACATTTCACACAGGCAAAACAATACAAGAAATCCCATAAACGATGAGCAAATTTTCAACAAAATGAAAGTGTTTTATTGGGTACAAAAGAAAAACAAAACAAGTACTCTACAACAATTTGCCTAAAGTGGCTCAACAAAAAAACAGAGATGGCACCTGAAAATAGATTCTACCAATTTGTCAATCTTTGCTCAACAACTTCTTCCCAGTTTTGTAAGTAAGATAAGCATCAATGGTGGCGCACTCAATCTGCTCCGGCATAAGCGACTCCTCAGCCCAGCTCGTCCATATCACATCCTGCGGCCTCTGCTCAACCCCAACCTTCAAAACCTCCCTTGCCAGATCCCTCGGGCCACACGCGAAAAGCCGCGGCTTTCGAAGCACATTGGCAGCCAGCTCAGTCAGCTCCACCACATTCCTAATATCAATCCCAAAATTCTCCCTCAACTTCACCAGATCCTCCTTGATCTGGATCCCGACAAATATCACATCCTTCATGATGAGAAATTTCTTGAGAGACTGGCAAACCGGGCCCGACTTGTGATCCAATCTAATGAGGACGCAGCCAATGCAGGAGAAGAGCTTGATGAGGACGACGCGAGCTTCGATTTTTCCAGTGCCTGCGTCGACGAAAGTCCATTCTGTATCGAACCCAACAACCATGTCTTTGAAGTCGCGGATGTTTTGGGTTATGAGGTAGAGGCAGAGGTGGATTGAGCCGTGATCGGAGACGATCTCAGTGACCACTTTCGTGCCATCACACATTACGTTGTGGAAGCCTCGCAGTGGATCTCCAGGTTTGGAAGATGTTTCCATCTTGTTGTTTGAAGAAAGTTGCAGAGTGGAGATTTGGAGCCCTGATGATGATAACAGAATTTCAAAATCTGGGGAAAGGCTTATTTGCCCAACCAGGCTTTTTGCAGTAAAACCCTTTATGTTTTATCTATTAAGAATATCTCCCAATTACAACCTGTATATTTAGGTCCTGTTTTTTACTTTTATTTTTTATTTTTTTATTTGTAAAGCATTAAGTTTACTTTTGGTCCTGTAGTTTGTGCGTCACTTCGGTTCCATAGTTCCAATTTTGTTAGTTTTATCCTTGTAGTCTCAATTCAGAGCAGCTCAAGGACATGTTTCAATTTCTGTCAAATTTCTCCAAATTATGTTAAGTTTCAATAATGTGCCCCTCATGTGGAGAGGTATTTCAATTCACTCGAGCCATCTAACGGTAAAAAGAAAAGGATAATTGACAAAATTGAAAACTACAAGGATATAAATTAACAAAATTAAAACTATAGGGACCAAAGTGGTAAAACCGGAAAGCTATAGGCACCAAAACTAGATTCAAGAGCTATTGGTATACAGAAAAGCTAGATTCACCAAATATGTACATCAAAGTTGTTCATCTAATAATGTGACAGATGTGATGATGGAATAAAAGCAGTTGAACTACAAAACCCTCACTAATTTTCAGCCTTGTGTATGGGATATCTCTTGACATGCATCCTAGTGCATGCAAGTAGTGAGGAAATGCACTCTTGTTCTTCATTGTTTATTTGTAATTCTGGACTTGAACTTACAAAGATGAGAAATAAAAAATCTGCAGGCTTCGGGGATGGAAAACATTTTGACCAATTGGGAAAGAAACAGGAAGGTACTAACATGAAAAGCAACCCCAATTGCATGCCCCATGATTCTGACGAAGTGCTGATGGGGCATGACAGCCAAAATCCCTGTTGTGAAGGCTACTGCAGTGAATTGCAGAGAGAAATATGTAAGAGCAGCAGCACTTGTGAAATAGTAAACATAGGAGGACTTGTTGCTGTTAACAGCTCCCCAGAACAGAAGGCAAGCTGCAATTATTGAGGAAGTCATGGCAATGGTGTCTGCGATGATGAACAGTTTGAGATACTTGCTTGATTCCAGAAGAGACACCCCTTCGTCTGGACCAATATTGTTGTTGTAGCCTCCGGGCATTGTGAAGGCCGCTGTAAATGTCACAGTTGTGATAAGTGTTGCAACCATCAAAAGGGTCTGCCCCATTTGTTTGTTAGTTTGCACTGCATTGGCTTCATCTTGGTCTGCTCTTGAGAGAATCTTGATGCTGTCCAACCAAGAAGGCGGTGTCCGGAGATGTCCCCAAATGCTTGGGACTATATTCTGCAAATAAATTGATTAAGAGAAACAATGTCCATAAGAATCAAAGTTGTAGTTTGTTAAGCATTAATACCCCAATTTGGGAGATTGATTACGTATTTAGTTACTGCTCTAGTACTCACTCTGGGAGATGTAATTTCTTTGATTGACCTATCAATGTCAAATGCTGTTTGGCCATATTTGTTCTTGGATCTTGGATTCACTCTTCCGTCCCACTTCAAGTAACTCAGAATCCAGGTTTTTCTTTCAATGGTGGCTAGATGCAAAGGCGTATTTCCATCAAAATCAGGCTGGTTTATGAGCTCCTCCAGCTCTTCTGTTTCTAGTATATACCTGACCACATTTCCGTGGCCACCAACAATGGCCATATGAAGAGCATTTCGTCCATAAGGGTCAACAAGTTCTCCCGAATCTGGGCAATGCCGAACAATCTCTCTAATCACACTGGTATGACCTTTGCTGGCTGCAACATAAATTGGTGAGCAACCCTGTTTATCCAAAACATATGCTATTGAAATGTCGAGTTCTAGTAATCGTTGAACTGTTCTATGGTCTCCAAGGGATGCTGCACAGTAAAGAGGAGTCTTGCCTTGGTGGTCAGCTTCTTTGATCAGCTGCGGTTTGAATCTTAGGAGGGCTTCCATGATATCTTACAATCAGACAAAAAATTTAGCTTAAACATAATATATTTGCAGAAGTGAGAAGAAAAAATATAAATTAAAGAGGAACTAGCTAGACACATGGAAAAAATATATTTGCAACATGAATTGGTGGCAAATTCAACTGCCAGAGGTGTCTCTCGGTAGTGAAACTCCAATATAGAATTTGCAAGGATATTTATATAATAGTAGTTGCTAAGGGCAACTGCATAATTAAACCACAGCTCAAAACAGTTTCCGATTTGTCTAATTTTATGTAAGGATGATCTATGAATGAAGACTTAAAAAATAGATGATTTGGATCGTTGAAAAATAAATCGTAAAGGACCCTAAAGGATGTCCCTCAAATAAAATTATTTGAAAAATCCCTCTATAGAAAGGGACTATATATATATATATATAGCTGGGCTAAAGTATGACATACCAAAATGCTTCTCAACTACAGCAGCATGCAGGGCTGTTTGACCATCTGAACCACCATGAGCTGATGAAGGACTTGATTGCAAAATTTGATTCAGAATATCTAACAATCCCTCTCTTGCAGCCAGGTACAATGGAGACTCACCTGCCTCATTTTCAAAACAAGCTAATTTGGGGTCAATCTTAAGTAAAAACTCAGCCACTTTGTTGTGGCCATTCCTCACAGCTTCGTGTAAAACCGTGTTGTTCCCCCTATTTCTGACTCTCAGAGTCTCAAACATGCTGCTACTGCTCACGTTCCTGAACTCTACTTGTGACATGGACATGGTTTCTCTGACCAGATAAGTGACAATCGAGAAGCGGCCAACCCTTGCAGCCACATGTAAAGGGGTATCTCCATCTAAATTTGGATGTGTGAGAAGGGACCTGCATCTGCTGTAAATCTCAGCTGTAACATTGTTGTGTCCAAATTGCACGGCGATATGGAGGGCGGTGTTTTCCCGGGGTGTAAGTTGATACAGTAGCGTTGGATCATCGTTAAGAAGTTGTTTAAGGAAGCAAACATCCCCTGATTTTGCAGATTTGTAGAGCCTTGGATCCATGGAACTTTTGGAACATCCTGGTATTACATAATTATGGGGTTGCTTTATACAATGCCTTGTTATTGTAGTAATTTTGACACAGCATTTACCTTGGCAGCTGGAAAATTCTAAATTCATACCATCTGGTCAACCAAGATTTTTGTGCACGGACTTCTAAATTCTTGTGGTCTATTTTGGTACACGTGGTGGAATTGAATCTGCCTAAAGTTCAACTCTCCCTGAAGATGCAGACTTTTTAGTCCTTGGTTTCAGACTTCTGTTCCTTTTTTACTGTTTCGTTTTCTATTTATTTATTTATTTAAAAATTTAATTATTTAATCAATTAATTATTATATATTTTTTAAATATTTTAATTTATTTTAATTCTCTTCTTATTGACTGTTGTTTCTGTTGCTGTGAACTTACGACACTTGCTTCTCCATGACTTGGGTCATAGACTCTTTAACGTGTACTCTACTTCATTCGTGGCTCCACTCCAAAACCAATTGGTAATGAGAGTAACCAAATTCTTTATAAGCCCATACTAGTAACTTTCCAATGTGAGACTTTTTCACTTTCACATCTCACACGCCCCCGCATGTGTGGTGAATGTTCAAGTCTAACACATGAATGACACATATTGGGTGATGTAGAGCACTGGTGGCCGTTGGGCTTTCACACGTGGACAACCCGCTTTGATATTATGAAAGGTTTGAAATTTCTTGATACATTATCCTCATTGAGAAAGGTATTTATAATACAAAGAGTTGACAAAGTTCTATTGTACAGCTAACAAACTGCGAGGAAATTAAAATCCTAAAATTGAGTAATCTAATCACACAACTAATTGACAACTATAGTTTACTTTTATTAGAGGAAATAAGTAGATGTCTAAGTAACATTAAGTGTCAATGGTTGAAACTTCAAATGAATCAAAGAAGTGGGGTGGGCTCGGATGACTCAAGAAACAAAGGGGAAGTCTTTTTACGTTTCTGTAAGTTCCCAAGGACAAATGTGAGGACAAAGGCACCCATGCACCCGAGGTACTATGTTCTTTTTTTCTGAAGTTAGGAAGGGGGAGGGGGGGTTACTCACAAACACGGGTACCATGGGGGTTTGAACCCATGACAACTTGAGAGTACACCAAAGGCCTGAGCCAATCCAACTGACACCCCATTAGTACTCGAGGTACTATGTTCAAGTGCATTATCGTGGCCACAACTACTACTATTGCTTCTTGGACGCTCATGTATGAGATGACTCACTGCTATAGCTTACGTGCATTGCATATGTTGGCAGATCTTATCTCAACCTTGGCATCAGTAATATTGAAATACAAAACTTTATACATTAAAAGTGTATAATATTGTGACAAATTGTAATCTTTAAACCATTAAACATCAAACTTGTTCATTAGATATGTGATAGATGTGCTGAAGGGGTAAAAGGAGTTGAACTATAAAGTAGTGCAAAATGCACTTATTCTTCATGGTTTGTTCTTCATTTTGCACTTGAGCTTACAAAGATGAGAAATGAAGAATCTGCAGGCTTCAGGAAGGGAAAACATTTTCACCAGTTGGGAAAGAAACAAAAAGGTACTAACATGAAAAGCGATTCCAACTACGTGGCCCAAGACTTTGGCAAATTGCTGATGGGGCATGACAGCCTTAACTCCTGTTGTGAAAGCTATTCCAGTGGATAGCAAAGCAATATATGTAAGAGCAGCAGCACTTGTGAAATAGTAAACATAGGAGGACTTGTTGCTGTTGACAGCTCCCCAAAACAGAAGGCAAGCTGCAATTATTGAGCAAGTCATGGCAACAGTGTCTGTGATGATGAAACACTTGAAATCATTATTTGACTGCAGAAGAGCCTGCCCTCGGTCTGGGCCTACATCGTTGTTATACCCCCCAGGCATTGTGAAGGCAGCTGCAAATGTTACAGTTGTGATAAGTGTTGCAACCATCAACAGGGTCTGCCCCATTTGCATGTAAGTTTGCACTGCATTGGCTTCTTCTTGTTCTGCTCTTGGGGAAATCTTGATGTTGCCCAACCATGAATGTCGGTTACCGAGATGTCCCCAAATGCTTGGAGTTATGTTCCGCAATTCCTATAAGATGAACAGTTGTAGTTTGCTAAGCATTATGACCAATTATATACAAGGAATATTAATTATGTAATTAGCACTCACCCTGGGAAATGTAATACTAGATTCTTTGATTGATCTATCAATCTCAATCGCTGTTTGGCCAAATTTGTTCTTGGATCTTAAATTTACTCTTCCATCCCACCTCAAGTATCTCAGAATCCAAGTTTTTCTTTCAATGGTGGCTAGATGCAAAGGCGTATTTCCATCAAAATCAGGCTGGTTTATGGTCCCCTCCAGCTCTGCTGTTTCTAGTATATATCTGACAACGTTTGCTTGCCCATTGAAGATTGCAATATGAAGGGCATTCCATCCATAAGGATCAACAAGTTCTCCCAAATCTGGGCAATGTCGAACAATCTCTCTAATCACACTGGTATGACCTTTGCTGGCTGCAACATGAATTGGTGAGCAACCCTGTTTATCCAAAACATATGCTATCGAAATGTCAAGTTCTAGTAATCGTTTTACTGTTCTATGGTCTCCAAGGTATGCTGCATAGTAAAGAGGAGTCTTTCCTTGGTGGTCAGCTTCTTTGCTCAGCTGCTGTTTGAATCTTAGGAGCACTTCCATGATATCTTACAATCAGACAAAAATTTAGTTTAAATATAGATTAAAAAAATTGCAGAAGTCAGGAAAAAGTATAAATTAAAGAGGAAATAGCTAGAATCTTTTTTATTAGAAGAGCAATATCTGTATGGAATGGATACTACTATATTATTTATGCAAATTCAACTATCTGTAGTGTAACCCCCATAAAGAATTTGCGAGGAAATTGATTTAATAGTAGTTGCTGAGGAAAAGTGTGACATACCAAAATGCTTCTCAACCACAGCAGCATGCAGAGCTGTTTGGCCATCTGAACCACCATGAGCTGATGAAGGACTTGATTGTAAAATTTGATTCAGAATATCCAACAATCCCTCTCTTGCAGCCAGGTACAATGGAGATTCACCTGCCTCATTTTCAAAACAAGCCAATTTGGGGTCAATCTTAAGTAAAAACTCAGCCACTTTGTTGTGACCATTCCTCACAGCTTCATGTAAAACCGTGTTGTTCCCCCTATTTCTGTCTCTCAAAGTCTCAAGCATCTTGCTGCTCACGTTCCCAAACTCTACTTGTGACATGGACAAGGTTTCTCTGACCAGATAATTGACAATCGAGAAGTGGCCAACCCTTGCAGCCACATGTAAAGGGGTATCTCCATCTAAATTTGGCTGTGTGAGAAGTGACCTGCACCTGCTATAAATCTCAGCTGTAACATTTTTGTGTCCAAATTGCACGGCGATATGGAGGGCGGTGTTTTCTCGGGGCGTATGTTGATATAGTAGCATGGGATCATCGTTAAGAAGTTGTTTAAGGAAGCAAACATCCCCTGATTTTGCAGACTTGTAGAGCCTTGGATCCATGGCATTTTTGGAACTAGGCAGGCATTACATAATTGTTGGGGTTGCTTTATATATGGCCTTGTTATTGTAGGTAGCAAGTGTGGAAATTTTGACAGAGCATTTACCTTAGCACTTGGAAACAAAAAAAAAAAATCCAAATTCATCTAAATCGGAACAACCAAGATTTTTGTGCACTGACCTCTAAATTGTTGTGGTCTACTTTTGTTCATGTGTAGGAATTGAATCTGCCTCAAGTTCAACTCAGTTGAGTTTATTTTTAGACTACACCAGAAGCCTCTAAGTTGACTATGGATATAGACTACACCAGAAGTCTAAGATTGAACATCACAACCCCATTTTTCAAAATTGTATTAAGTTGACAATCATGTCTGCTTCATACGCTAGCCTGCTATGGCTGACTTCAAGTCCTTCAACCCAGGTCATTGTAAAACTAAGAAACTGCTCATAAGTTCTAGTGTGTATGTGACAGCCTTGAAACAAAACAAAATACTAAATGAGCTAAAATGAATTTATTAGTTTAACTATAACTATATGATGATATAATAATGCCTATTGATTTTGAAGCAACCACAATGGTTTCGAAGCAATAAAGATGATGGTTATGTAGAAAATATATTTCCTTGTATTAAACAAATTACACAAAGTCTCTATTTATACTGATACAAGATATCTACTTAAGGTAGGAAATATATAGACATGAATACAATCCGATTTACAGCAGGAAAGGCTAATTGGTAGGAGGAGATTGTGAAGTTGACTTCCGTGTGTGCTAGGAAAGGAAAGCTGCGTTAACACTACCCCCCCTGGGAGCAAACTGGGTGTCACAGGATGCACAAGTTGGAAGACATATGCTGATGATGTAGTTTGTGAAGGGCTTTGGTAAACAGGTCTGCAGGTTGGTCAATAGAAGGAACAAAGCAAACTTGATGACTTCCAAGAGCAACCTTTTCACGAACAAAGTGATAGTCCAACTTAATGTGACGTGTGCGGGCATTGAAAACTGGATTGGCAGCCATGTATGTCATGCTGAGATTGTCACAAAAGAGTAGGACCAAGAATCGAAGAGGCACACCCAATTCATGAAGAAGGAAGCAGAGCCAAGTTGTTTCGACACAAGCATGAGAGAGGGCACGATATTCCAATTATGTACTAGAGCGCGAGACTGTGGGCTATTTCTTGGAACACTATGAGATGAGGTTAATTCCAAGAGTAATCACATATCCAGTGGTCGACCGATGAAAATCAGGGCACCCAGCCCAATCCGCATCATAGTAGGCTGAGAGGCGAGCTGTGGCAGTTTGAGGAGTGAAGGTGAGGCCGAGATCAATAGTGCTCTTGATGTACCTAAGTGTAAACTATTGATCTCGGTTGGGTTGGAGATGAAAGCACCATCAGAGATAGAGAGGAGAACCTTGGCAGCCAATGGAGTAGATGCGGGTTTGGAGTAGAGAAGATTGGCTTTCTGTAAAAGATCATGTGCATATTTAAGTTGATTGATGTGGAGAGTACCATCCTTATGAAGAACTTGTAAACCCAAGAAATAGCTTAGCGGAACAAGGTCTTTGATGTCAAAGTGGCCACATAAAAGAGAGATGAATTGTTGGAGATGAGTGGAATCACTGCCAGTTACCACGATGTCGTTGACATATAGAAGAAGAAAGAAGGTATGGGAGGCCTGTTGAAAAATAAATAATGAACTATCAGCTTGGCTCCTTGTAAAGCCTATAGAGATAAGGAAAGTACTGATGCAATGGAACTAAGTACGAGGTGCTTGTTTGAGGCCATAGAGTGCTTTGTGGAGCTTGCAAACTGTTTGGGCCTAAATTAAACGCGCCCAGCCCAACACGGAGAAAGCCCAGAATAAAAGCCACAGGACTCAAGTAGTTTGGGCTTTTGCAAAACGGAAGGCAAAGCCCAAAATCCAGATAGGCCAGCCCAAGACTCATCAAAATGTGGCAAGAAAACTTGGGCCCCAAAAGAAAAGCAGTTACCTTTAGGCTCCAGACAAATCAGAATGGGCCCAGCATGATTAAAAGAAAAAAAGGAAGAGACCTGTTTTCAGAACCCACGTGACTACCAAAATGGAAAAGTCAACAAACTCAACTGAGTTGATTGAGAATTAATTAAAGCAGGTCAGTGGCAAAAAGACTTCTCTGAATTTCTGCCACTAGAAGATCAAAATCCTTCTTATATATTCAAAAATATTGATTCCACTCCAAGAAGGCACCATCCTTTCAAGAGATACGCAGGCCATATTTTCAAAAAAAGAGATAAGCAGGAGGACAGAGAGTTGTTCATCTGGGAAATCAAACTAACCATCACGATTGAAATCTCACAAGGGGTAGTTAAAATTGGGAAAGGAGATTAGGTTCTTTTTCAAGAAAAACAGGGAAGTGATCTTAAGAACTGACTATTGAGAGCTTATCTACCAGAAATTGATCAAAACCCCCTTTCTTTACAATTAAAAATGAAAGATCTTTTTTAAGAAATTGCCGCCCTTTATTTAAAAAGGATTGCCCTACTCCAGATAACATCTCTTATAAATACAAGAAGGAGTGAACAGGGCAAAAGGACACAAAATTCAACAACAATCAATCCAACACTCAAGTCATCAATCAAACAAACAACTCAAAATCAACCAGAAGTTCACTTGAATTCCAAGTGAAAACCAGCTTTAGATCAGAATTCCCAAGGTTCAGACTTAGAAAATAAGTCATTCAAAACGAGATTTCTCTCGTTACAAATTTGGTTCAGCAAAAAACCAAGACAAGTAGAGCTTGAGCTTTTCCCAAACATGAAAACCTCAACAAATTTTACAGTGCAGTCTCTAGCCCACTGAAGTCCTCGAGAACAGCCACTTCTGCCTTTACAGACTAAAGAAGCCGCAGTTTTGCCCACTCAGAAGCCTCACAAAAGCTTGAAGTGTATTAAAGCTCTGCCAAAATTAACCTTTGGTATCAATCTATAGCTGAAGCTTAGCAGCAGAAGTTGTTAACAGTCCAGTCCAGCCCAGATATTTCCAGTCCAGCCCGGATCAGAACCCTCTATCCAGGCAGAAATGGAGTTCCAACTGTCCTTTTTTTTTTCTAGCTTGGATATTTATGTTTATAGTTTTGTAAAAGGTAGTTCTGCCTAAGATAGCTTAAATTTCATCAACCATTTTGGCCAGAACAACCTCTTTATACTGAGATAAATTGTTAAAGTCCTCACTAGTCTGAGGCAAGAAAAGAACTTACTTGGGAGATATTCCTCACCCAAATTCACAATCGCTTGTTTATGGAAATCAGTAACTGGGGGCACAAGTTATCTATTATAGAATAAGTCTGCTAGAATCTTCATTGCTAGCAGTGGCACGCTTATACACCAAAGAAAGCTAACTTGCTGACCAACTAATGGTTCACAAGGCAGTGCAGAACTTTGCCCTTCCACCACAAGAGTAAACGCAAAACGGGTGAACAATTTGGCACGCCCAGTGGGACTTCTCAATATATATATTCTCACAGAATTCCTCTCAAGTTTATGAATATTGGAAGCTCTAGCCAGAACCCACACCACGCCATAGAGATAAACCAAGTGGCTCTCAGGGAAGGACTGGAGTCAAAGGAAAGTGATGCCAGGCACTCAGCACACGGCAGCACAGGGAGTAGAAGGTCCAGGACTGGCTCCAGAAGGATGAACCTGATTTAGGAATCTGTGTTGCGACAAGAAGTCACAACACAAAGGAGCCAGGACACTCTCAATAATATGACAGCCATGGTGCAATGGCAGGTCAACAGGCAGTTCAAGAAGGACCGTGAGGCTGCTATAGCCAGAATTCCAAATCCGAATGCTGTAGTCCAGCAGCTAGACCTTCCCTATAGTCCCCCACCAGGATTGGCATGGCCATATCAAGAGAATCCTCTTATTGCATAGATAGATGGGATGCTAGAACGTGGGGAAATTCAGGCTAGACAAAGGGGAGGAGCCCTTCCTGTCCAAGAACGTGAGGCCCCAGCTCGGCCAGAAGGCCCTGCACCAGTTCAGATGCAACAAAACGAGCCAGAACCTCACCCTATTCCACAGGATCAACCTTTGGCACTTCTGCCTGAGCCACCAGCAGTGTTGCCTTATAGACCCAGAAGGATGGATCCCAATCCATTCCCTCCACCTGCAAGAGGCAGAAGAGGCGGAATGGGTAATAACCTTTTTGCCAACAATGACAGGAACAGGCTGGGGGCAAACTGGAGGAATAATCCAAATTTGGAAGAATAGGAAGAATACAGGAGGAAGTTCTGCCCAGGCCTTACAGAGCGAAGCCTAGGATTGATCACGTCCAGCCAAAAAAGGGGCGAAATCACCACCCTGTCAATGCTCTGAATGACGTGGGGGCATTACAAAGGATGATCAGAGAGATGATGGAGCCTGAAGCCAGAAGAGGAGAAAGGCCCACCTATAGGAAGCCATATCCGGCTTATATCGATCAAATACCTCTATCCCCGGGTTTTAAGGTGCCAAACTTCACCTTATTCAACGGAGAGGATCCCCATGCTTCATCAGTTGAGCACATAGGCAGGTTTTCTGTCCAGTGCATAGCCATAGAGTGTGAAGAATTAAGAACAGAGTAAAAGAAAGGTTGGAATTGTATATTTCATTCATACTTGTACAGTGAGAATACCATTATTTATATACACTTGAAAAGAATAATCTGGAATAGAATTGGTTACAAAGAATATGGAGATGATGACTAGTAAGTTCCTTCTCTTTTAGAATATTGCTGAGCTGGAGATTGTATGCATTGGATTTGCTGTGTATTTGCACCTATGATTGTGTACTCTGTTTATCATCCCCCCGCAAGCTCATAGTGGGTAACCTAGTGATGAGCTTGTCGTTGAGAGTGCGAAAACGATCAATTGAAAGGCCTTTGGTAAGGATGTCGGCTAGTTGAGAGTGCAAAGGAACATGAAGAATGGAAATGGCCTTGGCGATGACCAAATCCTGAATGAAGTGATAGTCAACTTCAATGTGTTTCATTCGAGCGTGGAAAATAGGATTGGCAGCAAGAGCAATGGCGCTAATATTGTCACAAAAGAGCAATGGTGGGGAGGGCAAAGAGATGTGCAATTCTCTCAAAAGTGTGCATAGCCAAAGAACTTCAGTAGTGGTTGTGGCTAGGGCTCTATATTCGGCTTCTGTCGAAGAACGAGCAACTGTTTGCTGCTTTTTGGAGGACCAAGATATTAGATTATTGCCAAGAAAGATGCAAAACCCAGTTGTTGAGCGACGATTGTCAGGACAACCTGCCCAGTCGGCATCACAATAAGCTGTGAGTTGAGAAGAACCTTTGCTGAGATGAATGCCATAAGTGGGGGTGGATTTGAGATAACGAAGAATTCTTTTGACGGCTGTGAGGTGAAATGTAGTAGGAGCATGAAGGTATTGGCAAACTTGGTTGACAGCATAAGTGATGTCTGGCCGAGTCCATGTCAAGTATTGGAGGGCACCTACAATGGATCGGTAAGTGGTGGGATCAGACAATAGAGAACCTGTTTGGGAGTCTAATTTGGAGATGGTGGCTGGAGATGGGGATGGTTTGGCATCAATCATGTCAGTCTTTTTGAGGAGATCAACAGTGTATTTTGTTTGGCTAAGAGAAAGCCCTGACAAATCACGGTGCACTTCTAAGCCCAAGAAGTAGTGGAGGGGTCCCAAATCCTTGATTGCAAATTGTTGACGAAGTTGGGAAATAAGAGAGGTGCAGTAGTTGGAGTCACTGCCAGTGATGACAATGTCATCAACATAAACAAGTAGAAAAGTGGCAGAGGTATCGATTTTGATAAACAAAGATGTATCGGCAGTGGATGTCTTGAAGCCCAAGGAGAGAAGAGCATCTTGTAGTTCCTCATACCAAGCACGAGGAGCCTGTTTAAGGCCATACAAGGAACGATGCAACTGACAAACATAGTGGGGATAGGAAGGATCTGTAAAACCTGGAGGCTGCATCATAAACACCTGTTCTTGAAGATGCCCATGGAGAAATGCATTGGACACATCAAGTTGGGAGATTGGCCAATTGTTCTGGACAGCCAATGACAGTAGAATCCGAATGGTTGTCGGTTTGGCAACGGGGCTGAAGGTTTCAGAATAGTCAATGCCCTGAAGTTGGTTAAATCCCTTGGGGACAAGCCGAGCTTTATAGCGCTCAATGGATCCATCAGCATGCTGTTTGATCCGGAAGACCCATTTACAACCAACGAGGTTGTGAGCATTACTAGGAGGGACAAGGGACCACGTTTTTGTTTTACGAAGAGCAGCAATTTCATCTTGCATGGCCTGTAGCCATTTGGGGTCTTGGGCTGCCTGTTTGTAAGTAGAAGGGATTTTGGGAGAGGAGGAAGTGGTAAGGTAAGCCTGCGGAAATGGATGACGGGTGAGAAAGGTTTTTGGCTTGGTGATACCGGATTTGGATCGAGTTTGCATGGGATGTGTGTTGGAAGGAGGGGGCAGAGGAGCGGGAAAAGGTGGAGGTGAGGGTGGGATTGGGGCTGAGGTTGAGGATGTTGGAGACCGAGGTGGGGAATGAGGTTGGGTAGAAGCAGGGCAAGGGGGTTGGGGAGTTAAATAAGTAGATTGGGGAGGAGGAATGGGAAGATATGGAGATGAGGGAGGAGGGGTAGAAGCCTGGGAAGCTGCAGGGGAAGGGTGTGGCTCAGTGAAGGGAAAATGATGTTCGTCAAATACCACATGACGAGAAACATATACACGGCCAGAACTCTGATCAAGGCATCGATAGCCTTTTTGATGGACACCATAGCCAATGAAGATGCAGGGTTTGCTGCGAAATTCGAGCTTGTGAGAGGAATACGGACGGAGCCAAGGATAGCAAGCACAGCCATACGCTTTGAGAAATTGGTAGTCAGGAGTACAGTTGAACAGTTTCTGCAATGGACTTGTTTTCTGCAAGGAAAGTGAAGGCAATCGATTGATTAGATATACGGATGTCTGAGCAATCTCAACCCAATATTTGATTGGCAGATGAGACTGCGCAAATAGGGTGCGAGTAAGCTCAATTATATGTCGGTGTTTACGTTCAGACATGCCGTTTTGTTCAGGGGTATGAGGGCATGTAAGTTGCTGAATGATGCCATGAGAGGCTAGAAATTGTCGAAAGTGTGTGCTAGTGAACTCACCATCGTTATCACAACGGACTATCTTAATTTTCATATTAAATTGATTTTCAACCAGAGACTTAAACTGCTGAAAAACCGTAAAGACATTAGTTTTAGTGTGAAGGGGATAAAGCCAAGTAAATCTTGAGAAATCATCTATGAAAATAATGTAAAATCGATATCCAGATACAGAGGGAACAGGGGAAGGCCCCCAAACATCGGTGTGTATTAATTCTAAAGGAGAGGAAGTAGTGGTGCTAGATGTGCTAAAAGGTAACTTGGAACTTCTGCCTAATTGACAGTCTTGACAAATAGATGGATGAGCTGAAGAGCGGTGGAGAGGAAGACGATAGTGAGAGATGATGTGTTGAACGGTGACGGAGGAGGGGTGGCCCAGACGCTTGTGCCACAGGGAAGTGGAAGCCTTGGTACTGAGAAGAGCAGCAGGTGGAGACTTGGGAAAAATTGAGAGGTTGATAGGATATAGATGGCCATCAGTGGGGCCACGATAGAGAAGGCGTCCCGAGGCTAGATCCTTCACAAGACATTCAAAAGGAGTGAACATTAGTATGCAGTGGTTATCACAAACAAAGCGACGCACAGATAACAGATTTTGAGTAATGCGAGGGATATGTAAAATATTGTTCAATTTAAAAGAGGAAGAAGAAGCAGAGGCTGTGGAGGAACCAGTATTGGCAATCGGTAAACCTTCACCACTGCCAACGAGGACTTTGTCATTGCCTTGATAGGGGAGCTGGTGAGAGAGATTGTGAAGGTCAGGAGTGACATGGTTGGTTGCACCAGTATCTGCATACCAGAGGGAGCTGGAGGGGGAAGGAGAGTGCGTAGCAGTCATGGCAGTGAAGCGAGCAGGAGGGGAGCGGCCTTGATAGGCGAAGTTGGAGCGATGGCGACATTCGATGGCGGTGTGGTTGGGTTTGTTGCAAATTTGACAACTGATTTTAGGGGTTTGACGGAAGCGATTGTGGGATGAGTGGGAAAAGGTATTGGGCTGAGAGAGGTAAGGTGGAGTAGATGGGGTGGGTAGGAGAGGTGGGTTGGACGTGTATTTGGGAGGATTTGGGCCGGGAGAAGGGCGGGAAGAGGTGGGCCTGAAATGAACAGAGGTATGAAAGGCCTGAAAAGGGGCAGATGAGTTAGAAATGGGATTTAGGGTGTCACGTTGTAGAATTTCAATCTCTTCACTAATCAGGAGACCATGAAGAGCATCAGGGTCGATGGGGTCAGAGCGGACTCTGATCGAAGTACCAAAAGAGTCATACTCAGGTGGGAGGCCACGAAGAATGTGAGCAATAAGGTCAAGATCGGCAAGGGGAGCCCCGACGGCGGCTAGACCGTCGGCAAGAGCCTTGATTTTTTCAAGATAGAGCATCATCGGGTTAGATCCCTTTTTCAGGGTTTGGAGCTGACCCTTAAGCTGAAGGATATGGGAGCGAGTGATGGCAGAGAAGCGTTTCTCGAGGTTGTCCCAGAGAGATTTGGCGGAGGAGCAACCGACTGTATAAGGGAGAACAGACTCAGAGATGGCAGCATGGAGCCAAATTTTGCAGGTACGATCTCTGGCAACCCATGTAGGATAAGCGGGATTAGATTCAAGGGTAGAAAGAAATTGGGGTGGGCATTGGTTAGAACCATCAAGAAGGCCATAAAGGTCAGCATTCTGCAGAATGGGAGTGAAGAGGGATTTCCAGAGAAGATAGTTATCTCTGTTGAGTTTGACAGGGATGAGAGTGGCGATGTGGTGGGAGGGAATGGCAGAAGCTGAAAAAGGAGAGAGAGAGGAAGAGGAGGAAGAAGAGGAAGAAGAGGAGGAAGAAGAGGAAGAAGGAGGTAGAGAGTCAGAGGAGGCCATAGGATAGTACCGTAGGGTTTTAAGCGGCTGATACCATGTGAAGAATTAAGAACAGAGTAAAAGAAAGGTTGGAATTGTATATTTCATTCATACTTGTACAGTGAGAATACCACTGTTTATATACACTTGAAAAGAATAATCTGGAATAGAATTGGTTACAAAGAATATGGAGATGATGACAGGTGTAGGATGGATATATGACTAGTAAGTTCCTTCTCTTCTAGAATATTGCTGAGCTGGAGATTGTATGCATTGGATTTGCTGTGTATTTGCACCTATGATTGTGTACTCTGTTTATCATAGAGAACAATCCTCTTTTGAAGTTGAGGCTTTTCGGAAATTCTCTCTCTGGACAAGCTTTTACTTGGTACACCAACCTGCTAGCTAATTCTGTTCAAACCGGGGAGCAGATGGAAAGTGTTTTCCACGACTATTATTACAAGATTCGGCCAGAAGTCACCATCAGTGACCTTGCTGCCCTCAAACAGAGTGAAGATGAACCTGCTCAAGACTTCATAACCAGGTTCAGAAACATAAGAAGGACAAGTGGAATCAATGAAACCAGGGGGTTGAGCCATGTAGACATCTTCTTGAAGAAACCCATGGAGAAAAGAATTTTTGACATCAAGTTGACGAATGGACCAACCACGAGAAACTACAAGACTAAGAACAGTGCAAATGGTGGCAGGCTTGACAACATGACTGAAGGTTTCAGCATAGTTTATGCCCGGACGTTGATGAAAACCCTTGGCAACTAGACGAGCTTTATAGTGTTCAATGGAGCCGTTAGACTGACGCTTAATCCAAAAAACCCACTTGCACCTAACCAAGTTCTGAGAAGGAGAGGAAGGAACCAAAGACCATGTATGATTTTTGAGAAGTGCATTGATTTCTTCAGTCATGGCGTCATGCCATTCAGGATGCTTAGTGGCCTGTGAAAAATAAGTAGGTTCAGTATGATCAACAACAATTAATAAGGCACGGGGAATGAGGTATTTATTAGTGTCGTCAGTATAAAGCTTGGGCTTTTGAATGCCATCTTGAAGACGGGTGTGCATGTGAGGAACATGGGCAAGAGTGGGAGATTGCAGAGCTGCTGGAACTTGGGGGTTATGAGTTGCAGAAAATGGGGGGTTCGGAGCTGCTGGAATTGGGGGTTCGGAGCTGCTGGAACAGGGGCACGCGTAAGCGGAGAGAGGTGTATGCGAGGGCATCGAGAATAAGTTTGGAGTAATGGCTGGGCTAACGCGGAAGAAGTTTCGTGGAGTGGACTAGAGGGTGCTATGGGGTCGGGGTCATGGCTTGTGACTACAACAACTGGAAAGGTGCGCACCAGGGAGGTGTCGTGAGTTTGCGAGTTTAGGTCTATGACAGGAGTGATTGATCCGGGGCAGGTGCGAAGGAGGGCAAAATTGGGTGGAATTTAATATCCACATACTCTGAAGAAGATGATACTTGTAAATGCTCAAATGGAAAATGCATTTCGTTAAATAAAATATGACGGGACGTGTAAACATGACCCTTGGAAGGATGTAAACAATGGTAACCTTTGTGGTGAGAACTGTATCCAAGGAAAACACATTCAAGGGTGTGGTTGGTGAGTTTATTTTCAGTATATGGTCCAAGGTAAGAGAAATAAGAACACCCAAACACTCGGAGATGAGAGTATGAGGGAGGATGTTGGAAGAGATGAGTGTATGGGGTGTCCTATTGAAGATTAAGAGTAGGCAAGAAGTTGATGAGATGGACAGTAGTGAGGGCAGCTTTGACCCAGAGATTGTGGGGAGTCTGAGAAGTGGTAAGGAGGGTACGGATCATGGTGGCAATGTGTCTGTGTTTATGTTCAGCTAGGCCATTTTGTTGGGGAGTGTAGGGACATGAGAAACATTAGTGGATACCTAGTTGACTACAAAGATCAGAGGAAGCATTATTAACATATTCAGTGCCATTGTCACTTTGAAGGATTTGCACAGTGGTGTGAAATTGATTTTTAACCATGGCAAGAAGGGTTTGAAAGTGAGAAAAGACCTCATTTTTACGGTACATAGGATAGATCTAGGAGTAACGAGAAAATTCATATGTAAACAAGACATAATAACGATAACCAATGACAGAAATGACCGGGGACATCCGTACATCATAGTGAATTAAATAGAAGGGAGATGGGGCAAAAGTTTTATTACTAATAAAGGATAGTTTGATGGATTTTCTAAGTGCACAATCCTTACAGAAAACATGAGAGACTTTAAAGCCTAGAGATGGCGCTAAGTGAGAGAGCACAGGATGGGATGAATGGCCAAGGCGACAATGCCAAGCAAGAGAGTGCACGGTACGTAAGTCATAGATTTGATAAAAGTCAGGAGTAAAGACAAAGAAAACTAAATTATCACGAGTAAAACGGGCAACAGAAAGAAGATTAGCACGAAGAGAGGGAAGACAAAAGACATTTTGAATAGAAAATTTGTGAGAACCTAAAGGAAGAGGAAGAAAGCCAGTATGAGAAATAGAGAGAGAATCTCTATTACCAAGAAATACAGAATTATTACCATGATATGGCTGTTGATTTTGAAGATTAGAAGGACTACCAATCATGTGATGAGTGGCACCTGTGTCAGGGTACCAAGTGGAGTCAGGTGGCTGCATGAATTGAGCCCCAACAAAGGAAGGAAAAGATTCTAGGCCATTGCAGCAATGGGGACATGTTGTAGTAGTATGTTGATTGGTATTGCAGGTGGTGCACCACGCGGGTCCTAAGACACCAAGAGCTGAGTTGGGCCTGGGAGAGTGTTTGCTAAAAGCAGCAGATTGGACACAATGAGGCTGAAAGGAAGGCCAATTACTTTGAGGTCCAGAACTTGGAGCAAAATGAGGCCAAAGTTGATTAGGCCATTGGAGCTGCTATGAGCCATTCCACGGGTTGCTTCAGGAAGGTGAGAAGTTGCGCTAGCCACCACGGCTGCGACCACGCCAGCCACCATGGCCACCATGCCTGTTGCTGGAGAAGCCACCACCACGGTAAGAATTGAAGGAAGTATGACCGGTGGTGTGAGGAGAAGATTGGGTGGCCATTAGCGCTGTGTTTTGATCAGGAGATATTTGAGGAGCCTGTGCATCGAAAGCTAATAAACGAGCACGAAGATCAGCAAAGTCCGAAAGTAGAGGAAAATTGAGAATTGCCGTGACGAGCATTTTGTAATCGGGTCCTAAACCCCAGAGCACAACAGTGACAAGTTCTTTTGGGGAGACAGGTTCATTGATGGCAGCCAGTGAATCGGCAAGGGACTTAGCATGACGAAGGTAAACATCAATGGGTTGAGAGCCTTTTTACATATCCATGAGTTGAAAACAAAGAGCAGATTCACTGGCCATACTGTATTAAGAGAAGTGGCGTTGGAGACACTCCCAGAGATCTTGGGCAGAGGTGCAGCCAATAGTAAGAGAGAGAATGGACTCAGAGAGTGTATTGGTGATGTAGCTAACAATGAGCTGGTTTTATTGGTACCACTGAGCATGGGCGAAATTGGTTTGGGTAAGAGTGGCGGTGGTGGTTGTGGGTGTTGGGGTGGTAGAAGTGGAGGTTTGGGCAGAAAGTTGTTTATGAGTGCTATCGATAATTTCCAGAGGTCATGACCGACTAAAAAAGGTTTGAGTTAGCGAAGCCAAAAGAGATAGTTGGAGTCAGTAAGCTTGATAAAATGAGAAGAGTTAGGGCTAGGGAGGGAGATGGGGGATTCAGACGAAGCCATGAGGTGGACCTAAAGGAGAGGATTGGATCAAATAAGGGAGAGGGAGAAAACCCTACGTTAGGCTGATACCATGTAGAAAATATATTTCCTTGTATTAAACAGATTACACAAAGTCTCTATTTATACTCATACAGGATATCTACTTAAGGTAGGAAATAATATAGACATGAATACAATCTGATTTATAGCAGGAAATCCAATTTACAGCAGGAAGGGCTAATTGCTAGGTGGAGATTGTGAAGTTAACTTCCGTGTGTGCTAGGAAAGGAAAGCTGCGTTAACCATTTTTCAATTTATTATACCATACAAAAAAAAAACCCAAAATCACTATACTATACCATACAATAAAATCATAAATGAGAAAATCGTTTTACCAACAAAAAAAGGACAGAATTTCAAACTCTCTCTAAATATGCAGACATTTTAGTCCTCAGTTTCAGGCTTCGGTAAGCAGATTTTTCCTCCTTTGTTTACATCAATTGTTTTATGTTCCTTTTTGAATGTTTCATTTTGGTTTTTCTTCTTCTTCTTCTTGACGTTGTTTCTGTTGATGTGAACTTACGACACTTGCTTCCCCATGATTTTCTTTTAACTCTTAACGTGGACTCTACTTCCTTCTTAACGTTGAAACTTCAAATGAATAAAAGAGAGAAGTGGGGCTCGGTTGACTTAAAAGGTGAAGTATTTTTACGTTTCTTTAAGTTTCAAAGGACAAATGCGCCCATGCATCCGAACTAATACGATTGCTTCTTGGACTAATGCACTTGTTGTAATAGTGTAGTTAACTTTCTGTCAAATAGGTCTTGAAACATTTTGGACAGAAACTTGTTCGGTCTTTGGTTGTATATTCATGCTACTTTATTTTGTTAGGCTTAGATGAAGCCACATAGTCACTTATATGTGTGGCTTTCCTAGTTTTGGCTGAGTCATTAATCAACATTGACTTCTCATATTTAGCATACCAAGACAGTATAGAAAGAGTGCTCAAGAAGCTAGAGAGAACAAGTCTTCTCCCATTTCACATTTCTGGATTTTCTAGCTTGAGATTGATTTCACAGATATTTCTTCTGTGTCTATTTGCTCTCTTTCTATCTTGTGTGTGTGTGTGTGTGTTAGTTGAATCATAACTCCCAAGATATCTCAAAATCCAACAATTAGTCTACAAAATTTCATACATCAAAAGTGTATAATATTGAATTGTAATCTTTAAACCCCTAAACATCAAACTTGTTCTAATGTGACAGATGTGCTGAAGGAGTAGTTGAACTATATAGTAGTGCAGAATGCAATTATTCTTCAAGGTTTGTTCTTGCTTTTGCATTTGAGCTTACAGAGATGAAAAAGGAAGAATCTGCAGGCTTCAGGTAGTGAAAACATTTTCACCAACTGGGAAAGAAACAAAAGGGTAATAACATGAAAAGCGGCTCCTACGAGGGTTCCCAAGGTTTTGACAAATTGCTGATGGGGCATGACAGCCAAAATCCCTGTTGTGAAGGATGCTGCAGTGAATTGCAGAGCAAAATATGTAAGAGCGGCAGCACTTTTGAAATAGTAAACATAGGAGGACTCTTTGCTGTTAACAGCTCCCCAGAACAGAAGGCAAGCTGCAATTATTGAGCAAGTCATGGCAATGCTGTCTGTGATGATGAACCACTTGAAAAAATTATTTGACTGCAGAAGAGCCTGCCCTTGGTCCGGGCCTACATCATTGTTATATCCTCCAGGCATTGTGAAGGCTGCTGCAAATGTCACAGTTGTGATAAGTGTTGCAACCATTAAAAGGGTCTGGCCCGTTTGCATTGCAATGGCTTCTTCTTGGTCTACTCTTGAAAAAACCTTGAAGTTGTCCAACCAAGAAGGTGGTGTCCGGAGATGTCCCCAAATGCTTGGCATTATATTCTGCAAGTAAATTCATTTAAGAGAAACAAAGTCTATAAGATTGGCAGTTTGTAGTTTGTTAAGCATTAAGACCAATTTTATACAAGGGATATTAATTATGTACTTAGTACTCACCCTGGGAGGTGTAATATTAGCTTCCTTGATTGAACTATCAATCTCAATTGCTGTTTGGCCATATTTGTTCTTCGATCTTGGATTTACTCTTCCATCCCACTTCAAGTACCACAAAATCCAAGTTTTTCTTTCAATGGTGGCTAGATGCAAAGGCGTATTTCCATCAAAATCAGGCTGGTTTATGAGCCCCTCCAGCTCTGCTGTTTCTAGTATATACCTGACAACTTTTGTTTGCCCATTGAAGATTGCAATATGAAGAGCATTCCGTCCATAAGGGTCGACAAGTTCTCCCGAATCTGGGCAAAGTCCAATAATCTCTCTAATCACATTGGTATAACCTTTGCTGGCTGCAACATGAATTGGTGAATAACCCTGTTTATCCAAAACATATGCAATCGAAATATCGAGTTCTAGTAATTGTTGAACTGTTTTATGGTCTCCAAGGGATGCTGCATAGTAGACAGGAGTCTTGCCTTGGTGATCAGCTTGTTTGATCAGCTTCTGTTTGAACCTTAGGAGGGATTCCATGACATCTTATAATCATACACAAAAATTTAGCTTAGATTAGAAAAAATTACAGAAGACTCTTACTGATTAGAGGAGCAACATCTGTATGGAATGGATACTACTATTTTTATTTATGCAAAATTCAACTGCCAGAGGTGTCGATAGTGAAAGTCCCTCATAGGATTTGCAAGTTAATTGAGATAATGGTAGCATATATTACTGGGCCAAAGTATGACATACCAAAATGCCTCTCAACCACAGCAGCATGCAGAGCTGTTTGGCCATCTGAACCACCATGAGCTGATGAAGGGCTTGATTGTAAAATTTGATTCAAAATATCTAACAATCCCTCTCTTGCAGCCAGGTACAATGGAGACTCACCTGCCTCATTTTCAAAACAAGCCAATTTGGGGTCCATCTTAAGTAAGAACTCAGCCACTTTGGTGTGACCATTCCTCACAGCTTCGTGTAAAACCGTGTTGTTTCCCCTATTTCTGGTTCTCAGAGTCTCAGTCATGCTGTTGTTGGTGTTCCCGAAATCTACTTGTGACATGGACAAGGTTTCTCTGACCAGATAATTGACAATCGAGAAGCAGCCAACCCTTGCAGCCACATGTAAAGGAGTATCTCCATCTAAATTTGGTTGTGTGACAAGGGACATGCATCTGCTATAAATCTCAGCTGTAACATTTTTGTGTCCAAATTGCACGGCGATATGGAGGGCAGTGTTTTCTCGGGGTGTAAGTTGATATAGTAGCATGGGATCATCGTTAAGAAGTTGTTTAAGGAAGCAAACATCCCCTGATTTTGCAGATTTGTAGAGCCTTGGATCCATGGAATTTTTGGAACTAGGCATTACATAATTGTGGGGTTGCTTTATGTAAGGCCTTGTTATTGTAGGGAGTTTTGGCAGAGCATTTACATTGGCACTCGAAAAAAAAAAAAACAAAATTAAAATCAAAATTCATCCCATCTGAACAACCAAGATTGTTGTGGTCTATTTTGGTTCAAGTGGAGTAATTGAATCTGCCTCAAGTTCAACTCAGTTGACTATATATTTAGACTAAAACAGCAGCCTTTAAGATTGAACATCCCAACCCATTTTAATATTTAATATTAAAATATGAATAATGTTACTCTTACCACATTTGTATACCGCATTCTCATATCACCTTATGAGATGCAGGATGAGGTGTGGTATACAAAGTGTGGTAATAGTATTAACAAAATAATAAATCTTAAAATATATAGCTATAGCTATAGGGTTTTTTTCAGTTGGTTTTTTTTTTTTTTTTTTTTTTTTTTTTTTTTTTCCTTTTTAATTTTTAAATTTCATCCAAATTAACAGGGTTAAAATGGGATTAAGTGGAAAATGAGGACAACGGATCCCATCCCATCAAAATGTGGACTCCACTTCTAGAAATGGTTAAAATTGAAACTTCAAATGAATTAAAGAGAGAAGTGGGGCTTGGTTGACTTGAGAAACAAAGCTCAAGTCTTTTTACATTTCTATAAGTTTCAAGGGAAATGTAGCAACCTTCTCTCTAACATTCTCTTTTGTATCTTCTCCATTTTTCTCACAACAAGTGTCACTTTTATTACACTTACAACAATGTCATTAATGCATCATGCAAACTACTTTTTATTTTCCAAGTTTACCCTTATTAAATATATTAAATTTTTTTTAATAACAAACTTGTTTTTTTTACAACTTTCTTACTACCTTGTTAAAAAATTAAATAAGAAAATAAAAACTGAAGTTTTTTTATTTTTTTATTTTTCCCAGAGAGGACGTATGTTTTGTTAAACACAAAAGAAAGATGATATCACTTTCATGATAACAATGTCATGAGACAAACTTTTTAAACAAAAATATAAGGGAGATTCACTAGAATACCCAATATAGGAGCCCAAATTATAAAATATAAAAAAACCCTATATGAAATGGACTTTAGAAATACACACAAAACCCATTTACAACATAACAAAAATGCTTTTAACTTCTTTTAAATTACAAAACTGCCATTAATTTCTTAAAACAAACCCAACCCAAAACCTCATAAAAAAGCCCAAAACACTCAATGGAGCATCAAAGTAATTTAACAATTAAAATTAAATTCAATAGGGTCATCTGTCATTTTTTGGGGTTTTTTTTTGGTATGTTTATCAAAATTAAATAGTATAGGGTTTATTTATAGTTTTAGTGCTAAGAATGGGTATATGACTAAATATCTCAAAATATAAAGACCTTTTTTCTTCTTATTTAATTTTTAACAATGTGCTAAGAAAGTTGTAACAAAATTTGGATAAATTGAAGGAAATATAAAAGAAAATACATTTAATAAGGGTAAACTTGGAAAACAAAAACTAATTTGTGTGATGCATTAATGACATAGTTTTAAGTGTAAGGAAAATGACACTTAATTATGAGGAGAAGGGAGAAGGTCTAAAAGAGAAGGTTAGAAAAAAGGTTGCTAGCATTCCTCAAAGCGCAAATGGGCAAAGGCAAACTTGTGGTGTTGGTTATAACTTAGAAGAGCCAAAAAGAGATTACAAATATATATATGGATCTTGTACCTCCACTCTTTTGGGTCTCTCTCTCTCGCTCTCTCTCGCTACGAGAGAAGAGACGTGCCTCAAATATTAGGGTTTAGGTTTTTCACACTCACCCGTCATCCCCTCCTTGGCCTAACAACGCACATTTTCATCCATGTTCAGTCGCCTTCCTCAACTTGACAGCATCGAGTCACTTTTCTTCCACGTCGAGTTGCTACCGTTTCTCTTCCACTTCAAGTAGTTGTCGTCACTCATCTCTTCGACTCTGGGGTGCTGGCCTCATTGTTGTCTCTCTCAGATTCTGGGCATTGGCTTTGTCATTCACTTTCTCCTTGGTGCGTCGACGTTTCTGGTGGTTGCCTTGGTAAGGTGGTTTCAACGGGTTTGCTACTGCTATTGTGTCGACAGTCTCCAAGTCAATGGCGACTATGGTGAAAGTTGCTTCGTTGGGGTCGACGGTCACCGTGGAGGTGGCTTTCCTCATGCCCCCTTCGTCGTCTGATCTGCGATCTCAAGCCTTACCTTCATGAGAAGACGGCCGTTGTCCAGAGATTTGGCGTGGGTGGCTCTCACCTAGGATCTATAGACACATGTGAAAAGAACTTGAAAACGAGTGGAAAAATCAACCCCATACTGCGGTGGCTGGTCGCACATTCCTAGTGACCAATCGCACATTCCTGGCGACCGGTCATGTTTAGGAATTCTTCCTGGCATGCAATTTGCCTAGAAACGACCGGTCGCAATTCCCTTGCAACCGGTCGCTTTCTGCGTTTTTCCAGAACTTCGACTTTGCATTTTTCCATTACATGCAGTGTGAGAAGCATGTAATGTATGTATTAACATTGGCTGATGAAGTGGGTTAATTTGCACCTTCTCTAAGTCTACAGACAACAAGAAATAATGGGCAATTTAATTGTACAGCATGCTAGTCATATGGATTTTTTTAATCGTGATTGAACCCAAAAAAAACCCAAAATGAATATACCATGCAATAAATCCTCTAACCAAGCTTAGAACTTCATAAACGAGAAAATCGATTTGGAAGTAAACCCCTACAGAAAATAATTCAGAGAATGAATAAAGAAAGAAGTTGAAACTCTCCATATGCAGACTTTTCCTTTTGTGTTAGACTTCAGTACGCAGATCTTTCCTCCTTTGTTGTTTCTGTTCCTGTCCCTGTTCCTTGACTGTTCTGTTCTTCTAATTCCGTCACATCAGTTGTGAACTTGCGACACTAGCTTCCCCATGATTTGCGTTAAACGAATACCCAAAAGGCTATCAAAACGTGGCCTCCATTTGTGCAAATGGTTGAAATTGAAATTTCAAATGAATCCAAGAGAAAACTGGGGTTCGGTTGACTTGAGAAACAAAGCTAAAGTCTTCATACGTTGAGTTTCAAAGGGAAAATGGGCAGAGGCAAACTTACGTGTTGTGTTGGTTAAAAGAGCCGACAGAGATCGCATATATACATATAGCTGAGATTTGAGGGAAACCATTATAGGGCTCATTATGAATTATATTTTAATTATCTGAACCGTTAGTTTTTAGATATTCTCTAAAAAATTATCTCTACAAAAAATCACTAGAATCCGAAACTATTTGATCAGTGGCGGACTCAAACTTTCATTCATCTGGGGGCTTAAAAAAAATCCATCCAATATATAGCCAAACAAAAATATTTGGGCTTAAAGTGAACTTGGTGGTTGAGTTTTCCACAAAATTATAAAATGAGTGAACTTGGTGGGATCTCTATTCTTCTTTTATAACATAGAGTTTTTCTTTTTTAATATAAGCATTGGGCTTGTATAAATTGGGCCATATGGGGGCTCCACCTAAGAAGGATCTAAAAAAAATTAAAAAAATGTGAGTTTGGGTGGGATTATATGGCTGCAACTTTTTTTTAAGTGTGGGCAAGTGCCCACAGTAGTCCTTTATTAGGTTCGTCAAAAATTCTCCTATGTGGACATCCGAATGTTATAATGGTGCGGAAGCAATGTATTTTGTACTATCACTCCTTGTTTTCCTGCCTATTTACAATACCATCCGCACGATAATAATGTGTGGACATCTGGATAAGAGAATAATTATATATATAAGGCAAAAAGTCACTTTTGCTTCCTGTAGTTTGTCACTTTTACCACTGGTAATTGTCGTTTCAATTTGGTCAGTTTTGTCCTTGTAGTTTTCACTTTGAGCAATTTAAGGACAATCCTCAATTTATGTTAAATTTATTTAACTTCTGTTATTTGTGGAGGGGCAATTCGGTCAACAAAATATTAAAAATTCATTCCTTCTAAAAAATTAGTTTTAATATAAAAGTAATATTTTTAAAACAAAAAAATAATTTAATTTCCCCATCCCTTATTGGTTGAAACCCAAGCCCATTGAAAAGCAAAAGTTTTTGAACCTGTGGTTCTAAGTAGGGGTGGGCATCGGGACTGGAAAATCGGAACACCGAACCATACTAGATGGAAAAAACTAGAAGAAAAACTAGTTGATTAAAAAAGTCAACAAACCAACATCGAACTGGATCGGACCAATTCTAACCCATTCCAATACTGCACCAAACCGAACCGAATTGGGGCGGACTAGTTGTGTTGTGTATAATTTTTTTTAAACAAAATTATTTAACTCTAATGCTACATTTTTAATCTCATAACTAATATTTCCCCAAGCCCAACTTCAAAACATCTTTATTTTTTAGGCCCAATATCTTCCTTTGTATGAAATTGGATCATTTGTTAATTTTCAAGCCCAAAAAATACAATTTTAGTTTGAATTTGTATTAAAAAAAGAGTTAAAAAAATTAATAATAATAATAATCCGATCCAAAACCTGAAAAACCAGAAACCGGACAAGAATCGGTTCAAACTGGACCGTCAGTTTCAAAAAAAAAATTTCACTAAAACCAGACCGAACTGGACCGGTTAAATAATACCGATTCTGACTTTGATTTGAGGTGAACACTGTACCCAATCGGACCACACCCAACCCTAGTTATAAGCCTTGAAGGCATCATGCCAAGAGAAGCGTATGTGCTAGGCCGCAATGTCTTCCCAGTCCTCCCCACTTACCACTCTCCCTCTCCCGAAATCCCTTATTCTTATTTTCTCAACCAAAATCTCTCTCCCCCAATTCAATTTGGCATTCCCTTTCAAACCTACCCCCACCTCCTCTCATCTCTGCACTCGAGACCGTGTTTCTCAATTACATATCCAAGAGCAACTCCACTTTGTCTAGTACTTCAATATGAACTATGATCAAAACATTGTCTTGAGATGCTTTTGGATTTGAATATATTATGCAAGTAATTGAATTGAGAGGTGTAATCTGATGGTGATCATGGTGTCACATGTAGGTCACGTGAACAAACAAGCACAGGAGCATAGGGTTTGGCGGTTTTGGGTGGCTGGGGTGGTGCTTCGGTTAGAGGGAGGTGGTGGCTCGGTTAGAGGGAGGTGGTGGCTAGCAGGGCTTGGGTGGGGTTGTTGGTAGGGGTTGGGTTAGGGTTGGGAGGAGAAGGAGATAGAGAGAGATTATTTATTTATTTTTCAATTTTTTAAAATCTTAAATGACACATTGGACCGAAATAGTTAGAGGGATTTGACAAAAATTGAGGATTGTCCTTTAATTGCTCAAATTGAAAATCACAAGGACAAAAGGTACCAAATTGAAACAACAGGGATCAAGGTGATAAAAGTGCCAAACAACAGAAATCAAAAGTATATTTTCGCCTATATTTAATACTTGAAATACAATTTCATAATTTTCATCTTGGATTAAAGTTCTTTTATTTCGTTTGATTTAGTAAGCATATTCAATCCATACTTATAAAGACTTTTGTGCACTTTTTTAAAATGGCTAACTTTCATAGACTTTTCAGAGTTTTAATGACCTTAATCTCAGTGACATACTTTCATAGAATTTTATAGACTTTCGTAAAGTGGCTAGCAGGGCTTGGGTGGGGCTGTTGGTAGGGGTTGGGTTGGGGTTGGGAGGAGAAGGAGATAGAGAGAGATTATTTATTTTTTTTTCAATTTTTTAAAATCTTAAATGACACATTGGACCGAAATAGTTAGAGGGATTTGACAAAAATTGAGGATTGTCCTTTAATTGCTCAAATTGAAAATCACAAGGACAAAGGGACCAAATTGAAACAACAGGGATCAAGGTGATAAAAGTGCCAAACAACAGAAATCAAAAGTATATTTTCGCCTATATTTAATACTTGAAATACAATTTCATAATTTTCATCTTGGATTAAAGTTCTTTTATTTCGTTTGATTTAGTAAGCGTATTCAATCCATACTTATAAAGACTTTTGTGCACTTTTTTAAAATGGCTAACTTTCATAGACTTTTCAGAGTTTTAATGACCTTAATCTCAGTGACATACTTTCATAGAATTTTATAGACTTTCGTAAAGTGTGTCATGCAATTTAATAGACTTTGTTATTCTTGAATTTCAATTCATTACAAACCTTGATAGTGTGTGTGAGAGAGAACCCCCTTCCTTTTCCTTAAAGGATCGGATTTGAACTAGGGGTGGCAATTTCTGACACGACCAGCATGGAAAATTAGTAGGTCAACTCACAAGACTAAATTTTCAAGTTATTTTCGGGTCAACCCACCATGACTCGTTTAATAAATGGGTAAGTTTTGAGTCAACCCGCCAACCCACTAAAATACATGTATAACTCGTCAACCGTTTCTTTGGTCCTTCTTCATTTTTCTAATTTTTTATTTATTTCTCTTTTTCAATCTTCATACATCAAGATGTGGGTCTTTAATGTTTTTTTATTCTTTTTTATTTATTTTTGTTTTATTTTGACCATGAAAATTTTTCTTTAAATAATCATCTGTTTCTCTATTTTTATTTATTTATATTTTTACTTCGCTAGTTACTAGTAGGGATGACAAAAATCCCCGCAGGGGTGGGTCCTCGACCCTAATGGGGGGAGATTTCGGGGCCAAATGGGTATAGGGTACAGGGATCCCGAACTTGAAAAATCATCGATGGGTATGGGGAGAGGATGGTATTTGCGTCCCCATTCCTGAACCCGACCCGAAAATATATATGTTTATATTTAAATAAATAAATATATAATTATAATATTTATGTTTAACTCTAAGTTAACCTCACTCTCCTAATTCTTCCTAATCTTCTTTGGAATTTCGTATTGAAGTGATTTTGAATAGTTGAGTTGAACTTTATAGTTAATTTGGATGTGTTAAATGATAAATTAATATGAAACTTAATGTTAAAGTATATGATAAATTTTTTTTTATGCAAAAAAAAATTAAGGATTTGAGGCGGGTATAAGGGATAGTACCCCGACAGGGACAGGGACGGGGATTCCCTGAAACCTATTAAACGGGGATGGGTTTAGAGATAGGGGCGAGGATAGAGAGCAGGGACGAGGATAGAGAGCAGGGACGAGGATGGTATTGTCATACCCGGTCCCTACCAGACTCGTTGCCATCCCTAGTTACAAGTTGCTATCACTTAGCGGGTCAACTCGATATGCAACTCGAAATCCGGAAATTAGGGGGTCAATCCGACACAACACCTTAATTAGATGGATTGGATTTGGATTGAGCATTATTAACACGTATATGATCCTCACAAGATACGAACCCGCACGACACGAGCCATTTCCAGCCCTAGTATGGACTTGGGGGAGAAACAGAGAAAGCTGTTTAATTTGCTCCTCTGCAACAAACAATCACTGTTTCTCTGTTACCTCGAAACTACTTACTTGTAAAGTCTTAGATGTCTGCAACTCCTTCCTCCACAGACCCAAAATCCTATCACAAATTTACAATGGTCTATACCCCTATTTCACTTTGCACCCGAGGTTTCATCACTCAGAGACACATTCACTCCCTCTTTCTCTCTCTGTCTTTTCGGGAAATTGGCAAGGCTTCAGTCAGACCAACCTCTCTCTGGTGCTTTGCATGGCAGTTTACAACAGTCTGAGGTGTACAATTTCCACTTTTTATTTATATGACCCCAATTTAATGCTTTTCTTTTCTTCCCAAATGCATGCGCTGTTTATCTTTTCTGCCTGCCCTTTCTTCAGTTACAGCAATACTCTGGGTTTGTGAATCAGGAAATATCTCAGCATTGTTTGTTTTCAAAATTTAGGCTGAATTTTTAAATTTGGTATTCTTGTAATGTTTTTATATCACTCTTGTATTATTAATGATGCTCATCTAATACAAATATTGGAAAAAAGGAAGCAGGGGAACCCGCAAAGTTCAGTAATTTTTGCCCATTATGATATTCAATGACAATGTTTATTCATATGAGTACCATGGATCATGCCCATTTAGGGTAAGGAAATGGATTTGTTAGGTTGGAGTGAAAATTAAAGGATTTAACCTCTCTCTCTCTCTCTCTCTCTCTCTCTCTCTCTCTCTCTCTCTCTTAAATGTACATTCAAAGTCCTGATCTTTTATAATCTATGATTAAAGTTAACTAAGGGATTCACTTAACTCCGAAATGATTTTTGCAGTAGCGATGCAACATCTAATTTTATCTGAATGAGACATATTGTAGATTTCTGTAGAATGAGTCATACTGTAGATTTCTGTATAATGAATCAATGACTTCATGAGTTATAAGCTATGAATGTCAATCTTACTAATAGATGCCCATTGTATATGTTGTAATGATTTGCTGCCTCTCTTACTAGGACTACAATTGGTTCATGCTAAGAGGATAATATCTTTATCATGAGCTGTTGGATTTATTGTAAGCAACCATGTATGAAAAGAAGCATTTATTGCATTATTCGTGTTTCTTTGTTTTGGTTAGAAATTATTTGTGTTTCTTTTCTCAAAGAAAATCAAGGAATGTGATTTGCAATGGCTTCTAAAGTCAATGATCATGGCTGCTGAAGTTAGCATTGCTAGATCATGGAGTTCATCACTGAAAGAGCCAATTATGCATTGTTTACATAAAAGAAGTTCTCTCTTTGGGATTTGTGTGAGTCCTGAATACGAAGACACCGGAAAAATTGAAATTTAAGTGATAAAATATCATTATGAGCACCATGTCCAACCAGAAGTAAATGGTAAGTTTACAACTTTCTCAATGTAAATGTACCAATGAACTGTATTCAAGTGAACTGTTGTGGCCACAACTACTACTTTTGCTTCTTGGACTCTCATGTATAAGATTATGCACTGCTATAGCTTACATGCACAGCATTTCTTGGCAGATCTTATCTCAACCTTGGCATCAGTAAGACCATGTTAACATATAAATAGGATTTAGGCGGTATGCCTAACTTGCATTTGATTACACCTTGTATTTGGATGAATTACACCGTTTTGTTGATTCTCACATTTTTCCTCATAATTGGGACTTTGGGTTTAGGAGAAATCTGAATGATAGGGAGACTGCCGAGGTGATTAAATTGCTGGAAGTTCTGGAAGGTTTCAGATTGTGTGCTTCTAAAAGGGATAGGAGAAGGTGGGATCTTGAGGTGTCGGGTTTTTTCACCTGCAAGTCCTTTCAATCCTTTTTACGCAACAAGGGGAGTGTTGTGACCTTTCTTCCTTTCTCTAGTGTGTGGAAGGCCAAGTCCCCCCCTAAGGTCAAAGTTTTTGTTTAGTTGGTGACGCTTGGGAAAGTTAACACTTTGGATCTTGTCCAAAGGAAAAGACCTTTCATGTATTTGTCTCCTCAGTGGTGTGTGTTATGTAAGCTTGGTGAGGAGAGTGTGGACCACCTTTTCTTACATTGCCCCTTTTCCTTAAGTCTTTGGGGGCTTTTGTGGAGGGAGGTTGGGACCGTTTGGGTGATTCCGAAAGGGTGCGCTGATTTCCTTTGTTCTGATTTTGAGGTGTGGGGTTCGGGGAAGCGCGCCTCAACCTTGTGGGGCTGTCTGGTTCACTCTGTTTTCTGGAACATTTGGATGGAGCGTAATAGGAGAATTTTTGAAGACTACAAGGGGGTGGGAGTGAGTGATTTGTGGGATAGAGTTAAGTACTGGGCAGCTTTGTGGGCTTCTGTTACTGAAGATTTTAAAGATTATTCTGTTTCTACTATTTTGAGGGATATGGCAGCAGTGGTTATGTGAGGGTTGGGGGGTGTGTTGTTTCAGTGGTTTTTTGGCTTTGTTCCTCCCTGTTAGTTTGGGAGGGGTTGGTGTTGTTTGTTTCTTTGTGTGTTGGTGTTGTTCTCCGGTTGTGGTTGTCTTATCCACTTCCGTGTTCTTTTGCTTTATAAATTTCGTTTCTTCTAAAAAAATATATATATATATTTCTGTATCCTGTTATAGTATTCATCGTATTTAGAGTATGTTTTTGGATATATTAGTCACTATTATCATGAAAGGTAACAAGTTTATTTACTCGCTAAATATTGCAACTAGGTCATGACTAAATTCCGAAAGAATTTGCGTACTGTGGGAGCGGGGTAAATGAGTAATATGGAAATCTATTTATCGGTACCCTTTATTTATTGGGTCTCGCTCACTTAATCTCATTTCACCTACCACTTGTTGCAATGCATGAAGGCTTGAATTGCCAGGTTGACAGAAACTTTGCTGGTTAATGCGCTTTATAAGTTATCAGTTTCGTTCGCCTTCATTCAACAAAAAAATATCCAGTCTCTTTCCAAAGAGTGGCCTGGAGGGTTAATCGTAATCGGTGAGTTCCTTTGTTATGTATCTGGATAATCTTTTCAATTACCAATACTTTCACAATGTATGACTTATTTTCACTTCATGACTTAAACCTAACAATTTGTCAACAACAGATTGTATGTTGAAATAGGGAAAAATGCCTAGGCATTTTATCATATGAATTGCAAAATTGTGTCATCATAAAAAGTATAGCCCCTTCCCTCACAATTTTATTAGAATGCATAATTTCAAGATACATTCAGAATTTGATCTTGGTATGATATGAAGGTAATCTGATTTGTTGCTCATCCCCAATTCCTTTGAGGGCTATAATCTTCCAAGCTGATGCATGTGGACATACCTTTTCTTGCCCCAATTTAAGAGGGATCTTGACTTGTATTTTTCTTTTTTTTTGCGCCCCCCCGCGGGATTCTCAGTGATTTTCTTACAATATACATGTTTGTTTCTTATGTGACTATCTGTTAGTAAACAGCACTGTCCAGCTTTCACATCATTAATCATATATTTATATAATCTAATCACTTCAGAATTCTATCTGAATTTTGTATGGTTATGATTGGATCTAGTTGACCACATGAATGAATTGTAGGAGCATTGGTAAATAAAATTTCAGCGTTTGACGTTGTGCCCTTTTGTATTAGTTTACTTTTTCCTCCCTTTTTAAATACTTCATTGTCTTCTTGGTTACTTTGTTTTCTTTTGACCTTTTATTCTCTATGCCATTTCTTCTAATTATCTGTTGAATTATCCAGACCTAATATACATAGTTTATCTATGAAATTTAAAAGCTGCCTTGATAAGAAGATAGTTCAGTATGGTTAGGATGTGGCTTATTGGATTGATCATGTTTGTGCTTGTTCTTCACTGGGTTCCATTTTCGTTTTTGTTTCTCTTTTCTTGCTGCCTAGATATCTGGTTACAGGTTTAAACGTCTTATGTCAATCTGAGGACAGCTCTCGGGTACATTTACTTCCCAAGGGCAAAGCCTGGGTTCAATTGCAGGCCATGTCCTCAGCTGCTTGTTTTATGTGGTGTTTATTATTTCAGAAGCATTTCTATGCATTTCCTTTTAAGTGCTTTTACAAGTTTTGATAATTATTTAAAGTGTTCCTAGCTTTATGTTAAATGAACCAATGTACATGTGCTGTCATATACGTTTTCTGTATTCCAAAATTCCGTAATATCATTATAAAACTATTAGCTCAGAGAATGATATGCATGACTAGGAGAATAACTTGCAAGATGCAGTTTTACATGGAAGTATGCTGGGTCAATTTGATTTGGTTTTAAAATGATAATTGGTTATTGTAAGTGAGAATTGGAATTATTTTCCCAAGATGAATATGGTATTAATTTTTAGTCAGTTTTGAGTACTGATGTTGCTGTAAAAAGACAATTGTTTGTTAAGATTTTGTGTTAAGAGACATGGACAGGGAGCTTTATGTGTATCTACTATTGACATCTTGTGATGCCGTGGAGCATCTCCATTTGTAGATGGTTTTTTTTGGGTCCAGACTTCAGATATTATAACTGTTTTGGAAATAGAAGTTTGGAAAAAGAAAGAACCTAAGCTGAAGTATTTCTCTCTGTTTTTCTATGCTCTGGATGTTGATATTTTTTCCTCCATTATAAGATATGACACAAAAACTTGACCTATTCGTATTGCAGGCGGATGCTTTTGGAAATCTGTCAAAGTGGTAGAATAGTGGGTTTCTCTTGAAGCAAAAAGCCGTTAGAGCGCTTGGATAAAAGAGTCGTAAGAGCAGATAAACAATGGATAAATCTGTTGCGAAGTGTATCCCAAAACTTTCACGGAGGCAGAATGATAGTTGGTCTGATGTGGAAACTGTGGAAGATGTGCTTTCCAATATTCTTTCAAGGCTTCCAGTCAAGTGCATCATACGTTCTAAGGCTGTTTCTAGACTATGGCACAAATTGATTAGCAGTCCATATTTCACTAAATTGCATTTAATGCGGTCAAGAGAAAATGCGATCTATATACTTTATCCTTATATGGATGAAATAAAAGAATTGCATTTGGTTGATGGTGATGGGGTAACCACTGAAATAATCACTCTTCCTGGTTTTGAAAATGTTTCATCTCTTAGTATGATTTGTTCCTACAATGGGTTGATATGTTTCACCATTTACCCCTGGTTTCCTCACTTATATATGAGGCAACCGGTCGAGGAAGACTTGGAAATCCTAATCTGCAATCCTGCTACTCGTGAAATTCGGTTACTTCCAAGAGGTAGCCCAGCAGAACAGGAGCTAGGAATTGGGGTTGCCTTTGGCCCAGGAACCAGTGATTATAGAGTATTTCGGTTTTTCTCCTCCATATTTGAAAAGCCAGTAGTCAGCCCTCAGTGTGAGATATTTTCATCAAGCACTGGAACCTGGAGAGGCATAGGTTTTGTTCAGCAATATCCTATGGGTGCAAATCACGTATATTTTAATGGACAAGTTTACTGGTTTATTGCTTCAGAAGAAGATCATTCTACCCCTGGAAGCATTCTTTCAGTGGATATGGAGGACAACTTTAAAACCATTGAACTTCCAGAAGAAGTCACTGCACACTCCTTCCTAATTATTCTGGAAGGTTTCTTATCGTTAGTTGCTGTCTATGATGATGATCTAATTATGGATGTATGGATGTTAAAGGATGCAAATGAATCTTATTGGGAGAAGAAGTGCAGTGCTTATATTGAACACGCTGTTGAAGAGTGCATTGACTCTGTAGCTGGAAGGAATAATGAATTTTTTTTCATAACTACAGAACATTATTTTATCTTTAATACCGACAGGACTACCTGGGAGCAACTTTATCTTCAGGAGGTGTTTGGACAGGATTCTCCTGTTGTCTTTACGTACACAGAAAGCCTTCTCCCCTGTAAGTACTATAAGTGCTTTCAATTCATAATTTTTTCTAATGGTTGAAGTTCACTGACCATTATGTATCTTCTGCTTTAAACTAGTGGGTATGTATCTAAAAGTATTTTGATAATGCGAGGATTTACGCAGTAGAATCTTATCTTAATCTGAACAAGTGGATGATCTTAACTTATAGATAGTACAACCATTCTCAAATTTTGGCATGGCATGAACTACACAGTTTCTTGGGTTTGTTTACTTATGAACTTCATCATCTTCTGACATGTCTTTGGATATGTTAAACAGGTAGCTGATTTCTACATTTTGCAAGAGAAGAGGCAAATAAGCGAGAAGCATAATTTTGGTCATTTGCTGTTTTGTTTCCAGTTTGACAACATTTCTGGTGGGATTCTTATTTGTTTTGAAATTCTCTTTCTTTTATTTTGTTATTTTACTTTTGCTCTTATGTACTTGTTGAGTAACAGATGTTTATGTATGGTTGTGTTGCTTCCTGGATATGTTTCCCTGTTAATTCTACCATGTGCTTGCTTCTTGTCTTTTCCATGGTAGTTCACGATGGCAAAGAATTCTGCACGTCTGACATTTCGTTCTTTGGTTTCCACAAGACAGGTTTACAAGAGTGATAGGTTGTTCTTCAAGAATCTCCCGCAAGGAAAACTAACAATATTCATCATGTTAACACCAACTAGTAATTCTTGTTTGCAAACCTAGTGATAGGAATCTCAATTTGCTAGCATGTTTATTAATCTCAATCAATTAGTTGGTGATCAACTGGGGTCCAAAAGAAGTCACCTTTCATGATAAAGTTTTCTAAATTACAGGTTAATTAGCCCTCAACAATTTACTTGAAGTGGTAACAAATTACTCAAGTATTATGAAAGTGTTGACATACTTGTTTCGGAATGACCCCGTGGACTTTTAGGAAAACTACTTCTTTTCCACACCGATTGCTTCTACAAGTTAAAAGTGATAAAGAATCACTCTCTTTAAACTATTGCAGAATGGGGAGGAATTTCCCTATGCAAAAAGGTCAAGTACTGGCTGGCCCCATATGAGACTTGCAACTTCTCAAAAGTAGGGTCTTCCATGTCGCTAAGCAAAACAGTAATCAAAGCAAAGCACCCATAAATTTTTATCAATGAGAAATTCTGCAATGTCATTGGTATGATCATTTTGGAGATCAATAATGAAACTTAACACTCAATGGTAAACCATCATATATCAAATGGAGCTGGCTTTGGGACAAAGAGGTTGGCCTTGTATACCTTCAACATAGCATTGCTTGAGAGCAAGGTGGTCCTTCATTGTTTGTTCTTAAATTGCACCTGAGCTTACAGAGATGAGAAATGAAGAATCTGCCGGCTTCAGGTAGGGAAAGCATTTTCACCAGTTGGGAAAGAAACAAAAGGGTAATAACATTAAAAACGGTTCCGACAAGGGTTCCCAAAGTTTTGACAAATTGCTGATCGGGCATGGCAACCTTAATCGCTGTTTGGAATGCTATTGAAGTGGAATGCAGAGCAATTAATGTAAGAGCAGCAGCACTTGTGAAATAGCAAACATAGGAGGACTTGTTGCTGTTAACAGCTCCCCAGAACAGAAGGCAAGCTGCAATTATTGAGCAAGTCATGGCAATGCTGTCTGTGACGATGAACCACTTGAAATCATTATTTGACTGCAGAAGAGCCTGCCCTCGGTCTGGGCCTACATCATTGTTCTAGCCTCCAGGCATTGTGAAGGCAGCTGAAAATGTTACAGTTGTGATAAGTGTTGCAACCATCAAAAGGGTCTGACCCATTTGCATGTAAGTTTGCACTGCACTGGCTTCTTCTTGTTCAGCTCTTGGGGAAATCTTGATGTTGCCCAACGAAGAATGCGAGGTACCGAGATGCCCCCAAAAGTTCGGCATAATGTGCTGCCATTTCTATCAGATGAATAGTTGTAATTTGTTAAGCATTATGTCCAATTATATACAAGGGAAGGGATATTATGTATTTAGTACTCGCCCTAGGAGATTTCATACCGGATTCCTTAAATGACCTATCAATGTCAAATGCTGTTTGGCCACATTTGTTCTTGGAACTTTGATTTACTCTTCCATCCCACTTCAAGTAACATAGAATCCAAGTTTTTCTTTCTATGGTGGCCAGATGCAAAGGTGTGTTTCCATTGACATCAGGTTGATTTATGAGGCACTCCAGTTCTGGTGTTTCTAGTACATACCTGACAACATTTTCTTGGCCACCAAAGATGGCCATATGAAGAGCATTCTGTCCATATAGATCACAAATTTCTCCCGAGTCTAGGCAATGTCGCTTGATCTCTCTAATCACACTGGTATGACCTCTGCCTGCTGCAACATGAATCGGTGAATGGCCATCTTTGTCCAAAACATATGCAACAGACAAATCAAGTTCTAGTAATCGTTGAACTGTTCTGTGGTGGCCAAGGGATGCTGCATATTAGAGAAGCCTTGGTGATCAGTTTCTTTGATCAGCTTCTGTTTGAACCGTAGGAGTACTTCCACGATCTCTTACGATGACAAAAATTGAGTTTGAGTTCAAATAAGAAAATACAGAAGTTGTGAAACTCGTATGACCCTATGTGCAATATATATATAGAGGGCGGATCGGCACCACGTATATATGCATTTGTGTGTTTGTGTGACTGGAATTTTATTCTATGAAACTTCAAATACCAAACGCATCTATCTGAAGTTAAAGTCCATAAAGAATTGCAAGGAGTTGGATATTATAGTAGTTGGTGAAAGTGTGTGCAAAGTGAAAGCATCCATTGCTAAAAAAGTTAGAACAGAACTGGGTCAAAGTATGACATACCAAAATGCTTCTCAATAACAGCAGCATGCTAAGCGGTTTGGCCATCTGACCCGCCATGAGCTGATGATGCAGTTGATTTTAAGATCTGATTCAGAATCTCAAACATTCCTCCTCTTGCGGCCAGGTACAATGGAGACTCACCGGCATCATTTTCAACAGACGCCAATTTAGGGTCAATTGTAAGCAAGAACTGAACCAATTTAATGTGACCATTCTTCACAGCTTCATGTAAAACTGTGTTGCTCCCCCTATTTCCCATTCTCAGTGTCTCAAACATGCCATTATTCTCATTCCTGAAGTCTGTCTGTGACATGGATGTAATTTCTCTAACCAGATCATTGAAGATAGAGAAGCAACCAACCCTTGCAGCCACATGTAAAGGAGTATCTCCATCTAAGTTTTGCTGTGTGAGAAAGGACCTGCATCTGCTATAAATCTCAGCCACAACCTTTGTGTGTCCAAATTGCATGGCGATATGGAGGGCTGTGTTTTCTCGGGGTGTAAGTTGATATAGTAGGCTCGGATTGTCATTAAGAAGTTGTTTGAGTAAGCAAATGTAACCTGACTTTGCAGATTTGTAGAGCCTTGGGTGTTAGATTCTTTATATGCATGTTCTAGATCTTACACACAACCTGTAATATGTGTAAAGACATGAAGACATACCTGGTGATGGGGATCGGGATCGGAATCGGCATCAGGACACAGGTCACCAACCACATACACGAGCACCAAAATCTAGGGCTAGTGCAAACTCACATATATCGTAGCGAATCCATGCCACAAATAAACTATTTCATTAATCATCAATATTCAATTCCCTACAACTATTACAATATCCTTATTTATAGGTTTAACAAGACTTGGGCACCAAGACTGCTTGGTCCAAAAATAAACTAATTAATTATAAAATCACACATAAATAATAAAAGATATCATAAAACTACCTAAATAAAAAAATAAAAATATATCATGAAATAACTAATTAAATGATAAATATCTATCTTGATCCACCCCTATGCTTCTGCATCAGACTCCCCTGGTTGGAAAGAATTCGTCCTCGAATTCAAGCCTTTGATTTAGGAAAATCCGAGTAAAATCTCCAATTGCTTCATATTAATTCTAGATCTTTTGGCATCCAATTGAAACCTTCCTTTCCAAATAAATAGATATTTGGAATATTTCGTTATTCTTGGCTTCTTCTTACTCCCTCTAACAATGCAAATGTTTCTCTCTAGAATCTTCAACCGACTGACAAAATCAACCAAAGTTTTGGCAACCTTCCAAGTGAAAACATTAATGCCCATAAAATCAATAATATCTTCGAAAGTTTTCTCAATTCTCATATCTTCACTGTTCTGATCAATAAATTGCTTATCAAAATTGCTTTGAACACCCAAACAATTTTCATTGCAATTTTCACAGTTGCAAGGATCAAATATTGGAGGCAAATCCAAATTTAATAACTTTGATGAATAATAAGATGTACCAAAATTACCAAATCTATTTATACCTTCAAAGACACAATGAGAATAACCGTACTCTTCACTTGACTCACACAACGAAGCGCAATAATGAAAAGAGTTATCCCCCTCGTACTCCCCGTCGAGACTCCCACGGCTTAGAGTGTCGATGCGAGCTACTCGGTTCAAATAAGGGTTCACGCATCTCTCCCCGTTAGAACTCTTACCTATCTGGGTTCGAGCTTCGATGCGAGCGACGCGTTCCGTAAGTTGCCGTAGTATCCTCCTAATTTCCTCCATGTCGTTGTAGTTGTCAACACGACCCTCCATCCAAAAACCTCCCCGATAAAGCAGATCTTGAGCCATAGCTCTGATACCAATTGATAGGGATCGGGGATCGGGACACAGGTCACCAACCACATACACGAGCACCGAAATCTAGGGTTAGTACAAACTCACATATATTGTAGCAAATCCATACCACAAATAAACTATTTCATTAATCATCAATATAAACTCCCCCTACAACTATTACAATAGCCTTATTTATAGGCTTTACAAGACTTGGGCACCAAGACTGCTTGGTCCAAAAGTAAACTAATTAATTATAAAATCACACATAAATAATAAAAGATATCCTAAAACTACCTAAATAAGAAAATAACAATATATCATGAAATAACTAATTAAATGATAAATATCTATCTTGATCCACGCCTATGCTCCTGCATCACCTGGAGCCATCTTCCTTGAGTACACAGCTACTGTATTCATCCAATCCGTAGCAGCAGCAATCCTAGCAAGAACAAGAACGGCTCAAGACTTCTGCTCTCTCTCAGAATCTGTTTCAGCTCTCTCTATTTGATGAGAATAGGTTTTGAGAGCAGGGCCTTTAGCTTATATAGGGCTAGGTCAAGTCGTCTCTACTCATCACCGAGGGCCGACTTGACTTATCTTCCAAGCCCACTTAATCGGTTCACGCATAAATGGAAGTATAATAGGACCCCTTAATAGGCCTCAAAACCCTTCCTTATTTCACTGGGTTTTGGGCCTCAAGATACAACTTAATTTAAACTCTTATTAAACCTGATATGACTTAGTATCTAGTGCACCGATCTAAATAGGAAAACATAACATTGGGTCCATGGAATTTTGGTAATGATCAACTAGTACATAATCTGTGGATGGTTTATTCAAGGCCTTGTAATTTTAAGTAGCAGTTGTGAAAGAATATATAAACTCACCATCCCATCTTAGTCTTGCTGTTGACAATCAAAAGTTTGCAATGGTTCATTTTAGTTTTCGAGACAGGTGGAAGAACGAAATACACAGAAAAATTCAAGCCAAGCTGACCACCATATAAACTACAGCAGAACATCACAATCCAATTTGAAAATATACAAACTTCTGCTGGGACGAGTTTTCACTAAGGCAGGTGCAACTCAAAGTCTTTCGTGAGGTCTACATGAAGCTTTTCAAGTGGTTTATGCCCATTTCATACTCTAATCTGTCATGTGGTTGATCAATTCAACGCCAATCATTCTAAAACTATGAAATTGGTCATAAGTATAACTAACTGATGTAATGTAAGATAGCAACATGAGTATTTAAACACCAATTGGTTTCTTTAGAAGCCAGAAGCAGAAAGCAATCACTATAATATGCTGGGAGAGAGTTAGAAGTCAAAGCCCTGTATGATTTTCTTCTGCAATGTGAGAAGCATGGAACTAAAATAATGTGCAGGTAGAAAAGACTTTGCTCCTTTTGAAGAGGTCAATCTTGCTAGGCTATATAAATAATATACCTTTTCTATGTGACGTAGTCGTTATAATTTTACCAATAATATAACACGTATGCTTGTTGAGGAGTGCTAAACCTCTAGTTTGAGGTTGCTCTAAAATGCCATACCGTGACAAAAAGAAGACCAAATTCATTATTATCATGAATATTTTTATTGTTTACAGTAAGTATCCTAATATTCTTTATACTTTTTTGTTGAAACTCTGTCAATGTTGCTGAAATTTGACAAGTGTCAAAACCCCATTGGTTTTAAGGAGGAGGAGCTCCTCCTCAATTTTAAGGAGCCAAGTCATGCTTTTCTTTTAATCACAATTAGATGACGTTATGAAGTGGGTCCAAATGAGTTGTTAGCATCAATCGCAATGACAAAGGGGAAGTTATGGTGGCAATGGATGTAGGCTTTCTACTTCAAAACATGCAAAAAATTTGGCTTTTTACTTCAGATTGAAAATGTCGTTGGATGCAGGCTCTACTTCCATCTCGGTGGAATCAGATGCTCAAGCTGTTATTTGTCAATTGCAAAAATAAGAGGAGGACCTTGCTCATAAGAGGGGTATCTTAATCAGTTTCAGAAGATTTATATTTCTTATATTCCAAGAGATTGTAATATTGTTGCTCATAAATTAGCCGCTCATGCTATCAAATGTCAGCATGTGAAAATTTGGCATGAAGATGTTCCTCCCTGGTCGGAATCTTCTGTATTCGATGATGCCTGTAACCCTTGACTTCTCTCAATGACTTATGTACTTGCTAAAAGAAACTAGGTAACGATTAAGCTCTACTGTATGTTTATTAACACTGTACTTAAAATTATAAACCCGTTGCAATTGAGGTTAAACCATGATTTTCATTTAACAAATTAACAGCAGCCAAACATATGCACTCTCTTCCTCGTCTAGGATCCACATTTTTCCTAATACAGCAGCCAAACATGCCCTAAATAAAAAGGTCAGGATCAGCAACCATATAATTTTATACACAGATAGTGACAATCTTTGAATGTTTCCGCACTTTGAACAGTTGAGATTCTTTATGACATAAAATTACTTTTTTCTGAATTTTTTTTTATGTATCTTGGAGTACAAGAAAAGAAGGAAAAGAAGGCATCAACTATAAGAAATAATATCGAGTTACAAGACAAATACATCAAAATTGCATAATATTGTGGCAGCTTGTAATCTCTACACCCTTATACAGAAGAATTGTTCATCAAATAATGTGACAGATGTGCTGAAGGAGTAAAGTTGAACTAAAAAGTAGTGCAGAATCCACTCATTCTTTGTGATTTGTTCTTAATTCTGCAGCTGAGCTTGAGATGAGAAATGAAGAATCTGCAGGCTTCAGGAAGGGAAAACATTTTCACCAGTTGGGAAAGAAACAAAAAGGTACTAACATGAAAAGAGATTCCAACTACGTGGCCCAAGACTTCGGCAAATTGCTGATGGGGTATGACAGCCTTAACTCCTGTTGTGAATGCTATTGCAGTGGATAGCAGAGCAATATATGTAAGAGCAGCAGCAATTGTTAAATAGTAAACATAGGAGGACTTGTTGCTGTTAACCGCTCCCCAGAACAGAAGGCATGCTGCAATTATTGAGCAAGTCATGGCGACAGAGTCTGAGATGATGAACAACTTGAAATAGCTATTTGACTGCAAAAGAGCCAGCCCTTGGTCTGGGCCTACATCATTGTTGTAGCCTCCAGGCATTGTGAAGGCAGCTGCAAATGTTACAGTTGTGATAAGTGTTGCAACCATCATAAGGGTCTGGCCCATTTGCATGTTAGTTTGCACTGCATTGGCCTCTTCTTGTTCTGCTCTTGGGGAAATCTTGATGTTGCCCAACCAAGAATGCGAGGTACCGAGATGTCCCCAAATGTTTGGAATAATGTTTGGCAATTCCTATCAGATGAACAGTTGTAGTTTGTTAAGCATTGTGACCAGTTATATATACAAGGGATATTAATGATGTATTTATTACTCACCCTGGGAGATGCAATACTGGATTCCTTAATTGACCTATCAATGTCAAATGCCGCTTGACCACATTTGTTCACGGAACTTTGATGCACTCTTCCATCCCACATCAAGTAATACATAATCCAAGTCTTCCTTTCTATGGTTGCGAGATGCAAAGGCGTGTTTCCAATGACATCAGGCTGATTTATGAGGCACTCCAGTTCTGGTGTTTCTAGTATATACCTGACCACATTTGCTCTGCCACCAATGATAGCCATATGAAGAGCATTCTGTCCATATAGGTCACAAATTTCTCCCGAGTCTGGGCAATGTCGGATGATCTCTCTAATCACAGAGGTATGACCTTTGCTGGCTGCAACATGAATCGGTGAATGGCCCTCTTTGTCCAAAACATATGCAATAGAAGTATCAAGTTCTAGTAATCGTTTAACTGTTCTATGTTGGCCAAGGGATGCTGCATAGAAGAGAGGAGTTCTGCCTTGGTGATCAGTTTCTTTGATCAGCTGCTGTTTGAATCGTAGGAGTGTTTCCACAATGTCTTACCATGACAAAAATTGAGCTTGAGTTTAAATAATGAAAATACAGAAGTTGTGAAACTAATATGACCCTATGTTCAATATATATGTATATACATGTGTGTGTGACTGGAATTTTATTCTATGCAACTTCAAATACCAAACGCATCCATCTGAAGTTAAAGTCCATAAAGAATTGTAAGGAGTTGGATATTATAATAGTTGCTTAAAGTGTGTGCAAAGTTAAAACATCCATTGCTAAAACAGCTAGAACAGAACCACGCCAAAGTATGACATACCAAAATGCTTCTCAACCACAGCTGCATGCAAGGCTGTTCTGCCATCTGACCCGCCATGAGCTGATGATGCAGTTGATTTTAAAATCTGATTCAGAATCTCAAACATTCCTCCTCTTGCAGCCAGGTACAATGGAGACTCGCCCGCATCATTTTCAATAGATGCCAATTTAGGGTCAATTGTAAGCAAGAACTGAACCAATTTAATGTGACCATTCCTCACAACTTCATGTAAAACTGTATTTTTCCCCCTATTTCCCATTCTCAGCGTCTCAAACATGCCATCATTTGCATTCCTGAAGTCTTCCTGTGACATGGATAAAATTTCTCTGACCAGATCATTGAAGATAGAGAAGCAACCAATCCTTGCAGCCACATGTAAAGGAGTATCTCCATCTAAGTTTTGCTGTGTGAGAAGGGACCTGCATCTGCTATAAATCTCGGCCACAACATTTGAGTCTCCAAATTGCACAGCGATATGGAGGGATGTGTTTTCGCGGGGTGTAAGTTGATATAGTAGGCTGGGATTATCATTAAGAAGTTGTTTGAGGAAATAAATGTCCCCTGACTTTGCAGATCTGTAGAGCCTTGGATCCATGGGATATTGGTAATGAGCAACTAGTACAAACTTTGTGGATGCTTTATACAAGGCCTTGTGAAAGAAAATAAAAAGTCATCATCCCACAGCTTAGTCTTATTGTTGATAGTCAACAGTTTGGAATGGTTCATTCATTGACCTCTATAGCCTTGTTTAAAAATCATGACGTGATTTTCAGGACAAGTGGATGAACAAAATCTGCAGTTCAATTCAAGTAAAGCTAACCTAACTCAAAGTCTGTGTGAGGTCTACATGACAGTTAGTTGCACATAACTTTCCAAGAGAGTCAATACCCCTAGGTATCATACTCTTATCTGCTACGTGGTTGATCAGTTCAACTCCAGCCATTCTAAAGCCAGAAGTTGTTCATAATTTAAACTAAGTGATTAGTTATTTAAAAGCCAGAAGCAGAATGCAATCACTATAATATGCTGGGAGAGAGTTCAAAGTCAAAGTCTCTCTTGTTCTTCTTTTCTTGCGCAACAAATTTCTTTTCTTACTTAGTGAAAGTCAATGCAATTGCTTTCACTTAATTTTTTTTTTCTTTCTAATGGTTGAAGTTCAAATGTCTCCTCTGCTTTACAGTAGAATTCTATTTTAATCCGAACCGAGTGAATGATCTTAACTTATGGAAACCTTTTGCTCTTCTTTTTTGCATTTAATTTTTTTTCTTTTCACCCTTTCTCCAACTCCAGTTTTTTTGACTGATTTTCCTTCTTGTGTGCTGTCTGGTGTAAGAGCTCTTCCTCCTATTGTTGTTTCACATAAACAATCTCATTGAACATTTCAATGAAGTTGTTATCAAAATTTCCTTTTGGAGCAACTCAACTCACAAGAAATAGTGAGTGCAAAATCATCCTGTATCAAATGGAGGGCAAAGAAGGTTGGCCTTGGATTCACACAGTCCTTCAAGCAAGTTCTTGTTTTGTGGTTATTTGGCTACTTTTTTTTGCAACAAACCTTCATTCTTTTGCTTGCAGCCAATTTTCCTTTTGGTATCCAAAGATCAAATGGTCTTAGACCAATTATAATGTTTTTTAAGTTCTGATTGCATAGATAAGCTCCCAAAGAAAATGTATTACTCTAACCTAACAATGCAACAAAATGGAAATGGAAACCCGTCTAGACAGGGTGCCCTGATTCTCGTCGGTCAACCACTGGATATATGATTACTATTGGAACCAACCTCATCTCCTGGTGTTCCAAGAAACAACCCACTGTCTCGCACTCTAACATAGAATTGGAATACCGCACCCTCTCTTATGCTTGTGCTAAAACCACTTGGCTCTGTCTGCTCCCTCCTTCTTGAATTGGGTGTGCGTATTCGGTTCTCAGTCCTCCTCTATTGTGACAGTCTCAGCACCACTCACATGGCGGCCAATCCAGTTTTTCATGCCCGCACACGTCACATTGAGTTGGACTACCACTTCGTCCGTGAAATGGTTGCTCTCAGAAGTCATCAAGTTTGCTTTGTTCCCTCTGTCGACCAACCTGTGTACCAGGTTACAAGGGCCCTTCACAAACCATGCCATCAACATATGTCTTCCAAACTTGTTCATCCTGCGACGTCCAGTTTGCGAGGGGTGTTAATGCAGTTTTCCTTTCCTAGCACATACGGAAGTCAACCTCACAATCCTCCTAGCAATTAGCTTTCCTACTGTAAATCAGATTGTATTTATGTCTATATTATTTCCTACCTTAAGTAGACTTCCTGTATTTGTATAAATAGGGAATTTGTATAATTTGTTTACTACAAGGGAAATATATTCTCTACAAAAATGTATTACTCTCACCTAACAATGCAACAAAATGGAAATGGAAACTCTTTTTTGCACTCAGCCTTAATATATATAATATATATATATAGAAGGTTGAATTTGAGCAAATAAGGGGTTGAAATCAAATGAAACCGTCCAAAATTCAGATGAATGTTTAAAAAGAAAATCCTAGATAGGGGTTTTCTAAGCTAGGATAACCTTCAGTTATAATTAAAAACTCACATGGGTGACATCGTAATGACTATTTAAGAACGAATTGGAAAACCCTAATATATAAAATCATTATCTATTCATATTATATCACGTGATGGAGTTACAGTCACATTCATAAGCTTTTCGATGGGAGAATTGGATTAAGGTGATTTTTGAGAAGCAAACACACACACCCTACTTTGTTGCTTCCTACTCTGATCAATGCACCAAGATGCATTTCTAGAAAAGCACTTCCTGGTATGATTCACTAGCGTAGCGGTTTGGAGCAATTGTCCCTCAAACAAGGTCATGGGTTCGAGTCCTAGCATCCGTTTAGTATATTATTGCCCCTCTCAAGAGGAAAGGTCTTAAAAATAAAAAAAAATTATCATGTGAATTAAACGGAAAGAATGGTCCAATTATTTGTAGTTTTTCTTTCATGATAATGAAGGGAATCGAATCCTAAACCTTTTTGTTTTTGTGAATACAAACTATAGTCTAAATTAGGGAGAGATTTCTAACGCACACCATTAAGCACTGACGGATCCACAGAGGCGCAAGGAGGTGACCTCCTCTCGCCAGAAACTTCCTTAGGGATGCCAGAATTTGCCCCTTTGCTAGTGCCCACCAATTGTTCGACTAAATGCCTCAAAGACGTTGTATTGCTTGCTGCATTGTGAGACCTTGAATATTTACCTTATATTGTTGGGCTCGATCTCACGAGCATGTAGGATAAAACGGTTCATCCATCGGAGCTCCACAACCAAAGTTATGAATTTTCGAAGTTTTTCTAGAATATTTGAAGTTGAGTTACAGGGGCACAGTTTAAGGAAGAAGAAGACTCCACGTCAGCGCTTCTGATTTTGATTCTTTTTTAAATGGTCCAATAGCAAGCTGACACATATCTATTTCTAATTTGCCTAAATTAAAAAAATTCATTAAAAACTCATATGTGTGCCAAAAAATTCACCGAAAATTACCTCAAACTTTTAATCATGTGTACTTTTATTTCATGACCTCCAATTTACATGTGCTTTTGGTTAGATTAATTGGTATTGACTTTTGTTAGATTAATTATGTAATTGACATGGATTTTGTTCATATTTGATATGAATTTTGGTAAACTAATTGTGTCAATGACAAGGATTTTGTTCATATTAATTGATATCCATATAGACTATAATCAATTAGTTGTAGACGTAAAACTCTTATTTGTTTTAATTATGAGTGACATTAGTATTGGTTAAATTCTAAGGGCATTTGGTTGTATAAATTTTTTTTGAATTTTTAGCCTTATTTTTTTTTAACATACTACAAGGATGTTAGGACTTGAACCCAGAGCCTTCCTTGAGTCCTTTATAAATTTTTAGCCTTTCAAATATTGCACCTCCCCTGAAAAATTCCTGGATCTGCCACTGCCATTAAGGTGTCACATGAGGCTTCGAACCTAAGATTACTAGTTTACAAGTCAAAGACTCTTCTCCAAGGGTTATCCTCTACCTATCTCAATGCCGGGAAATGCTAGCAACCTTCTTTCTAACCTTTTTTTTTTTTCCTTCTCTCTTTTCCTCATGTCATGTGTCATTTTCTTTACACTTAATACAATGTCATTAATGCATAGCTTTTATCTTCCAAAGTTACCCTTATTGAATGTATTAACTTTCTTTTGAATTACTATTAAAAAATAATAAATGTTATTTAATATAATAAAAATATATATAAGAATTTAACAAACACAAATTTTTAACAATATGAATATAGGGTGATTTTATTGGCACCCCAAAATTTGCTCTTTGCATCCCATATTCTCCTTACACCCAACTGAATTTTAGTAAATTTTAAAATTACTCACTCCACCTCATTTTTCTTCCTAGATTGCCCTCATGAACCTCATTCCTTAACTGACATGTGTAAACCCCATTGAAATCGTTACCTTGTCCAGTGGTAGTCCACCTTATTTGTTTTTGTTTTTCAGTGGTATCCACCGAATGTATTTACGTTTTTCAGTAGTAGACCACCGAATATGTTTCAACTTTTTAGTGGTAGTCAACCGAATATGTTTCCGCTTTTCAGTGGTAGTCTACTGAATTCGTTTTTTGTTTCCGTGAATTCGTTTCTTGTTTCAGTGATCATCTTCCGAATTCGTTATCGAGTTTGTACTTAATATTATTTTTTACTAGGAATATGAGCACCTTAGGTGCATGTCGAAGACATCTACCATTCGTTAGTGAAATTGGTGGGCTAATCCAAATAATGATATATTCAAATGATACATTCAGAGGTCTGGATTAGAGCAACTTATTAGGTGTTTTTTATCGGAATGCAGATAAGATTGTTGTATCTACCTTCGTGTTGAGAGATGGCATCCCAAAACAAACACATTTCACATGCCTTTTGGTGAGATGACCATCACATTGGATGATGTGTTATATATTTTAAGGGCATCACCTTATTTTTGTTCCTTCAATGGGAGTAAGGTCAAAATAGCTTACATTAAATTTGTGGTCGACAATAAGTTACTAAAAAATATATATATATATTTCGGTTTGTTGCCATTGAATTGTATGTAAAAATTCAGTAATACACCATCGAACACCGTTCCATATTATTGTGGATCTCTACTGCATCTGAAGTTAACAGTCAGTCCAACACAACTGAAATAGGTGCAATGTTTTGGTTGCATCCCACCGAATTTACCTATCGTGTTTCGGTACTAGTGTGTTGAACGCAACCAGCAAACCATCATGAAATCCTAAGCTTGAAAAATGCCAAAAAATAAACTCATACATCATTCAAAGCCTCTCTAACTTCAATCTCACCCTTCATGAATAAATACAATATATTTTTTCACCAATATAAGCATATAAACCTCATTAGGGTTGTAGGAACATGATAATTTGAGAAAAAAAAAAGTCTAACTAGGGTTGCATGAATATATGTGGGGTATAGTGAGCAAATTTAATTTCTACATTCAAAGGGTGTACTATTTTTTGGGTGGAGATACTTGGAGAGTTTTGTGTTTTCAATGCATGGTTGCCAAGTGTTAAATCATCCATGAGGTTTTAGTGGGACACGCATCAATTGCCTAGTACCTTTCCAATGTGAGACTTTTTACTTTCACATTCTCACACGCCCCTCCACGTGTGGCAAATTTCAAGCCTAACACGTGGACAACACATTTTGGGTGACGTGGAGCACGTGTGGCCGTTGGGCTTTCACACGTGGGCAACCCACTCTGATGCCATGTAGAAACTGATTTTCCCTTATATTATTCATATGATCATTATACAATATATATATATATATATAAAGTCTGTAGAGAATAATCTACGGTTACAACAAGTCATTATCACAAACATAAATATGGAGTTATTTCCTAATAACAACATAACTGACAACTGACCATTTCCTATCATTAGTAGGATTAACTATTGTAACTGAAATACTATTATAACTCCATAACACAGAGGAATCAAAAACAAACAATATTGTTTTCCATGCTTGCTTTGGGGTGGCGTTATTTCCACCACATTTGTAATTTTCCACCTATTATTTAATAATTTTTCTATTATGAATTCATCTTTATGTAAAATTATTTTGGAGGACAACTTTTAGTATCTTAAAAAAAATTAAAAATAAGGTTGGATCAGCTTGCAAGGCTCTAATGACTGAATTTCTCACGATAAATTCAGCCATCGGACAGCTCATAATGTAATATCCCATACTCAAACCATGTGCTCCGGAGCTGAAGCCACTCATAATTTCTATTACTAGAAGCACACCAAGAAGCTTAGCAATTCCCATGTTTCTCTGTGTGTGTGGTCAAAACAAAGCTTGCCGCCCCAAAACCAAAGGGAATGAAAAAAGTTGAAAACGACAGTGGTTTATGCTGATCAATTATCTACCTAATCAATCTCATTTGTCTAGATAATGCAATAATTGTTATCAAAATCCATGCTAATTACATGTAGGGCGACACGTAAATGCACCGCAGTACTAAACAAATATTAATAATACTATCTGTACTATATTTAGTTACCACATTTTTAATAGAGATGTACCCCATTAATGAATGAGAAGTTCACCTCAATCAGTAAATATGGCACAAATAACAGCACTACAAAAATATTAATTAAAGCCAAATCATGCATGCATGAAATCTAAGACTAAAAGATGACAAAGATCACACAACAACAATCGGCACTGTTAATTGATAATCACACAACAACAAACGGCGCTGTTAAGTTTCAAATAGAAATCAACGCGTCCCCTTATGACCATCAACATCACCATTTGTTTGCATTGGTTTTTATGGTCAGCGACCGGGAAGATGGATCCAAAACATCAATCATATCACCTACCATCCCTTCAAATTAATTTATGAATTAGCGGCTAATGATAAGAAGCTTCCACATCACTTTCTCATGTTTTGTTATGCTGTCTAGAAATTTAATATTTATCTTATATCAATTTTCTGCTTCTGTAGTTGTAAATTTGAATGGCAAGAGCTCTCGCCTTATGACCTTCACAAATTTACGCAGAAGAATGAAAAATAAACCACATGAAAATCATTCACAACTAAAAAGTATAACCCCGACCTCAAATCCAAAGCTATTGTATGACTCTCAGTCACAAGTCCAAACACCTTGAGCTTCTCCAAAATCTCACCACACTTTCTCACCTTTTTTTTTCTTTTTCTACGAATTTTAGGAAACTAAAGCAATTTAAGTAAAGAAATATGATACAAGAACTATAAGGGAGTGCTATTTATAAGGTGCCAAAGTCGGCAAAGTCCAAGTAATAGGAATAAATGAAAGCTAAAATTGTGCGCCACAACTAGTCTATGGTTTCCTAGAGTACTTGGGTGGCTTGAAAGTAGTCTGCCACCACCAAATATAGCCCTATGCGTTGGCTTTGTAGGGTGCTTAGTGAGCACTCTCAAATTAAGGCTATAAATAAGAATAGATACAATGCTTACGCCTCATGCTTAAATATTTCACCTAATGCTTTAACAAGAATTGACAAACTATATGCATGCAACACGTCAACTTTGAATAGAATGCTTAGCATAAGGGCCTTTCTAATGCTTTTGTAAAGTGTAAAAATATATAATAAATATTACATAGGGCTGAAATGAATTAATATAGTGAAAGCCATGCAATAAGATTTAATAAGGTTAGGCTATACTAGTTAATAGGCAGACTCCACATATCACGTGGCTTGCCATGAAAAAAATATTTCTTAAGAACCGAGTAAAGTTTCAAGTTTTCATGGCGGCAACATCATCTTAAGCTTTCCTTCAAGATTTGGTTCAGATACCAAAGCCCCAACAATCTTAAATGTTTCCTAATTACTGAACAAGACTCGTAAATAAGTTTTGCAGGGGAATGGCTAGGGTTGCTTAGGGGGTGGCTCGGGAGGGGGAGACAGGGAGAGAGAATTTGTTTTTCCTAAAGGTCTTATTTTATTATTTAATTTTTTATTTTAAGGAGAGTTTGAGGTTTTTTTTTTTTCCAAGTTCTTAAAAGTAATTTTACAAAGAGGTAAATTTGTTGTTAAAACTTTGATTATAAGGTCGGTGGGAAAATAGGACAAATTTGTGGAAATAACAGCACTTTTTATTAATATGAACAAAAAGTGACGAGTTACAGCTAAGGAAAATTCAATTTAGAGTGGGTAAGCCAAATTTACTATAAATTCGAAAAGTTACATCAAGTTCAAAGAACTATCATAAATAATACTTAAATTCGAAGAACCATCATAAATAACTCAAATGAAATACATTTGTAAAATTCATGAATGTAAATGTGAGGTTAACTATAATATCGTCAATTAATTAGGCGGTGGAAAGAACTAGATTTTGAAAGGAAACTTCCTATGGCAGGTTGTATTTGAGGTTAACTATATTTTTTGGGTGGAGTACTTGGAGAGTTGTGTGTTTCCAATGCATGGTTGCCAAGCGTCAAATCATCCATGAGGTTTTAGTGGGACGCGCTTCAATTGCCAGGAAACAAGTGTAGTGTGGGGACCATATCCACCCACAGGTAGACCTAACGTTGTGGGGCTTATCACTAATTGATTTTATGTGCGAGAATATGCACCCGAACTTGAAGGCAAGGGGACGGTGTTTTTGTTTTTTTTTTTTTTTTTTTTTTATTTAATTTAAATTTTTGTTTTCCACTGTAAAATCTTCTTTAAAAAAAAATTAGGGTATCATATTAAAGCAACATAAATATATAAAATTATTTTAAAAAAATTTAAAGCAAAAGGTTACCACCAGGAGATACTGTGCTTGAAGAATCCTTTGCGCTTTTGGCTGACACGATAAATACCATACTCCCCAACAGTAAATTTGTGAAAAAGGATGAGAGTGGGAAATTGGATTTACTTCAGGGGCAAATATGTCCAAAGAAAAATTCAGTGACAGAAGCACAGCAGCACAGGTCAGCTACTGAAAGCAAATCCAGACAGAGGTGTATCTGGTGGTAGGGACTGGACAGACAAAGGCAGGCGTGGCCGTGGCGGCTTTGGATATTGTCTTATCTGTCATTCAGTCTAATACCTTTTATTAGTTTGGGTAAAACGCTTTTATTAGTACATCTGGCACTACTGCGTTTGTTTTTTTTCTTTCCTTCAAAGCAAAGTAACTCTTAACACTTCCATATTCGTCGGAGTCGGCAGGGACACTCAGAATTCTCCTATAAATGAAGGCTTCCCCAATGCCAAGCCCTTCATCGTTTAGAATTTCAGATCTGATAGAAACCAGAGGCAAACCCAAATTCTTTGAAGCTCTTCTAAGTTCTCTCTCACCTCACTTCCAAGGTTAGTATTTCCTTTGCTTCTGTATTTTTTTCTTTTGATTATTTGATTGTTGATGTAATTGTGAATATTTAAGGTCTGTTTGAAAATCTTTTATGAAATTGTGTAGATGTATCTGTTTTTAATTGATTACCTTGTCAAGATCCAACTTTGATGTATGAATTCCAGAAAACACCAATTCTAATTTGGATTAATTTGTTTCGAGTCGTTTGATACCAAGATTTTGTTCCTCAACTTTATGGGATACTATTTTGATTTAGGTTTGTGTATTCCATTTTTGAATTCCAAGATCCAACTTTGATGAATGAATTCCAAGATCCAACTTTCCAACTTTGATGAATGAATTCCAAGATCCAACTATCCAACTTTGATGAATGAATTCTAAGATCCAACTATCCAACTTTGATGAATGAATTCCAAGATCCAACTATCCAACTTTGATGAATGAATTCCAAGATCCAACTTTCCAACTTTGATGAATGAATTCCAAGATCCAACTTTCCAACTTTGATGAATGAATTCCAGAAATCATCATCTCCAATTTGGATTAATCTGTTTCTAGTCGTTTAATACCGAGATTTTGTTTTGATTTAAAAATCCTGAAATTTATCCCTTATTGGGTTTGTATATTCTATTTCGAATTCCTTCACTCCCTTATTGGTTTGTTTCATTGTTTAATTACTGATGAAATTGTTAGCTTATTGTTGTTAATAAGCAAACATCTGACTGAAATGATTTACGATCTTCCAGGTCTATAAAATAATTTTTAATTCTGTCTGACATAATCAATCATTTTCCAAGATCTTGTTTTGTTTTTATGAATTCCCAAGAAACAAAATTGATTTAGGGTTGCATTGCGTGAACAGATGCAGATCTTCGTGAAAACCCTCACAGGCAAGACCATCACCCCCGAGGTTGAAAGCTCTGACACCATTGACAATGTCAAAGCCAAGATCCAGGACAAGGAAGGCATTCCCCCAGACCAGCAGAGGCTCATCTTTGCTGGCAAGCAGCTTGAGGATGGCCGCACCCTCGCCGATTACAACATCCAGAAGGAGTCCACCCTCCACTTGGTGCTTAATCTCCGTGGTGGTGTGCATGGTGGTACGCAAATCTTTGTCAAGACCCTTACCGGGACCTTGGAAGTTGAAGGCTCTGATACTATTGACAATATCAAGGCAAAGATCCAGGACAAGGAGGGAATTGCCGCAGACCATCAGAGGCTCATCTTTGCTGGAAATCAGCTTGAGGATGATCGCACCCTTGCCGACTACAACATCCAGAAGGGGTCCACCCTTCAATTGGTGCTCCGACCAGGTGATGGTATGCAAATCTTTGAGAACACAATCACCTTGGAAGTTGAAAGGTTGGATACCGTTGGCCATGTCAAGGCAAAGATGCAAGACAAGGTATTGAAGAAAGATACGCAAAGATGCAAAGACAAGGTATTGAATAAAAATGTGAATCTCCCATCATGACTTCACCATCAGTAATTGATTTGTGTGCTGCGAAAATAATGAGCTCTGAAAAACGCTTATGCTAGTTGATTTGTGTGCCACGAAAATATTGAGCACTAGCTCTACCATGCGTTTGCGTTTGGTAAACTGTTTTTGAAGTGATCTGGCGAAGTGTTTGTTATTTTCTTCGTTCTTTTTCTACTTAAAAAAGAAAAAAAAAAGCAACTTCACTACATAAATTTTTTTCTTTTTTAATTTGCACTTTTTTTATCAAAAAAATTAATCTACAATTAACATACATATTTTAGCATAAATTATAAATTACTATTGTAACAAAAGTAGTTCTAAATATTGTTATATTTTTTGAGGGTTTCGGACATAACAAATATACAAAAATTGTTCAATTTTAAAATGCCCCAGTAGACCACTACAATATAAAAGAAGCTAATTAAATGCATTCATTAAACTTGTAGCGATGCTATTTCTCAATGCATTCATTAGCTTCTTTTTTCGGTTTCCAGTGGTTTCCTACAACAATTTTAACTAAAAAAACAATCATAATGCTTTGTGAACAATAAATTCAAGTCCAAATCTGCCACACACCATTCGTATATAATTGTTTCTTTCATAAAACTTGAAGATTCAATAGTAATTACACAGTTTACCAATCTTGATTCCAACTATATCCATACAAAATACCATATCCATAAAATTAAACTATAATTAGAAATAGAGGAGCTACATGTGATTGCTCATTCTCATCATCATCTTTTTCTTCTTCTGTACTTTGCCTTTCACAAATGGACAAGACCAGATGGTAACGTACACGACATGGTCCACATATAGATAAATTTTGGGTTCACTGAAGAACATAAAAGAGTTTTTACATGAATACAAAGTTAGTTAAGTAGTGAAAGAAGTAGAACTATTCTGAACAATTATAGCAGATGCAGTCCAAAAAGAATATATGTCTAATAACTTAAACAACAATAAAGAGAAACAAAAACCTCATGAAAAATGCTAGAGTATAAGTTACATTACTGAATCGATGGATAGAGAACTCCACAGGCAGAGAAACAGCAACAAAAATTGTCAAAACAGTAGCGAGAGAGATCAAGCGAGCTAGTGAAATGGAGGCTCTCATGGAGTCAGCCAGCGAGAGAGATCGAGCGAGCTAGTGAAGGAGATAGAGCGAGCTAGAGAGAGAGCGACAACAAGAAAGAGAGCGCCGACAAAAGAGAGCCATCGAGAGAGAGCCATTGAGAGGAAGATGGCGTCGGTGGCGGCTGGTGATGACTGATGCGAAGAAGACAATGGCGTCGATGAAACTCATCACTCTCTCCCTCTCACTCACTCTGGTTTTTGAACAAATGAAGAAGGGACGGAGTTTTGTATCGCTCGACGCTCGATTTATTGGAGGACAAAGGACTGTCATTTTGAAAAATAAGTGAGGATATTATAGGAAAGTCAAAAAAATCATTAAGCACCGTTTAATTTTTTTTTTAAGCAACTTTAAAAAGCCGGGTTGTGAGGGATTTTTAAAAACAAGGGTCATTGACAGCAATTTTTAAAAAAGCCAAATTCCTCATGTTTGCCAAAAACTCAAACTACCAGAACTTTTTATTAAAGCTGCTTTTTTTAAAATTTAAGCAACCCCAAACACCATCTAAGGGTAATGCTAGGGAGACCATCTATTTGTATCATATTTGTGTACCACCTGATGTGACTGTTGAGTTGGCTATGCCACATCATTAAATGAGTTTTTAACATTTTTTATTTTTTATTATGTTTTTCACCCTTCACTTTACAGAAACCCAAGCACGTGAGAAGTTTTGTTTCCCGTATCTTCAACTGGTTCTTCGCCTAACTCCTCCCCTTCCTCCTCCCTTATCTTCTCCCTTATCAGTCACAATAAACCAGAGTTTTCCAATCTACCAGCGACAAAAAACATTAACCACTATTTTCTATTACTTTGCCTACCTATAAGTGCACTTTATCCTTGCACAAACCACCTGTCATGTCCCAATCTTTGAAATTTGATTTCTGAAAACGAATTCAAAAGTCTAGTTATAATTATGAAATTACATATTCAACATCTTTAAACATAACCTCCACCGGTCAAATCATCACCACCAACACTGACAATTAAAGCCACTCAAACCACAACCACTACCTAACCAAGACCAACACCGTTAAACACCACCATCGTCAAACATCGCCACCGCAGACAGACCTTCAAACACGGTCGCTTGGAATCTAAACCACACGGAGAGCTTGAACCACCACATCACCCAATCAAAATCACCACAGCTCCATCGAACCAGATTGACAGCACTGCCACTCAATCGAACCCAATATAATATCTACCCAATTGAACCACCAACGTTGAACTTAATTGCCGAATCTATTTTCATTCCCTTGAGAAGAAAAGAAAAGAAAAACATTTGAAATAACAATAAAATCATGAAAAACTGGGAGAAGGGGAACAATCGTCGGCGTCAGGGAGACATCCGGTAAGATTTCTTGTCACTGGCAGATTGGCAGGAGGTAGGATAGGAGGTAGGGGTAGGGGAGGAGGTCTAAGCAACGATGTGAAAAACTAAACGGCTCTTAGGTTTCTGTATAGGTGAAAAAAGTAATTAAAAATTAAAAATGTTAAAAACACATTTAATGATGTGGCATAGCCATCAGATGGTACACAAATATAGTACAAATAGATGGTTTCCCTAGCATTACCCATTGATTAATGGCGTTTTATTATTTTAGGTTCGACTCAATCGAGACGTAGTGTCTCTTAATTACAATCCCTTACTTCAAGGGAACACTCTTTGATTCCATCACAAATCACAAAGAAATAGAACCTATGTCTTTGGTTTTGCGGCTGCTCCTAAGTCGAACCTCAGGGTACCTAGGTATCCCATGCGGGAATCAAGCCACTCGTAGTTCAAAGAATTGCAATGAATAAATGACTGATTGCGAGGGAAATTTGATTTGAATTGTATTGAGAAATGTTTGAGTGAATTTAGCTGAATAAATGAGAGATTCAACATGGAATTGTGTTTATGGGTGAATTTGGTTAAGAATAAATCAGGGATTCTATTCAGATTCAAAATTTGAAAATTAATAGGTAAGAGTGGCCCACTAATTAAGAATTTGTGTTTGAGATATTTGAAATTAATCTCACTGAAATTTTCATGGGTAAATGACCCATGAAAAATTGGATGGTTTTATACCATTTTTTCCTTATTGTCAATGTCCAAGAAAAATAATGAGGAATTTCAATTAACCCACTAATTTTGACATTTGCACTTGGAAAAGTGTTTTGACGAATTTGGTTAGGATAAACCAAGGATTCAAATTTGGTTGCGATTGCATCTAGTGAGATGTTAGACTACCTACGTACCCTTGACGGGATAAAACCAACATAGTTCCGAAATAGAAATTAATGGGTAAGTGTGGCACAATAATTTAGAATTTGTGTCTTTGAGACAATTTGGAGATTTTCATAGGTAGATAACCCATGAGAAAAATTGGAGATTAATGGGTAAGTGTGGCCCACTAATTTAGAATTTGTATTTGAGAGATTTGAATTTAATCTCATTGAAATTTGCATGCGTAGATGACCCATGAGAAAAATTGGATAGTTTTGTACGATTTTTCTTATTGTCAATGTCCAAGAAAAATAATGAGAAATTTTGATTAACCCACTAATTTTCTAAAATTGACATTTACACTTGGAAAAGTGTTTTGGCTTGGTTTTGCACCACTTGGGATATGGTGTGGTTTTGCACCACTTGGGATTTGGTGTGGTTTTGAGGATTTGCCTAAATAAGCACTCAAGTTGTTCTTCATGATCTTGAATGCATGAATCCGGATTGTCAAGATGGCTTCGGGGATGAGATTTTCTTGTCTTGTGTCCAATGAGTGATTTCAATGAAGCATCCACCTTTGCCAACTCATTTATTTCTATTTCTTCCTCACAAGCTATTGTTTTTTTACTTCATCATCTTAGAGACCAATGACCAGCTTCTTGGCTGTGATTTTTGGCCCATTCTTGGCACGCTACAAACATCAAATAGCCTGAGAAAGCCATCTGATAGCTTATTAGTCTATTTTTCATTCTGCTTTTGTGCCAAGGCTTGTTGAGTGAAGGACAACTGAAGCAAGCTATTAGCATAACCATGCAAGTCTTAGAGGCCATTTAGTTTGTGGCTGATTGATGAGGAGGAATATTTCTGAATTTGTGAAGATCACTAGACCTTGGTGCCCTCGGACAAGAATGTATGATTGGGCTCCCATTGTAGGTATTAATACCTGCAAATTTTTCTCCATCTAGTAATGCAATGGTGGGTGTGAGCTTTTCCTCAATCATATTTGCTGCAGTTGATTGATGTCGGGAAGAGTCTATCTCCAAGCCACCATTGTTAAGAAGCTCTTGGATTTTGTCCTTCAAGATATGACAATCCTGGAGCGTATGACTGATGAGGCAGTGATACCGACAATACTTAGGGTCATTTGTCTTGTTGGCCTCAGCAGGACGCTTTGATTCTAGAAGGGTAATAGCTTTGGAGACTAGAAGTTGGTCAAAGATTTCTTCTACATCATCATCGTCAAAAGAATATTTGACCTCTTTGCATTCTTTAAGAGTGAGCCTTTTGGGTGGATCTTTGCTTTGGCCTTTGTCATTTTTCTTTTATGTTTTGACAAAAGTAGCTAACAACTCTCCCTTCGTAGACTTCTTGTCATTGTTCTTTTCCCCAAATTGAATTTTTTGGGTCACAAACTTTTGGCGAGCAATTTGTCTTTCAACATTGCTCGCCTTTGACACCAAAGCATCAAATGATTGGGGTTCAGCAGTGGTAACAAAAGTTACAATGTCTGGCATGAGGTTGTTGTAGCACATTTGCATTGTTGATTGCTCGGTAATTTTCTCTGGCCATTGGAGATTGAGGCTCCTCCATCTCATTATGAAGTCATTGGCACTTTCCCCTGGTTTTTAGGTAGTTTGAGCTAGGTCCATGATCAAGACCTTCTTATTTAAACTGACAAAATGTGCCAAAAATGCTTTTTGCATGTTGTCCCATGTAAGGATAGAGCCTGGCAGTAGTTGTGTGTACTAGGGGTGGGCATCTCATCCGAATTATCCGCGTACCGACGGTTTGGTTTGGTTTGGTTAAATAATTATTTTTTAATTTTAATTATTCCAATCCGATCCGTACCGAAATGTTTAGTTTGGTTAATGGAAATAAAATTCCTAACCCGACGGAAACCATACCGATCCTATATTTATAATTATTTTATTATTTAAATACAAAACAAGAAACCAAAGGTAAATACAATTAGCATTTTGTATCACTCCTTTATCACCACTGTATCACTACTTTATCACCATTTTATCACTACTTTATCACCACTGTATCACTTCTTTATCACTATTGTATCACTTACCTGGGTACTGTAGCATTGTTTGGTCAGAGAGGAATTTATGAACTTCCTATGTTTTCCAGTTTTGACCTTTGTCCCGTTTTGACTTGTAACTTTCCAACTGTTGATCCAAATTTTATGTTCTTTATATAGTTGGATTCAGCATGAAAAACTAAAGAACTCAACGCGGAACAAATGTCAAAATCATTTACATAAATGTAGAGAATTCAATAAAAGAACACTCAAAGGTTCAAACAACAAATACAAGTGGCTCCTAGTACATCTTGAGTACATATTGAATGATATAGTGACTAAGTTATTTGATTTCATACTTGGATGAATTAGACTATGGATTTATATATTTTACAAGGATAATTTGGTGTATTTTTTCAAGAACTTATGTTATGTGAAAATATTATAAATTGTATTTTTATTAGTATGTTTTTATTACGGTACTACTGGCGTACCGGCCAATCCGAATCGAATATTAGGTTAACCAATATGAAGTCTACCGAAGTCTTTGGTTTGGTTAATGGAAGAGTCTTCTACCATTCCGAACCAATCCACGCCCAGGCCTAGTGTGTACCAAGTAAAAGCTAATCCTTTTAGGGATTGGACAAATTGACTCACCTGAAAAGCATCTGACTAGGATGTCTCGCCACATGCTGAATAAAAATGTGCCAGATGTTCATGGGGTGAGCTATTTATGCCATCAAATTTATCGAATATGAGTCTTTGATAACCCTTCGAGAATGGGATGGCATCATAGTGAGAAGGGAATGGTTTTCGATACCCTTGAATAGGAGGTGCTATAGACATTTAAAACTCATGAATTCCCTCAGCAATTAATGCCTTTATGTCGTTTGGGGAAATTGTGCTCGTAGAGCCCTCTCATTTTCCTATTTCCTTTGTTGTTCATGGGTCACAAATTCATTTGCTTTGCTCCTGTCTTGCTCTCCTATAATGACTTTTTCTTTCAACTAAGCAAATAGTAATGCTATTTCCGCGTTTTTCTCTGCTAACTTCTGCTGCATTTCCCTTTGCAGGTCTTGTATCATTTCTTGGATTAAGGGTAACTAGTCCTTAGTATTAGAAGTGCCAATCATCATGACTTGCATGCTTTCCACTCCCCCATGAAATTTGGCCCCTTGAGATGCTATGTAATCATTCTCTTGAGTTTGAGATACAGGATCATCATAAAGAGAATTCCATAGCAAATAATCGTCCAAGCGGGTTGAGTTTAGGGCGGATAACTCGGGAATGATCATCCCCATCATGTCTTGGGATTTGGAACGGGTCAATGGACCCATGTAGGACCTCGACTGATCTTGAGGTTTCTGGACTGCCTTTTCTGATATGAGAATTTGATCCCTTGAAGCATCAGTTGTCTTCACCTTTGGCACAAGCTTTCTTCATGGATAAGGTATGTTTACCACCTTCTTTTTCATGATGATGGCTTTGCTTTTACCCTTAGAAGAGCACAAGTAAATCTCTTGTGATGTGGATTCCACAACATGGGCTCTTGGGCTTGACGGAGGTTTGGCCCCTTGGACCTTAATGTTTTCTTGAGAGTCATCATTTTGACTTTCTTTGCTAGTTTCGTCGGTGGAAGTCATCAAGACTGAATCTGTAGGATATAGGTTGACCGGGATTGATCTAATCATGATTTGGACAAATCGGGTAGTATTACTCCTCTTGGGAGGCGGCACAGTCAGGGTGCTTGAGGTGTTCTCGCTTATGGTCACCATTGGGCTTGTCATAGAAAGAGTTTTGAGATGAAACAATCCTTGTTCAAATTGGATTCCTCCTCCCACTTGATCAACTTATATTTTTCCTTTATTTATCCCTTCCTTTTCTCTAGGGATAAGATCATAGACAATTTGATGTACATGTTGTTTCAAATTTGTTTTGAAAACAAGTGTAGTGTGAGGACCATACCCACCCAACGTTGTGGGGCTTATCCAAACCCACAAATTTTTTTGTGAATTTTTTTGGTTCAACAGTCACATGGGGCTTTGAACTTAAAATTACCAGTTTATAAGTCAAAGACTCTTCTCCACAGGGTTGTCCACCTATCTCAATGCTACCTAGAACGTTTATTTTAGCTAAAATAAAAATAACAACCCTCTAAATAGATCTCTGTGACCAGGGAAGCTATTTATTTATTTATTTTGCAAAGTAAAGAGATGCTAATCTTGGCGTGCACGATCTAATCCTAACGCGTGGCACAGTCCTATTGGAAATCTCCTTTTATGATTCCGTAATTAAGTCGGCAATTGGTCCTATAAATGAAGGCTTCCCCAATGTCAAGCCCTTCATCGTTTAGAATTTCAGATCTGATAGAAACCAGAGGCAAACCCAAATTCTTTGAAGCTCTTCTAAGTTCTCTCTCACCTCACTTCCAAGGTTAGTATTTCTGTATCTTGCAATTCCTTTGCCTCTGTATTTTTTTTTTCTTTTGATTATTTGATTTGTTGATGTAATTGTTAATTTATTGTTAATATTTAAGATCTGTTTGAAAATCTTTTATGAAATTGTTTAGATCTATCTGTTTTTAATTGATTACCTTGTCAAGATCAAACTTTGATGTATGAATTCCAGAAAACACCAATTCTAATTTGGATTAATTTGTTTCGAGTCGTTTGATGCCAAGATTTTGTTTTGTGTTAGATCCTTAACTTTATGGAATACTATTTAGATTTAGATTTGTGTATTCCATTTTTGAATTCCAAGATCCAACTTTGATGAATGAATTCCAGAAAACATCATCTCCAATTTGGATTACCCTGTTTCTAGTCGTTTAATACCGAGATTTTATTTTGTTTTAAAAATTCTGAAATTTATCGGATACAATTTCGATTTAGATTTGTATATTCTATTTAGAATTTCTTCACTCTCTTATTGTTTTTGTTTGATTGTTTAATTACTGATGAAATTGTTAGTTTATTGTTGTTAATAATCAAAGATCTGAATGAAATGATTCACGATCTTCAAGGTCTATAAAATAATTTTCAATTCTGTCTGACTTAATCAATCATTTTCCAAGATCTTGTTTTGTTTTTATGAATTCCCCAGAAACAAAATTGATTTAGGGTTGTTTTGCGTGAACAGATGCAGATTTTCGTGAAAACCCTCACAGGCAAGACCATCACCCTCGAGGTTGAAAGCTCTGACACCATTGACAATGTCAAAGCCAAGATCCAGGACAAGGAAGGCATTCCCCCAGACCAGCAGAGGCTGATATTTGCTGGCAAGCAGCTTGAGGATGGCCGCACCCTCGCCGATTACAACATCCAGAAGGAGTCCACCCTCCACTTGGTGCTTCGTCTGCGTGGTGGTATGCAAATCTTTGTCAAGACCCTTACCGGGAAGACAATCACCTTGGAAGTTGAAAGCTCGGATACCATTGACAATGTCAAGGCAAAGATCCAGGACAAGGAGGGCATTCCCCCAGACCAGCAGAGGCTCATCTTTGCTGGAAAGCAGCTTGAGGATGGTCGCACCCTTGCCGACTACAACATCCAGAAGGAGTCCACCCTTCACTTGGTACTTCGACTCCGTGGTGGTATGCAAATCTTTGTCAAGACCCTTACTGGCAAGACAATCACCTTGGAAGTTGAAAGCTCGGATACCATTGACAATGTCAAGGCAAAGATCCAGGACAAGGAGGGCATTCCCCCAGACCAGCAGAGGCTCATCTTCGCTGGTAAGCAGCTTGAGGATGGACGCACCCTTGCTGACTATAACATCCAAAAAGAATCGACTCTGCACTTGGTGCTCCGGCTGCGTGGTGGTATGCAGATCTTTGTGAAAACTCTGACCGGGAAAACCATTACTCTGGAAGTGGAAAGCTCTGATACTATTGATAATGTGAAGGCCAAAATCCAGGACAAGGAGGGTATTCCCCCAGACCAGCAGAGGTTGATCTTTGCAGGAAAGCAGCTTGAGGACGGAAGGACCCTTGCTGACTACAACATTCAAAAGGAGTCCACTCTGCACTTGGTGCTTCGACTGCGTGGTGGGATGCAGATCTTTGTGAAGACTCTGACTGGCAAGACCATAACATTGGAGGTGGAGAGTTCGGATACAATTGATAATGTGAAGGCCAAGATTCAGGACAAGGAGGGCATTCCTCCAGACCAGCAGAGGCTCATCTTTGCCGGTAAGCAGCTTGAGGATGGGAGGACTCTTGCAGATTACAACATTCAGAAGGAGTCTACCCTTCACCTTGTCCTTCGTCTCCGTGGCGGTTTCTGAATTCTGAATGATCTTTGTGGTTCCATCCTTTTCTGATCAGTGGACAGTGGCTTTGTTAAGTATTTTTGTGTTTTGAATTTTCGTACTTGGCCGATGGATGATGGGTCGCACTAAGACTATCTAGTTAATAAATAAACATGCTTTGTATGTATCTTCTCTGTTTCTGTTTTGCATTTGAAATTTCTGTTATACATGCATCTATATTGCTCTATAATATTGTTTTTGGAACTTTGGATGGTCGGACTGGAGATGTGGTCTGGTTAAGATCAAAGCATTTGGGTAGAAACCATTATAAAATAATCTTGCATTTGGTGTATCTCAATTATTTTAGTTCATTTTTTATGTAAACTGGCTTTGAGATGTAAATATGGTATTTGCTTCAATGCAAGAACGTAAACCAGTTTTTCATATGTTAATTTCTTTTATCTTAACAAGTTGTCTTTCCTTTCTTTTTCCAACGAATGAACACAAAAAAAAATTCAAATTTCCAATAAGATCAATTTCATCCAACATTATGTGTTGTATAGTAAAGTACATTAGTCACATTTGTTGGTTTCTTATCACTTTTTTAATCCAAAAAGTAGATTCAATCTCATTCTCAAATTATAATATTATTATTTACAATTTGCATAAAACTCAAGATTCAGACAAGATAAGACTTCATCTCACACCAATCGTGGAATTAAATTCTCTCATCCCCATCTTAACTCACATAAATGTCGTAGACTAGATTATCTAAATACACTCTTCTTTGAATATCTTTCTCATCCACCATACTACAATGAACCAACAAAACATAGGTTTTACCCCCAAATGACTCATCTTAAGTCCAAAATTAGAAAAATGCTGGCTACTTTACTCTGTTTGCAATCAAATGGGTTCTTTTCTTTCTTTTCTTTGTTTGTTGGTGTCTGTGCGCTTCCATTTTTCAATCATATAGGTGAATTATTTGGACATAAAATCCTAAATAACACACACTAGGATCCCAACAGAAAAATAAATAACACACACTAGGAGAAAATGACCCATTGACAAACTCAACGTGAAAGGAACGGTAGAGACTGATTTCTGGGCACATGTGTCCTAAAGACAAAGATACAAGGGCAACATTCGCTGGCGCCACCTTTGAGAATTACATGAGAGAAAAACAATGAAAAAAATGATATCAGTTTGCTGTATTTTATCTTATTCGGACTGCAGATCCCTGAAGCATCAGCATAAATAATAATAATTATAAATAAATAAAATAATAGTTTGGTTGCTTTTACAAAGGGTAACCTAAGAATCTAATGTCCTGAACATGTTGAATGCACTTGGCTTTATGTTTGGTCAAGGTTGAAAGTTGCAGGCATTGGCATATAATTATTGAAAAAGAAAACAACCAGATAGACCTTGGCCGAATTGAAATGTGTGACTTTTATACATAGCCTTATGTAACAGCTAATGCAGAAGGCAACAGAAACAATTACAAACCAATGACAAAAGCCGCAACATTGTCGAAATCAGTCTCATTCTCAGATGATGCAGATGATGCAGATGCATAATTTTACTGTAATTCAAATGGGGAATAATTCATATCAAGTAGTATGAATGCATGAAGACAAATTTTACAGTGACCAAGTGAATAGTAACTCTGGCTTGCCTTCATTGCCTGCCAAGATATGAGATGAGATTGCCGGCTTGTTTATTTTAAAAAGAAAAAAACCCAATAATTGTAATTCACTCAATTTGCATAGCATCAGCAGAAGTGCATAAACAAGACAATATAACAGATAACAAGCTGCCGATACTCTGCCAAATTAAATTAATAAATTACTTTGTGGTTAAATAGGTGATGAAGTTGTATAAATTCTAGAGCTTTGAAAGCTGTACATTCAATCCTCCAAGAAATGGGGCTCAACAAAAGCATGTTTCGCTATGCAGACGGCACGGACAAGCTGTTGATGTTGTTTGGGACTTTAGGCAGCATTGGTGATGGACTGCAGAACCCTCTCATGATGTACATTCTCAGTGAGGTTATCAATTCTTATGGAAGTGCTAATGGAGGTTTGACAAATGCTGATGTAGACAAGGTAAGCATAGTAAAATTTCTCAGTAATTCTGCAGTACAAGGCATTTTACCTGTTTTTGGTTGAAGAAAAATGGCACCCCTGACCCAATATGCTGCCACAGGCACATAATTTAACGTTAAAGAACGTGAATTTGATAATGAAAAGTAAGCTTTTCAATATATCAACAGGGTTGACTCAGAAATACTAACCCTCTGTCTGCTTCCCTCTCTCTGATTGTGGAGGAAAGAGAGAGAAACTTTTGAGAGCTAGAATAGGAGCATATAAGTTCAGAAACAGATAAAGCGGGGTTTGGTTTGGTCGGTCCAGGGATTTGTAAAACTATTGAGATTTTCTATGGCCTGGATAATTTGATTCTTGCGTCGTAATGTCTTTTGAGTATTTGCAGTGGACGTGCTAACTTTGATTCTCATTTTGCCAGTTTGCACTCAGGCTCTTCTATGTTGCCATTGGAGTTGGACTTGCAGCATTTGTTGGTACGTAAATTTTTCTGTTAATCTATCTTGCATATTTTTGGGAGAAGGAAAGCATTAAAGATTTTGATAAGAACAGGAACCTGACCTATTTTCATGCTAACTACTTCTACAGAAGGGTTATGTTGGACACGAACTGCAGAGAGGCAGACTTCCAGAATGCGAAAGGAATATCTGAAATCTGTTCTTAGACAAGAAGTTTCCTTCTTTGACACCCAGACGGCCGGTTCTTCAACAACATACCAAGTTATCTCAATCATCTCCTCTGATGCCAACGCAGTCCAAGTTGCCTTATGCGAGAAGGTTAGAGTTAATTTCATAAGAAATCCACCTAAAGATTAAAAGCAGTATCAAAACAACATATCCTTGAGGGCTTCTCTTGGCTCAAATGAAGCATAGTCAGAATGCACATGAATTTGGAGATAAATTATCAGTTAAATGCAAGGAATTAACAGGCTTGTTTTCGTTCACATCCATTTAGCTAAATGTGTTTCTCTCCTTGATGTAGATACCTGACTGCCTGACATACATGTCAACTTTCTTCTTCTGCCACATATTTGCCTTCAGACTGTCATGGAGGTTGACGTTGGCTGCTATGCCGCTTTCAATCATGTTCATAGCTCCAGGACTTATATTTGGAAAGATTCTGATGGGCCTGGTAATGAAGGGGATTGAAGCTTATGGAGTTGCAGGGGGATTTGCCGAACAAGCAATTTCTTCAGTAAGAACTGTATACTCTTATGTTGCAGAAAATCAGACACTAAATAGGTTCAGCACTTCACTTCAGAAAGTTACTAAACTTGGAATCAAGGTAGGTCTTGTAAAGGGATTGCTGATGGGAAGCATGGGAATCATTTATATCGGTTGGGGGTTTCAGGCTTGGGTTGGCACTTATTTGGTTACTCAGAAAGGAGAAGATGGTGGGCATGTTTTTGTAGCCGGTTTCAATGTCCTCATGGGAGGCCTGTGAGTTAACTTTTTTCAAGAACTAATTATCGCTTACTGCCGCTGCATTGCGTTACTATCTTGAACTTATAATTTATCATTGGTATTGCAGGAGTATTTTAAGTGCTCTCCCAAACTTGACTGCTATCACAGAGGCATTGGCAGCTACAACTCGAATTCTTGAAATGATTGATCGTGTTCCTAGTATTGACAGTGAAGACAGAAAAGGGAAGGCTTTATCACATGTCAGAGGAGAAATAGAATTCCAAGACATTTACTTCAGTTACCCATCAAGACCTGATACCTCAGTCTTACAAGGCTTGAATCTTAAGGTTCCAGCCGGTAAGAGTGTAGGTCTAGTTGGGGGCAGTGGTTCTGGCAAGTCAACAATCATTGCATTGCTTGAGAGATTTTATGACCCTATTGAAGGAGAAATACTCTTGGATGGACACAAAATTAGAAGACTTCAGGCAAAATGGTTGAGATCCCAAATGGGTCTGGTTAATCAGGAACCTGTTCTGTTTGCAACTTCCTTAAAAGAGAACATCCTTTTTGGAAAGGAAGGAGCTTCAATGGAAGAAGTAATAAACGCGGCTAAAGCTGCAAATGCACATGACTTCATTGTTAAATTACCAGACGGATATGAAACTCAAGTATGCTTTCTTCTACTATTTGGAATTTATTTTTGGCTTCCATGCTTGGCTTTCTTCTTTTTCTTTTAAGGTCTCCAAGAAATATGCAACACTTAACTGAGAGTTAAAAATAGTTGTATGACATCAATGTTCTAAATTGCGATAGTTGTTGGGATCCCAACGCTATCATGATCTATTGTTTTAAAGCATGTACAAATTTACCTAAACAATCTGTTAGCCAAGATTTGGAACACGAATGGAATTCAGTTGAACATGCCCCTTAGCCTCCATAACAGTCATCATGCTACAACAGTCTAACGACATTCAGTTGTAACTATTCTTAGAATAACTTACCTACCTAGGAAATGAATTAATTCAATTTTGAATTGTCTAATGTTGATTTGTTTGAAAATAATTATGAACTTCTCAGACATTGTTCCTGTGATTTCTACTTACAAAAACATGATATTTGTGGTTTTCCCAGGCTGGTCAATTTGGGTTCCAACTTTCTGGCGGGCAAAAGCAGCGAATTGCTATAGCAAGAGCTCTGCTAAGGGATCCAAAAATCCTACTTCTTGATGAAGCAACTAGTGCACTGGATGCACAGTCTGAAAGAGTAGTGCAGGAGGCAATTGATCAGGCGTCAAAAGGGAGGACAACAATCATAATTGCCCACCGCCTTTCTACAATCCGAACAGCAAATTTGATTGTGGTTCTTCAAGCTGGGAAAGTAGTTGAATCAGGCTCACACAATGAGCTGATGCAAATGAAGGGGGAGCAGGGAGGTGAATACTTCAAGATGGTACAAATGCAGCAGATGGCAAGCCAAAATGAGGCTGCTGATGATTATGAAAAACCTCGCCGTAGGAGGAGCGTTACACCAAGCCCCATTAGTTACAGATCAACTGCTCCTTCTCCAGCGTTCAACCCCACAGCTATGTCTATGTCCATGGGGACACCCTACTCCTTCTCTGTCCAATATGATCCTGATGATGAAAGTGATGATGAAGACTTCAAGCGCCCAACTTATCCTCCTCCTTCACAATGGCGTTTGCTGAAAATGAATGCACCAGAATGGGGACAAGCCTTACTTGGATGCTTGGGTGCAATAGGTTCTGGGGCAGTACAACCTATAAACGCCTACTGTGTCGGATCACTTATATCGGTTTACTTCCTCCAGGACAAATCTGAAATTAAGTCCCAATCCAGGGTCTTGTCCCTTGTTTTCTTAGGCATTGGTGTTTTCAACTTCTTCACCAATCTCCTCCAACACTACAATTTTGCAATCATGGGAGAAAAGTTGACCACAAGGGTAAGAGAGCAACTACTTGAAAAGCTGATGACTTTTGAGATTGGGTGGTATGATCAAGATGAGAACACAAGTGCAGCCATTTGTGCAAGGTTAGCCACTGAAGTAAACATGGTTCGATCTCTTGTTGGGGACAGGATGTCATTGCTGGTCCAAGCAGTTTTCGGGGCTACCTTTGCTTATGCAGTAGGACTTGTGCTGACATGGAGGCTAGCCCTTGTGATGATAGCAGTGCAGCCAATAGTCATTGGGAGCTTTTATGCAAGGAGTATCTTAATGAAGAGTATGGGAGAAAAAGCCCGGAAAGCTCAAAAGCAAGGAAGCCAATTGGCAAGCGAAGCTGTCATCAACCACAGAACTATAACTGCCTTTTCTTCTCAGAAAAGAATTTTGGGGCTGTTTAGTGCAACCTTGAAAGGTCCTAAGAAGGAGAGTATCAAACAGTCCTATGTTTCGGGTGCTGGCTTGTTTAGCTCCCAATTCTTCAACACTGCTGCTACAGCTTTAGCTTACTGGTATGGTGGGAGGCTACTGGTGCTGGAGGAGATAACTCCAAAGCATCTATTTCAGGCTTTTTTGATACTTCTATTTACCGCTTATATCATTGCAGAAGCTGGAAGCATGACTTCTGATATATCTAAAGGAAACAGTGCCATTCAATCGGTGTTTGCCATTTTAGATAGGAAAAGTGAGATCGATCCGGATAACAAATGGGGACTGGAAATTAAGAGGAGGATAAAGGGTCATGTCGAGTTCAGAAATGTTTTTTTTTCATATCCAACAAGACCTGACCAGATGATACTGAAAGGACTGAGCCTCAGAATTGATGCAGGCAAGACAGTGGCACTAGTGGGGCAGAGTGGTTCTGGAAAATCCACCATTATTGGGCTCATTGAGAGGTTTTATGATCCAATGAAGGGATCAGTCTGTATAGATGAACAGGATATTAAAAACTATAACTTGAGAATGTTGAGGTCACATATAGCATTGGTAAGTCAGGAGCCTACCCTGTTTGCTGGAACTGTCCGTGAAAATATTGCATACGGTAAAGAGAACGCAAAAGAATCTGACATCAAGAGGGCTGCAGTTCTGGCCAATGCACATGAATTCATAAGGTATGAAATTACAGTTGACAAGTTACACACCAAAAAGATTACGCTTATTTGCAGCTTCACAATATGCCAACATTTCTGTCTTATTCTAAATTTTGCAGTGGAATGGATAATGGTTATGATACATATTGTGGAGAGAGAGGAGTTCAGCTATCAGGAGGTCAGAAACAAAGGATTGCAATAGCTCGGGCAATACTGAAGAAACCGTCAATCCTCCTACTGGATGAGGCTACCAGCGCGCTTGATAGCGTGTCGGAGAAGGCAGTTCAAGAAGCGCTCGAGAAGATGATGGTCAGTAGAACATGTATAGTCATTGCTCACCGGCTATCCACGATACAGAAGGCCAACTCCATTGCTGTGATCAAGAATGGTAAGGTTGCAGAACAAGGTTCACACAATGAATTGATTTCCTTGGGACGCAACGGAGCATACTACTCTCTGATAAAACTACAGACTGGTAATTCACCTCCCAGGTAAAAACCAGAGAAATGGTGACCAAACATTAAGGATGTTGCATATGATATGTAGACTGGTTTTGAATTAGTTACACGAATTTTTGTCAATATGATAAGGAGTTTGTATTTAGGTTGCATTTTACATGGAAGATGGATATTATTTAGGCTTTGCTCATATTTTCTGAATTTTATAGTTATGTTAAAGCCATTTGCAGCAGTGGTAAGCTGGGATTTTACCTTGGTTCTTGGTTTAGTTTTGAATAATTGGGAAACAAGAAAATTCTCATTCAAAAATTCAAGATGGTAGATGAAAATCAGCAAGCAGATGAGATCATAAATGAGAATCATGAGATTGAATTGCCATTTAAACCCTAAAATTTGTGTAAAGTGGAGCACTTAATGTCTGGCCTTCACAGCATGGAAATCTGATTCCCAGAACATCACAAGTTGATATCTTGTTGAAATCTAGCCACGTTCTTACTTGTTATGTAGGACCAACCTACTTTAACAAAGTTTATCAAAGAAAACAGCAGGAATTTTTCAAAGCCATATCTGGCTTATTGGAATACCATTCCGCTTTCAAAGGCTATATGTTGGCATCATTATTTTCCAGCCAATTCATTTTCCCACCCGAGTCGTGTATCGGGTTGTATCAGAAATTGCCACCACATTTCATTAACTCCAGGAACAAAAATGAAGGAAAAACACATCAAAAAGTGATGAAAAACAACAAAATTCAAAATATCAGATAATTCAGACAAGCCAAATAAATAGCCACCAAAAATTTGAACTTCCATTTCAATATTTTAGTACAAAAAGTTAGCACCAATTTCTTCCTTCCTAAGTTAAAAAAAGAACAGAAAAATAATTATCAAAAATAAAAAATAACACTGAAATGCAATTCAGTCAATGGAGCAAAATCACAAATTGAGCAAAATCAAGACCAACAAATTGGCAAAAACCCCCACCTGCCCAAGAAGGCACTTAATCATCTGATGATCTGGTGCAGCAGAGAGCTTGATATCCTTCTTGTTCTTGGGGTTGACGTAACCCCCAGAGTCGTTGACCACCACATCTGCCCCAACCATCAACCTGTGCCTCTTGGTCCTCCAGAACATGATCTTGAACCTCACAGCGGTGACCAAATCCACCCTGAAATGCACAGTCCCATTAGAGTAGGTCGCATTGGAGACAGCTGTCCAGTTGAGCTCCTTGGGCTCCCCAACCGCAGACTTTGTGGCCTTCTTCTGATGCCCCTGGTAGAAGTTGGGCACAAAAGCAGTAGCTATGGGCTTAGTGGCGTTGGGCAGAGTGAAATTGAGGTTGATGGCATCGTAGTAAATTCCCTTGTCCTTGTTGTGGTTCTCCAGCCTGAGGGTGACGTAGAGGGTCTTGTTTGTGGTGTCGTTTAGGGTCCTGTTGAGGGCAGGAATGTATAATGAGCGGACTTTGCAGGTGGGATTTGAGGTGCGAAGGCTGAGCCACATGAAGAGGGCTGTGAGGCCAAGAGTGAAGATGAAGCTGAAGCAGCACCGGCAGCAGCCGCCTGATTCTGCCATTTTTGATCTCCCAAGGAAAAATTAATGTAAATAAAAGGTTCAGGCTTTAGAGAGAAATAGAGTGAAAGGAGATGATTGCAGAGTGTGTGTGTGTCGGGCAATTATTAAGTACTAGAAATTTATTATATTATTAATATTCCTTGGAGAGTGGTTGGGTGTGTTGGTATTTATTTCTTTAAAAAATTATTTTTTGGTACGTGTTTTGGTTTTTGTGTGCATTGACTTAAATTTGTTTGAGTCTTCGACGGTAAAACCGTAGGAACTTTCTTGGAGGCGTGTGAGCCTCTTTCAACATTATTTAATGGACTAGCTTGCTATTGGGTGTACCTCGGACGAATTGGATTGGATGGTCAACTCAATCCTAACTCATCCTTCACAATTTTGGGTTGGATGGTCGACTTTGGGTATGGTTTCTAATTCGGCTCCTTTCAAGGCAAGTCTGGATTGATTTGGGTTGGGTTTGGGTTGCCAATTTTATTGTAGAGAGGGTTGGGTTGGATTGATTTTAGTCTTAACTCGTAATTCAATTTGATTTCTTACGGTTTATGATTTTTTAGACTCAAGACCTGCTCATTCAAATTTTTTATGATTGAGTTATGCAGTTCAATCGGGTTAACTTAAAATTAAACCTATTTTTAAGTTTTTGTTCTAACATAATTGTTTATAATTTTTTGAATCCAAAATCCGCTCATTTTGAAGACAACCCAACCCACCCTAATCGAATTAAACAGTTTAGTTGGATTAACCCGAAATTATGCCCACTTCTAATAAAGACTGTAATGAGGAGTTATAACCAGAGTTCAATCGGGCAAGACCTCAATGCCAATCCAACAAATAATCGAGTTGAGTTTGAGGTGAGGTTGAGTTTGGGTAGGTTTTACCTAATTCTAACCCACCTAAAAGTCAGGTTGGATCCCCGAGTGGCAAGCTCCAGCAACTTCCTCGACATTGCACGGATCCTTCTCTTTTAAATTCACTGGGAACGACCCTCGGCACTTTCTTCGTTTTTAAATTATATTTTAAACTTCAAAAAGTGCTAGATGAGTCCTTAATTTATTGTAAGTAAGAAGAGATAAGCTCCCACGTTCTTTTAAAAAACAAAAATTGCAATTGTGGATGTGGATATCTCTTTTAAAGACAACAAAAACAAGACAGCAAAGATTAATACAAACACTAAAAATACAATCCTCACAAATAAAACCAATCAACAAATAGATTGAATTGGATCGGTTTGGCTACTAGCTTGAGACCAAAACCGAGGATGTTAAGGGAATCCTATGTTGTGCTGACGAACAGAATCTTGCATGTGAACACATCAAACTAATTATTTATTACACCAAATAAAAAATAAGTATTTGTAACAACTCTTTTTCTGGTTCCTTCAATAACATGAAATGGTGGATGAGGTTACCAGAAACAAGGGTTTGGGAACATGCTACACTTATAAAATGTACTATCAAGGAGAAAAATATTGCATATTCATATGGAAAATTAAATAATGGGCTACAACGATGTCTTTCAAAGTAGGGGGTACCTTGTCCTTGGCTACTACATTATTCCACAACTGATTTATAAGATCAACCCTTTGATGGCATGCTTGCTTCAGCCTCCTTCTGACCTTTTTCCTCCTCGAACTTATTTATAGCCACTTGCAATTCATCTGTGCCTCCAACAGCTCTCATGGTGTAGAAATATACTCCAAACACAAAAGCTGACAGCCCCCCAGCAACTATAGCATTCTTTGTTTTAGGTGCAAGGCTCCTATATCCTGAAATCCCAGACATCTCTACCAGCAAAATTCTGGAGCAAGTTCTGATTTATGCTTTCAGTCTGCAAACACAAAAATATAAATATAAAACATGACTCCATAGAGTGGTTGAAGGATACTGTCCAGGTTGAAGAAAATAAATTCAACTAGGTTTTGAAAGAAAGTTAATTTTTCCAGGTTAAAGAAGACTCCATAGAGTGGTTAAAGAAGACGCCATGGAGTAGTGCTTTATGTTTTTGGATAACTTTGGAATGAAGGCTTGGACAAACAATTAAAAGGACAGAGAAAATATACGCACAACAAATATGGAAAAGCAGGAGCACATTACATACAGCACTGCTGTAACAACGGCCCAAAGTACCCCATTTTAATCCACTTCCAATAAGAGACCGAAAACAACCATTCAAGATTAAAGGGGCACAAATAATGATCCATATCAAGAACATTGAAACACAACTTTAAATTACTACAAAAAAAACTGTCATATAGATTCCTAACTTTGAGCATAAGCAGAACTTTTATAATCAGACAAAGTGATTTTATATTCTAAGAGAAATGATAGTGAAGTGTAAGATATGTTGATATGATGATTGCCACTAGTATCTTTGTGTTGCATAAATATATCTATCACCACCAGTATCTTTGCGCCACAACGCCATACAAATTTCCTCTACCATTTACTTTTTCTTCTTCCATTTTATGCCAAAGGGATGCCCATTCTTAGAGTTTCTCCTAATCTGATGGTGATCTTTTTTCTTTGTTTTGTTATATATGGAAACTGAAATGTTTCTTTTTCTTGCTAAAAGGTTAATGAAAGTAGTTTGATTTATTAGAGGAAAATATCAAAGAAGAGAATATGTGTATCTAAATCATCCAAAGTTCAGTTTTAACTACAAGTGAAATTCTCCTAGCAAAACAAGAATGAGAAAAGTGCAAGGCAGTTTGAAGAATACCGAACTTTTCAAATTCACCAATCTTTCTGCCATTTTACTAACTCATTCTTTTATGGAAACAGAAAACATTAAACCCCATAGATTTTTCAAAGCATAAGTCCCTTCTCTCTCAACTTCACAAAATTGTGTATTTCTAAAAATTCCAACAATCTCGAACTTAAAGACAGCAGCATAATTCATAGTGCCTCTAGTCAGAGTTACTTTCAGTTAACAAAGCAATAAAATTTCGGAAATCGGGATTGAAACCTTCACTTTCAATCCCAAAGCTCCAATTTTTCAAAGAAATAAGGGAAAAGATTTCTAACAAGACTGATTTCCCATTTCCAAAATTCCTCGAAACCCAAAACAATTTCATCAAAGCACAATATTCCGAGTACCAGTTAAGCTTGCCAAACTTCATTCCTCCAATTATTTATGATGAAAGCTGAAATCAAAACACGAGTGGAGAGAGAAAGAGAGACAGAGAGAGCATACCTGAAAATCAAATCAACTGAGACGGAGAGAGGATTCTGTTCTACTGTTTTTCTTTAGGTCGTTTCATTTGTATTGAGTTGTCTTCCCGATTTGGGCTTATGATCTTTAAGCCGGATTGTTCATTTTGTTGTTGAGTTACAGTTTGGGCCCGGTTCAGTTCCTCATCTTTGGGCTTTGTAAAAATGTATTTTCTTCTGGAAAAAACACATAGAAAAGAGGGGGCTTCTATAAACAAATTACAATGAGGAAATTCAATCGAACAGTCCAATAATAACTCTGCTGGATTGAATACCGCTTATAATAACCCTTCATTCTAGTCTCCCTCTAAAAAATGGTCGGTTTTTTATTTTAACAAATAAAAAAAAGTTCTTCTAATTCCACGAGAAAGTCTTGGGTGAGTCTCTCATGCGGCAGCTCACTTACAAATAATGAAATCAGTTGAGGCCCAAATGAAGGCCTCAATTTTTAATGAGAGAGCTACCGCATAAGAATACCTCACAAACAAGCTCTGGCATAGAGCAGACATGGAACAAATCAAGGGTCTAACAGTCCTAATGGGCACAACAACCCAAAAAAAGAAGAAGCTCATGAGTCATATATACAATATATATATATATATATATTTTTTCTCCTGGAGCGAGCTAGTATCAATAATTGCAAGCCGCTTGTTGCCAAGTTGATACGTGATTCTCTATGGTTTTTAAAAAAACTAAATGTAACTTATCAATAAGAAGTCATATTGTATAGAAAGATGTTTTCAATTTGAAAGCCAATACTAAGCCCAAGCATGGATAATATTGTTTTCACCTTAACCATTCAGGTTCATACAGTGGGCTGTGTTAGGCCCAATGAACCCGTAGGTGTAAGATTTTAACTCAAAATGCATCGATAATGAATCACCTACCTTTAAACTATAGATTATTGTTGTACTACTCTGATGTAGGACTTACACATCATAACTTGAATCGAGCCAACTACGCCAACACATAATTATAATTGTCTAGTTTTACATTTCAAGTACACATACATTTTCCTGCATTTTTTAAACATCTTTTTCAAAGGAGAAATCTTGAGAGCCCTACTTTCTCACCAATTTCCTGAACGTCAATTTGAGTTTGCTGTTTATATTCCCTCAACGTGAACTGCCTATAAAGAGCTGGCTTACCGCAGCTCTTGATGACCACATCGTAGGAAGGACAGTAGAAGTAGGCCACAGAAAACCTCTCAACTTTTTGGCTGGTAACCACTCGGTGCTTGATGCTTTTGTAAATGCCATTGCTCAAGGCCTACGAACATATCATATAAAAATATGACCAGATTATACACATGGTATAAGGATATCCTTGTAAGAAACACGTGTGTGAATACAAAACAAAATAAAATTCCAAGTACTTCAAGGATTACCTCAAAGAAGTCCCCAATGTTGACAATCAGAGCTTCAGGATTAGGTTTAACACCCAACCATCTTCCATCTCTGTATATTTCGAGACCTCCAACTTGGTCCTGGTACACTATGGTTAGGAAATCAGTATCAGTGTGAGAGATGAGGCCATACACTTGGGAAGAAAATGGACATGGAGCATATCGATTTAATCGAAGATAACTTGTTCTCGCCGGACAGTTCTCTTCGAAATAAACGGGTTTGATTCCCAAAGGCTGTGCCAGAATTTCAGCTAAGCTTCTAGCCAAACCGGACACAGTCTTCACGAATGCTTCAATTGTTGACCTGCGCAAGACAGTGTCGATACCAGAGGCAAATATTGAAGAAGAAAAAAAATATAGATTAATAAATTTATGTAGTGTGGTTCTCTTGGATTAAGAATTTGGCATATCTACTTAAAATTGTCACATGACCTCACCTCTCTTAAAGAAACTTGAAATCATTTATTTTTTATATTAAAGATTTCCGTTTCGTTCCAACTTAATCTAAACGACAAGGGTATGATTGCATGTTTCTAAATTTACATGGATGAAACCGAAAACCCTAGAAAACTACAAGGACGAAAATCGTCTTGCGGCCTATATAAAATTACACGGATGCCAGCTAAATTTGCCTCTATTTTTTGTATAGAATTGGTCTTGGGTGTTATATTGATCACTTGAACACGAGGACTATATATGAATTGGAAATTAAAGTGTATAGCATCCCTACAAAACATACAATTGTGGCATTTTGTCTTGTTCCCACAAAACCAAATAGATGGCTCAGTACAGGCAGTGGAGTTTGTTTTGTGAATGACTTGTGGAATCGTGCAAAGACGCATTATTGTTTTGTTCAGTCCACAAAACAAAAGGAACCAAAAGCCTGTCGGGGCGTGCATGCATGTCGCGTAGCCGCCCCACTTGCAAGTTGCAAAGTTCTCCTGTAACTACGTGGCAACCATGCATGCGATGAAGACTGGTGTAGGCACGTGGTACACCATGCATGCAGGGCCAGGTATCATATGGTGTTGTTGGGAAAGAAAGTAAACTGAGTCTTGACCAAAAGAAAGTAAACTGAGAGACAATCGATGGTTCATCTGGCTTCAGACGTCTTGTCTTTCTGTAGGGACATACGCATGGCCTTTGGCAGGTAGGGTACTAAGCTTTAGCAGATAATGCCAATCTATATAGTATATACTATACATACTCAAAAACATACTATATATATCAATATTCTTCATTCCTAAAATAGACATAATCAGAAATATCTAACACTAAAAAAGGAAATATCTAAGACCTATAGTCACCAAAAAAGGAAATATCTGTGATCTAACCAGAAAAACAAAAGAAAAACAGAAATATCTAAGAAGGTGATGACAGATAGGCTTGAGCATATAATAATAATACTAATAATAAGGGTTATTAATCGAAACGTTCTCCTAGTTATTGCTCAAGTTTTATTGATCAACGAACTAAATTTTTCATTTCAATAATTCTCCAATGCTCCGTTTAGTACGGTCTTACCGTTAAAGTCTGTCAATTGTTCTGTGAAATTTAGAAGCAAAACCGTCTCTCTTTGCTATCTCTTCTCTCTGCTCCTTATTCCCTCCCCGACCCACCCCATGGCTGCAAATCCTGATTTTGAAGATGATCGAGAAGGCTATAACCATGTTTATTTCGTCGCATGTCCATTTAAGAAGCTATCAAATTTCTTCTCAAATAAGACAAAAATGAATGTAGCTGAGAAAGCAATAAGGATCCACATAATTGAGGTCATATCTGGGTGCTTTTGCCGAGAGAGAGAGAGATTTTCTTTTTAGTTTTTTTTCTTGTTTAGATGGTTTTGCCCCTTGATTGTTCAGAACAATCGACAGACTTTGATAGTAAGATAGTTTTGATACTAAATGGAGAGTTGGAGGACTATTTAAATGAAAATTTTAGTTTGTGGACCAAAATAAAATTCGAGCAATAATTATGAGACTATTTCAGTCAATAACCCTAATCTTTTTAGGCTTTTTTTATTATTTATTATTAAGAGAAATGCAATAATGATTTATTGAGGAGTTAACAACCAGTACACAAAAACTCGACTAAGCCCTAAGGAATTAGGCGAGGATATCTATACATAAGGTTTCGGTTGTCAATCTAACCTCTTAGCCCCCGTCCC